TCACACACTTCTAACATTTCGAAAGCACAATGTTTATAGTTCATTATGGTGTGTATTTAAATTATATGGATGAAGCATGCAATCAAGATCGCTGTAGAAATTCTATATTTTTCAAAGGGTCTGTAATCAATCTTTCTATCTGTGACACCATTGCTATTGGATTCAAATGTCGATTCTGCAAAACTACTCCTCTATGTCATGTTATCTACAAAGCTAAAATGTACTACTTTCTTCCATGGGATGGAATGGTTGGAAGAGCTACAATGCATATTGGCACACATATGCATCCAATGAAAGAAGGGATACAAAAGAGTTCTCTCAACTGTTTTAAAGATGTGTAAAAAGAAACTATGAGAAACTCATCTATAAGTTCGAAGCATGTTCAAAATACCATCCTCAAGGATTTTATTGCAAATACCTTACTCAATCTGAGCTGCCAAAAGACTCAACTAAACAAGGCTAGCTTGCAAGATTTACTACGAAGAGTACAACTTGCTACTAGCCTAAGAAAGTATGTTTATTGTATTTCATATGGTACAATAATATTTATTTTCTAACATTATATTGTTTAGGATAAAATTTTGGATGTGTGAATCTTGAGAGAGGAAGTTGCAATAAAAAATTGACTCCATCCTTGAACTGAAATGGACCTATCCATACGAGCTCATTTATGAAAGTTTGTTTCTAGACTAAGTTGTGAATAAGTAAGAGCATCCCTTCGTTTTCAAGATGTCTATAATAGGCCTTACCTCTAGTGTAGATCTTATCTCCCAAATAGACATGTTTAGGTTTAGTGACCTTGGAAATGCATAGATACATTTTGACCATATAGAGTGTGTATCAGGTTGGACAACTATGGGAGCTCATGTGTATGATCCAAGTAATTTTTATTCTCATTATATTGAAATGGTTGTAATATTTGTGTTTTCACAAGCTATGTTATAACTTGACAATTGCAATAGCAAAGCTTAAAGTAGAAAACCAAATAGACCAGGAAATATTTTGGAAGTCCCTATTTGATATTATACTAAAGTAGACTAGTAAACTTGCAAACTTTCGCAATTTCATGGTAGATAAGGCTGGTGCAAATTAAAATGGCGTTTGAGTAGTTTTTGGGAATGGTCAGCCATTGGAAGGTCGTGAGAGGACTTGTGAGTTTTATTGGGCTCAAAGCCTAAACCAACATTACCACCTTATCAAACCAGAGTTTCAATCAATGTTTAAAGAGTTGTGCAAACAATGGCAAGTTGCATCTTCTGAAGAAGAGCATGAGGCAAAAGCAAATAAGATTTGAATGTGGTGGCATAAAGATAAGTTGTTTACCACAACTTGAATCATAGTTAGGGTGGTGGGAAGTTAAGATGTTCTAGTGGGGACATCACTCTCTTCAAGTTGGTTTCTATTAGTTTTTCTTCTCATTTTATTGCTTCTTAATATTGCCTTTTTTATTAGGATTAACCACTTGAGGACCTCGCATACACCCCAACTGTGAATCTCTCCAAAAGTAAGCATTCCCTTGAGGTAGGGAAAGGGAAGATGAGTTTATATAAAGTTTAACTATCAAATTTAATATGTGCTATAAAGTAATCTTCAAAAGCTTTAGCATTCAAGGAAGGCAAATACATGGGAACATAGCCTTTTATTGAGATATTACATGATAGGATGAAGAGAAAATTAACTCCACCCACTCGAACAGTGGCAACTGCAATTGAGGAAGTGGTCCAAGACACATCTATGGAGTACACTCCTTAGGCTTCTATTGGTGATATATGCTTTATTTTGATAAAGTGGAACTTATTCAGTAAAGTGGAACATTAATTAGCATGTGTCCACATGCCATTTCCTAGTACTTAATTAATATTTATTAATATTGCTATCAGTTTTTTAATTTATTTTTTATATTTCACAATATTATAACACAAAATTATATGAAAAGTTTTTAATTTATAAATTATAAAGCTAAAACTTCAATTTTTTATTGTTGTTATAAAAATGGCATGTGGCCACACACCATAAGTGGGATAATGAAAAGTTCCACTTTAACAAAATAAAGCATATATAGGGATTTTATCTCATGAAAACAAGATTAAACACTGTGATGCTATTGACCAATACATAACAGCACAATTGCTTGATCCTCAAAATGAACCTGAAATTTCTAAAATAATTATATCTCATATGATACATGGTCCATGTGGGCCTCTTTACCCTGTATGGAAAATGGCACTTGCTCAAAAGGTTATCCAAAAAAATTTAATTATGAAACTACTTTTAGTATTGATGGATATCCAGATTATTATAGATCTGATAATGGCCGTACATTTCTAAAAAATGGGTGTTATATTGATAATCATTGGGTAGTGCTTTATAATAAATACCTTTGTAAAAAATATAATGCTCATATTAATATTAAAATTTGTGCTACTATAAAAAGTATTAAATATTTATTTTAATATGTTTATAAAGGTCATGATTGTGCTACAATTGAAATCCATTTAGCAACCCAACAACTTAATAATATTTTAAATTGGGATGAAATCTCAACATTTTTAAATACACGTTATGTATCTGCTCCAGAGGCAATATGGAGACTTTTTAAATTTAAAATGCATGGTCATTCAACCCCTATAATCCGTCTTCCTATCCATCTTCCAAATTTTCAAAACGTCTATTTTATAGAAGGTTCTGAACAAATAGCACTTCAAAAAGCTACTCAAAATGGTACGATGTTGAAAAAATGGTTTGAATTAAATATAAATCAATCAATCAATTGCTAGACAAATGCTAGACAATATACATATCCTGAAATCAACAAATCAATATTGATTGATTGATTAATACAAATGCTAGACAATATACATATCTTGAAATCCCTTTATATTATACATTTAACCCTTATACTCATAACTAGCAAATTTGACATACAATAAATGTCATTCCCCGAATGTATTTTGTGTCGCCATCTAATGTTGAACTATATCATTTACGTCTTATTTTACATCTGAAAATATTGTTAACTCAACACAAATATATCAAAATGTTGAACAAAATATTCCTCGATTTAATCAAGAACAGTTATATATTTTTAATGATATTTTTAATGTTATTGATCACCCAGCTAAGCATAATCGATACATTTTCATTGATGGCCCTGGTAGTACTCGTAAAACATTTCTTCTTAACACTTTTATAAATATTTTACAACTGAAAAAAAATAAATGTTGTTAGCATGGCTTGGACAAGAATTGCAAATACTTTATTTTATAATGGCCGAACTTCACATATTACTTTTAAACTTCCTGTTCCAATAAATTAAACATCAACTTCTGCTATAACTGCTAATAGTGAAGTAGGTATAAGAATTTAAACCACTAATGTATTGTTATGGGATGAAATAAATATGGTTTATACTCATGCATTCACTGCTGTTGATCGAGTGTTGCGAGACCTAAAAAATACATCATTACCTTTTGGTGGCATAATTGTTGTCACTAGTGGGGACTTTAGATAGACACTTCCAGTCATTCCACATGGACATAGAGCACAAATTGTTTCAAGTTCTGTAAAAATGAATAAATTATAGAAATTATTTAGAAAGTTATCTTTGAAAACAAATATATGACTTGCTGAAAGTGATAAATCATGGTTTAAATGGTTTCTCAAAGTTGGAAATGGTGAAAATTTTGAAAATTTACCATCTTTACCTTCTAACTCCATTTTATTACCTTATACACAACTAATTTATTCATTAATTATTGATTTTGTCTACCCTTTAGTACTTGATATTTCAAACCCTTATATTGCAACCAATTGAGTCATACTTACCCCACTTAACGATGATACATTTGCAATCAACAACACTATTGTCTCTAAATTACAAGGTGATACATACATCTACAAAAGCATTGATTTTGTTAACACTGAACATCCTGAAAAATTTCCAATAGAATTCTTAAATTTTATCACATCTTCTAGTCTCCCACCACATAAACTCTCTCTCAAACAAGGTGTTATTTTTATCTTCCTAAGAAATATGTTTCTATCAGCATGACTATGCAACGGCACACATCTCATCCTGAAAAATGCACTACCAAATGTTTTAGATTGTGAAATTGTGATGGGGCAATTTAAAAGGACAAGAGTTTTTATCCCAAGTATCACACTAATACTATCAAATACAGAAATTCCATTCAAAATGTCCAGACGACAATTTCCAATTTGTTTGGGTTACTGCTTAACAATTTCCAAATGCCAAAGACAAATATTTGACCGAGTTAGAGTTTCCTTGCCCCACCCAATTTTCACTCATTGGCAACTTTATGTGACTTTATCAAGATGCACATCACACTTGGGCATTAAAATTCAAAACACCACACACCAAAGCCCCTTCCTCAAGATCCTTTTGTTTTTACAATTAACACTATCTATAAAGAGGTTTAATATGTAAACCACCTAGCATTTGTTGGGCAAGTACTCGTATTAAACATAGAATCTAGCACATCTGGTCTTCTATCCTCCGCTTAAGCTATGACAATTTAGCAAAGAGATCCATTCCAAAGACTCTAGGTCAAGTCCTCCATGGTCTTGGTCAGTGCGTCAGAACGAAAAACTCCTGCGTCCCAAGGGATCTGCAAACCCGTGTGCATGACACGCAGGAGCTCCTTGATTGCCTAGTTGCCTCCTTGTAAGCCTCTAGAACCGACTCGGCCCTGCTAACCAGCGCCGTCGCCAGTGCCACTGGCAATTCCCCGTCCTGGCCGGTATCTAATTGCTCTAGAATCGGCAGAAGCCGCTCGCAAAACCCCACAAAGCTCCGGACACTCAAGCTTAGTCCCAGCACTGTGCTGGAAATCCTGTCGATCCGATCAAGAACCTAGCCCAGACCGATCAATCCGCCGCTGTGCCGCAATCCCATCTCTGGCTATCAGGGCGTTAGGGCAGTTTTTCCCTACATCGTACGGAGTGTCCGCCACGCAAATTATTAACTGATTATCTTCTGATTTATGGTGCGATCAATTTTCATTTAATATGAAGTCGAGTTTTGATATCTCGAGAGCAAAGGTTCTCTGCAATCCATTTTAGCATCCAGCAAATTTACCACCTGAGAAAGTTAAGAAACTTGCATAAGAAATGCCATTGATGGAGATTTCTAAGTTCTTACTCGTTCCATGTTGGGCCTTTCATCTGGCGCTCTTCGCACACACAAAAATGCTGTGTACATCATTCTTCTCATCTCATGGGCATTGAGAATTGTCAAATTTGGATCCACCAGCTCATGAGTAGCACCGGTTTTCTCAAGAAAATGTGCCTGTTTAACAAGTTATCATCGATTATCACCTGTGAAAGATCCATACCCAATGTACCAAGCTTTGCTCTTTTGATGTAAGTGTGAAATCAATGGGAGCTCTTCCAGAAATTAGCTCTAAGAGCACCACTCCAAATGCATGAACATCCGTTTTTTCATTGCCATATCCATGAACCATGTACTCTGGAGCCATATAACTACGAGCATTCACACATTTACAGTAAGCGAGTTTGTAAAGAAAATCTTACCCAAAAGTTCCAACGAGTCCACTGGTTGCCTCGTTACTCCATCTTGCAAAGCCAAAATCTGAGATTTGTGCATCAAAGTCATGAGAGAGCAATATGTTGGAACTCTTCACATCTTGATGGATTATATGATGAGGAGCAAGATTATGAAGGTGGTGAAGGCCTCTTCCAGCTCCAAGTGCTACTTTTTGTCTCTTTTTCCAGCTTAATACCTTTCTTTTACCTGGAAAACATATTATAAAAATGAAAAAAAGAAAAGGAAATAACTGACCATAAAGATGATCTTGAAGGCTCCCATTTTGCAAAAACTTGTAGACCAGCAGCCTGTGTGTTCCTTCAGAACAGAAGCCAATAAGCGATACCAGGTTCTGGTGACGAATGTAAGATATGAACTTGATTTCTCTTGAGAATTCTCGTTGACCGGAGTTGCTATTTAGCAAATGTTTCACCGCAACAATGGTTCCATGTTGAAGAGTTGCCTTGTAAACATGAGAACAACCCCCACTTCCAACCAAGTTTTCTGGAAAGATAAAAATAGTTTTGGAAAATATCGAATATAAATAATTTGGTTACCCATTGCAAAGTGTCCAGTGGCTTGGAGCAACTCCTCGTATGAGAATTCTTTGACAGATACATTTTCTGATTTTGGATTTCTTGAGAGAGTTCGGTCTTTAAGCACCGTGGTGGGTGAGCCTGATTCTGAGGACCATGATAAATCAGAACTTATATCAGCTGAGAAACTCAAGACTGTTTCCATAGAACATGAGCTTGATGATGCTCCGCTACTCCGTCTTGAGTTTTGGCTCTCTTCCTTTTCCAACTTATTCTCCTTTTGAAGTAAGGATTTTAGTGTGTGATCTTTGCCTTTAAAACAAAATCATTAACAAGAGAAGCAAACGATATCTATACTCACAATTAGCACAACCAGATTTGACTTGCATCACTTTTCCCTTGCGAACGACCATGACAGAACAGTAGGAAGGTAAATTTCTTACACAAGTTTTTCCAATTTTGCTCATGGTCCTGAACAAAGAACCACAGATTTTTATGATGTAAACCGAAAACAAACCTGGAAATAAATTGCCTTTGCGAATTCCCAAGAACAACCAATGTTGCTTTGATTTTTCTGGCCTCTTGAACGATTCCATTGCAAATATCTGAGCTCTGGACTACTACTGATGAAACAGTCACCTGTTTTTTACAAATGCATCAATAGAAATTCACATGTAAAACTCAAACCTTTGGAGTTCTCAAATGAATGTCAAGCAAAGCTTGACAAATGGCCCTGTCGAAAGATAATCCAGCTTGATACCTTTGCAAGTCCTCTGTAGTAGCTTTGAAGAAATAAGAGGCACTTGAAACTTGAGTGAAATTATTTACCTGAGCTTTGAAACACATGCAAGAAAGTGATGTGATCTTTCCTCTGTGCAAACTTGGATAACAAGAGCTTGAGAATTCCATGAATCTCGCCAGTTTCCTTAACAGCCACCAAGATTCTAGCACTCGAATTGAGAAACTGCTTCAACCTTTTAGATCCCATTTTTTCGATTATGGAAAGATTCACTACTCTTTCGTCGCCTTCTTCGTTGACACCGTCCAAAATGCAGGCCAAGCCAAGACACCTGCCGGCAGAATCGAGGATTTTCTCTCTTGATCTGAAAATGTAGCTCTACAAATGGAGAGGAAGAGTGAAAGATTGCTAGAACTTGAAGATCTTTTCCATGCTTTCATCATTGCAAAAGTTAGGAGCACAAATCTTTGTGACTTGAGGCTAAAGCCAAGAAAAAAAACAGATTATCTTAGAAAAAACAGTGTGAATATACCACAAAGACTTGAGAGCATCATTCAGAGCACTAACACTCAAGAGCCAAGGACTCTCTCCTTGTTGGAATCGCACACACGCTCAAAGTTTCCTTCAAACTTGAATAAATAACTCTTACATAGAAAAACTTGACAACAGTGAAGACAATGCAACACTATAGCTCAATATATAGTCCTTCACAAAAGACTCAACAATAAGATGAGAATGTGAAGACGTAAACTAAACGAAACCTTTTCGTCAAGATTTGGTCAATCCTAAAATCATGCTTGGATATTCTTTTAGAATATTTTACGATTTAGCCACGTGGAAACTATATCTAACGACGCTCACTCGACCACGTGGACAGCCCAGAAAACATCCAATGTGCCCGCGACAAGTGGCACATCGCTGTTCCTCCATGGCGGTGTGCCCCCGTTGCCTCGCAGGAGCGATCCATCGCGCGTCCGCAGCGCGATCAATCGATTGGGCACAATCTCCTCGGGCTTCCAGTCGCAGAGATCGTCCGATTTGGTGGGATTGGTCTGGATCACCTTCTTGCCCGTCATTCCCAGCAGAAAAGGGGTGCGCGATCCAGTGAGATAGCAATTGTAGCAGCTCCTCAGGCGAATCCTCTCCCCATCGCCCATCATCACGCGTCTCACCTCCCAGATCGCATTCTCACTGTCGCTCTTGCGGCTCTGGGACACCCCGCGCTTGTCATCGTCCGCCCACAGGAACTTGCCGTGGCAATTGCTTAGCTTCACCTTCCTGGCGCCGTCGAAGAACTCCATCGATCGAAGTCTCGATCCCGCCCAGCTCGATCGAGCTCTGTGCGAGCAGGACCGATCGATAGACCCAGAGACCTAAGCCTCTGAAGAAGAAAAGAGCGTGAAGCTTCCTCTTCCCGCGTTGCTATGCTGGCCAGACACGTCACTAACGCTATTCTGACGTGTCATGACGCGTCACTTTACCGTTATGATGCGCCCGTGTTCCAGGAAAAATCTGTCGCTCATCCTCTAAAACAGTATCCTCCGTGACTAAATCCTGTAACAAGCCGATCGCGGAGCTAAGATCGACCCCAAGAATCTCGCCAAAGCCCTGTGCCTTTGCCGCAAACCATCGCCTGTCGGGCAGCCTCGAGTCGATCTCCTGGAAGCAGCAAGCGCTCAATTCCTGGAGGCCCTCCAGAACTTCTCTCGCCCTCTTGAGCGACTCGCGAACAGCATCACCGTGGCGACTCGCGGCATTAGCAGCCAAACCCAAGAGCTCCATCGCGAGAGCTCTGCACAGACTCATACTCGTTCGATGATCGAGGTGCTGGGCTCCTGGATGCGATTGGGTTTGATCATCATCGGCGCCTAGTTGCGGAGCCTCTGGGACTGGGCTGTGCTCCAGGATCATCCATATCCTGGACAGTGCGAGCACGCAAATGGCGGTGGAGAGAAAGAGGGGGAGGAAGAAGAGGATGGTCTTGTGTAAGATTATGATGCTGGCTAGCAATGCTATGCCAGTTGCTAAGCGATTCTCACCAAGGAATGCTGAGACCTTATCCAGCGCTGTTTCTTCCTCCTCCTCGTCTTCCACTTGTTTTCCAATTTCCATGATCTTGGTCGGTGGCCACATTGACTCGATACGTTCTAATGTTTTCGAGAAAAGTATATACTCGTTTGAACATGCGGTAAAGATCCTGCCACGTATGCTACAAAGGACGGTTTTGGATCTGAGCCGCTAATTCAAAAATCATAATCACTTTTAAATGGATATCCATGCAAAAGGATGAACTCGAACCTTTTTTTGGAAAAGGATAAACTCGACATTTCCTGCTATATATATGTTACGATTGTGGTTTGATTAAAGGAAAGATGGAAGGCTACTTTACTGTGGAAGAACTAATGGCGAGACGAAGGAAGGGAATTGAGAAGTGGAAAGTTTTGTTCACGCCCGAACAAATCCTGGAGAAGAGACGCCTGTGGGAGCAGCAAAATCACGAAGACTACATGGAAGAAATTGGCGACCAAGACAAGGATACACAAGGCCAAGAGTTTAATCTTATAAGAGCTTCACAGTCTCATCATGTCTTTGTGACTGTTGTCAAGTTTCTAGCGAAACTTTTTTCCATGCTTGTAAAATACGAAGGAAACTAGCACAACTCGATAATATAATACTCTAAGTTGATGATCCAGTTGATGGATCCGATCTCACCGCAGAAGTTCTCGCAAGTTCTTCATCGACTATGAGCTGCCTCATTGCGTAGATAAGAGATCGAATTCATCTTCTAGAACTTCCTTGGTATCTGGATCGTAGCATGCGTCCTTTAGAAGCGAGTTAAGTCGGATTATCTTCTCGAATCGAGGATGATGCGAACGATCACCACTCACAAACCTGTGCACGGATCCATCCTCCAGCCTCAGCAAGCTCTCTCCAGCTTGCTTCTTCACGCCTCGTTCGTTCATCAATCCTCTCACTCTCTCGGCCTCGTCGTGCATCCCAAGCTTTCCAAAGATGTTGGAGAGAAGAACGTAAGTTCCTCCATTGCTTGGCTCGAGCTCCAGGACTTTCTCGGCCGCGTACGATGCTCGTTTCACGTCGAGATGGATCTTGCAAGCTCCCAGCAAGCTCCCCCAGGCCGCAAAGTCTGGACGATAAGGCATGGTTTCGACGAGCTCTAGCGCAGCTCCGAGCTTTCCAGACCGTCCCAGGAGATCGATCATCAGCCAGTAGTGATCTTTGAGAGGCTGGATCCCGTGGTCACTGCTCATCGACGTGAAGAGCTCCCAGCCTTGCTCTAGCAATCCACCATGGCTGCAACCATAGAGAACGCAAATAAAAGATATCTCATCGACTTCCAGGCCTTCGAGCTCCATAGTTTGAAAGCTCGCTAAGGCGGCTCTTGCATGTCCGGCGTGAGCGTGAGCGGCCACCAGCGAGCTCCACGCTACGTGATTCTTCTCGGGGATTTTTTGAAACACCTGCTCGGTGCCTTGGACGTGACCAACTTGAGCGTAAGCTCCCAGAATTGTATTGCAAGCCATGGAATCCACGCTGGGCATTTTCTCAAAGACAAACTTCGCTTCTTCCAAACGACCATTTTGGATGTAGCCCCGGACGAGAGAAGTCCACGACACGTTACACCGGTTTGGCATCGCAGCAAACAGTTCTCTTGCGAGGACTAAGTTTCCAGCTTGAGTGTAGGCCGTGACCATCGCATTCCATGAGACTGTGTTCTTCTCTAGACAACGATCAAACATCTCTCTTGCTTTTTCTAGGCAACCATTTTGAGCGTAGGCAATCAGCATTGTGTTCCACGACATGGTGCTGTGCTTGCTCATTCGATCGAGCATCGCTTTCGCTTCTAGAATCCTCGCGTTCTTCCCGTAAGCCAGCATTAGAGACGTCCACGACATGACACTTCGCTGTGGCATCACGTCAAACACCAATTTTGCTTGCTCCAAATCGCCATTCTCGGCAAGAGCGTGCAAGAAGCTCGCCCAAGATATCAAATCCCACTTTGCCATTCTCACAAACATCTCCTTTGACCGTTTTGCATCACCTTTTTCTCCATACGCGGCCGCTAAAGCGTTCCAAGACACTTCGTTTCTTTCAGGCATTCTTTCAAAAGTTAACTTTGCAAGCTCTAAATGCCCAGAATGGGCATAAGTTTGGAGCATAGTAGTCCAAGAGACGACATTAGGCTCCGGCATTTTATCAAACACTTTCTTTGACTTTTCAACATCTCCAGAAAACGCGTAGGCTTGCATTAACGTTGACCACGTTATAACGTTTCCTTGCGGCATCTTATCAAACGTAGTCTTGGCCTCCTCCAAATGCCCGCTTTGGGAATATGCGTAAAGCATTGAGCTCCACGATACAACTTTTCTTCCTTTCATTCCATCAAAGGTTAGCTTTGCGTTTTGGAGCTGACCATTCTGTGAGTAAGCGTTTATCATTGTTGTGCACGAGACTTCGTTGGGATGAGCCATGGATTCGAAGAAACTCTTGGCTTGATCCAAGCACCCGTTTCGTGCTAACGACGCGAGCATGATGTTGTGAGAGATGAGATTTGGGCTGCGAATGCTGTGGAAGAGCTGCTGCGCATCTTCGAGGCTGCCACACTTGCCATACATGTCGAGCAAGAGATTGGCGAGGTAGAGGCTGCGCCTATGATCGCTGTGGAGAATCCGCGAGTGGATGCGCCGGCCCTCTGCAAGATCCCTCGATTTCGTGCAGGATTTGACGAGATCCGCGTAGAAGAACACCGATCGCCTCGCGAGATCGCCGGAGGAGACACACATGAAACATTTGGCGCCAGAAAATTTTCATAACATTATTTCGTAAATAGCATATTAGCGCTTTAGCACTTCTAGCGGAGTTTTCGCCCAGTTCACAGTCCCAGTGGTTTCTTCAACTCCATACTCTCGCCCCGGGATGAGCGCCCACTCAAAACGATGGATCAAATTTGCTAGTACGAGCTGGACGTTCCTAAGGCCAAGGATCATCCCGGGGCAAGTTCTTCGCCCGGATCCAAAGGGAATGAGCTCAAAGTTTTGTCCTTTGACGTCAATCCTGGAGTCTCCAAGGAATCTCTCGGGACAAAACTTTGTTGGATTCTCCCACACATTTGGATCTCTTCCAATGGCATATAAGTTGACAATGGTTGTGGTTCCTTTAGGAATGTCAAAGCCTGCGATTTTGCATTCTACAGTTGACTTGTGGGGAACCAAGAGTGGTGCTGGTGGATGGAGCCTCATTGTTTCTTTGATCACAGCGTTCAAATAAGTTAACTTCGGAAGATCACCCTCGTTGACTGTAGAGTTGGTCAAGTCAACGAATTTGACTAGCTCTTCTCGGGCTTTAACCATGGTGTGTGGATTGAGAAGAAGTTCCATGAGTGCCCATTCAATGCTCGAGGCACTTGTATCTGTTCCTCCAGCAAGTAATTCCTGAGATAACAAGAAAGGAGGATAATATTAACTTAATAAGCTCGAGAAACTTTAATCATACCATTGTGAGTGCTTTGACCGTGTTCTCAGCTTTAAGTGACTGCTTGTTTGATGAATCTGTGAAGCTTTCCAGCAAAACATCCATAAAATCTTTGGTCTTTCTCGAGTTTTTGCTTCTCTTGTGCTCTTGGACAATTTGCTGCATAAACTTGTCTGACTTTGCTTGGAGAATTTTCACCTTTGGAATGTTCCAGTCGATCCACCTCAAATAAGACGGGACAAACTCACTAATATGAAACTTGAGAGCCATCTCTACAGTCTCGATTGAGACCTTCTTGAATTCTCTGGCTTGATCAGCATCCAGCAAAGCTCCGTTCTCGCAGAAGAATCTCTTGCTCATCACAGTCTCAGTCATAACGTTAAAACCATACGTGATCAGGAGATTTCTCATATTGATCACGCCAGTCGTATTCTCAATAGTTGATATCATTCGAGAAATCTCCTCCTTTCTCACCCATTCAAACGAGTCAATTCGATTTATGGTGAAGAGCTCCGTGGCACACAACTTTCGCAAGTTCTTCCAGTGCTCACCACCAGAAGTGAATCCCATTCCGCAGTAACCATATGAGAAATACTCTCCAACGAGAAAGTAAGGCCTGGAAGAAAACTTTGCATCGTGTGTCTTGAGAATCTCTCTCGCCATATCGGGGCTGCTCACCACTATAGTTGGAACCATTCCCAGCTTGAGATAGAGAATTGGGCCATATTTATTCGAGAGAACCTGGAGAGATTGGTGAGCCATTCTTGTTAAGAGATGGAGATGGCCGATCAAAGGTAGGCTCAGTGGGGATGGAGGCAATCGCTGGCGAGTAAAACTCAATCTCTTCGTCAGGAAAAAAAGCACCAAGAACACGAGAACTCCACCAAAGATGGTCGCCATTTTGTGGTAATATACTCGAGAAATGACTGCTTCTACAAGCTCCCCTTAAGGTGGCCTCTTATAGTTTCCACGTTCAAACTTAGCGGCATGCAAATTAAACTCGAATACATCAAGAACGTTCTTACGAGCTTCGTGAGCAGTTTCCTTTCGGGAGAAAGTCAGTGGTCAACAAAACGTTTTGAGGAGTCTGATTTTGTCCATTTCGGACGCATGGCGTACTGCGATTGTGCCACGTCTCTTACATGCAGTTATTTCTGCGGACTCCTTACAAGTTCGAGAATTCTTTGAATAAAAGTTCTTTCTTCTCTTTGAATGGTCTATAGAGTGACCATTCAAAGTGTTTCAAGGATTTGAAGCCCAGGGAGCTCAAAAGTGTGTTCGGGATGGGTGACCATGAAGACGCCAGCATTGCCGCTGGAAGAATCAGTATGAAGCCGAGTCTTTTTTATGCCGGCATACGTCGATAGTGATGAACCCAATGGACAAGACGAACGTTGTGACGCTGTGTAGGGATATACGCAAACGTTACACGTACAAGGACTAAGTTTCCAGCTTAACTGTAGGTCGTGATCATCGTGATCCTGTGCCTTGGCCGACGCGAGATGCTCTAGGCTCGTTTCATGGGCTACAGTGTGAATCCTGGGGCGACTGCACAGACCATAAATCGGATTTTTTCTTAGAAGATTCTACGCGTGGATTTTAGAGGGCAATCAAGGTGGTCACTCCTTACTTCCAGATTTTTTTGGGAGCGAGCCCAGCTTCAGGCGAACGCACGCAAAAGTTATGCAAACCAGAAGGGGTGTCACTCTGGGAGGTTGATGACCGATTGCAAATGTAGAGATCAAAACTAGCTTTACAACAGCATACTTTTCATGGACAAGAATCATGAGCAAAGTTTTGTCTTATCAAAAACATCCTTATATAGTCCTTAGATTATGTTTTGTTGTTGATATCATAAAATATTATTGTATTACAGGTGGCAAATTTAAATGACCAGTTAAATGTAGGAGTTATATAAAAAATCATTTTATAAAGGTGGAAAATTAATATTCTAGCATATTCTGGGAGCTTACGTTCAAGGCACAAACAAAGAAATACCCCCAAGCATCGAGCTCGGTGGTGACGGCTCAAATAGCAATCTTTCAAACTATAGAGCCCTTCTTTTCAATCGTCTACTGTACATCGGTGGTCCAATCCGGCTTGCCTCTCCCCTGCTGCAGTAAAACCGAAAGCTTGGAAAGTTGGATCTTCCGCGTCATCACTGGACCAAGCGTAAAGCTCTGGATTCAAAGCTCCAACGTCAAAGCTGCTCTCTCCGGTGGTCTCCTTCTCGTTACTGTCACCGTTTTGTTGGTGATTTTGTTGGTGATCACTGGAGCCATGCACCTCTTGCAACTTGATTATCTCCTCAAGCTTCTTCACCACCTCGTTCATCTTCGGTCTGTCCTGGCCGGAGTCCTCCACGCACTGCAGTGCCAGCCGGAAGTACTTCTTCACCTGTTCTACAGTCGTCTTGTCCAGGAGTCGCTTGTCCACAAACGAGAGCAGCGAAGCGACACCACCCCAGGCAACCGATTCCTTGATCTCTTTGACGATGAAACTGCCATTGTCAATCGGCTGCTTCCCGGTGATGATCTCTATGAGCACCACTCCAAAGCTGTAAACATCGCTCTTGGCTGATAGCTGGTGATAAGCATAGTACTCCGGATCCAGGTACCCCTGCCATTTCTTTTTCAGGCTCTTGTCAAGCTCGAGAGGGAAAGAAGACGTACCAGAGTTCCCTTCACTTGGACACTGCTATATGTCTTTTCGTCACTGCAAGTTGGCGCCAGCTTTGAGAGGCCCAAGTCCGCAACTTTAGCCACCAAGTTCTCGTCCAGTAAAATGTTGGAGGATTTGACGTCTCTGTGGATAATGGGGGGATCCGCCAGCTCGTGAAGGTATTCCAGCCCTTTTGCAGAGCCGAGTGCGATGGAGAGACGTGTCTTCCAGTTGAGAGCTTGCTCTGCAGTATTAGAGGCTGTCTTGTCACTTTATACCACTTGTTCGCAACCAAGAAAATCAAAGCGAGGAAAAAGGAAGATAAACAACGCTTACCATAGAGATGGTCTCTTAAAGTCCGGTTGGGCATGAACTCGTACACGAGCATCTGTTGTCCATCGTCTGTACAAAAGCCGATGAGGTTCACCAGATTCTTGTGGTGCAAGCGTGAAAAAAGCTCGATCTCGGTTCGGAATTCTTCAAGGCCTTGTAAGGATTCTTTCTCGGCTCGCTTGATTGCCACTAATTCTCCTGTGTGAAGCTGTCCTTTATATACCTGTGGCAATTTTTCTCCCATTTTAATGTCATGCAAACCACTACCACGCATTTTGTAAGAAAAGAAGGCCCCGTACCTTGCCATAGCCACCGACACCAATCAAGTGGTTACTTGAGAAGTTATCACTTGCCTTCTTAAGGTCATCCAGAGTAAACCATTTGCATCCTTTGAACTTGGGAGCAATCTCCCCAATGCTGCTGAAACCTGCTTTTACAAGAATGATAAAAAAGAAAATTGAGAAAGTCAACTTTCTTCATCACTCACCATAATCGTGGCTTGGGCTCCTAGTCCGTTTTCTCCTTACAACGAGAAGAACGATACAGAGACCCGCTATCGCAGCTGAAACTCCGACGCAGACGCACAACGTGACAATAAACATAAACTTAGTTTGTTTGGCTGCCACCGGAGGTGCTGAAAATTTTACGAGAAAAGCATTAGCATTCGAAACAAGAACACACGTAAAAGAAAAACATACTTGTTTGTGGCTGGTTTGCGTTTGTGAGCAACATAGGCCCAAACTCAGGCACGCTGACCCTCTGTATGCTCAGCAAGAGAATAATCTTCGACACCAAGCTTTGGTCCAAGTAGACATTCTTGCCGGGCGGAAAGAAAAGGATGTTCATGACAAGGCGATGATTGGACGTGAAGTCTGCACTTCCAATCCATATCTGGCCCCGAGAAATGTTGAGCGCCAAGGAAAGCTGCCCCGTAACGTTGTCAATCCTGTCCACCGTTATTGCTGAGAAGGGTGGAGTAATGAACTGTATCGTGCATATTAGTGGATACGCGCAGGAGCACGTAGCTGGTTGCAAAGTTTTCTGATCGTCGCACATTATATTGCATCGATTGACTGAAGGGTTCCATATTCTCCCATTGCTCGAACAAAACTTGTCAGGATTGTTATTGCTGCAAACAGGATTTCCTGAAAGCCTATATAGGCACAAGAAACGTATCTCAGCCAAATGCAGTTCTAAAGAAAAATGCACACTTACCTGATCGTCAAAGGACTTGGCACAGATGTTACGCTAGAAATCTCATTATCTTCCAGCGAAACCAGTTCCAGTGACCGGCTTGCAGTGCTAAAGTCGATGGAGCCATTCAAACGGTTCTCATCCAAAAAACTGCAAGTTAATCATGTCAAGGGAACAAGAGATAATGCCTGGCTTTAAAATTCTTACGCTGCCTCAAGGTTTGGAAGACTGAATAGCTCCTCCGGAATCTGCCCGACAAGGTTTCCCTTGAAAAATTCCCTACATCACGATAAAAAGGCGCTGATTTAGCAAATTCTACGCAACTCCAGACATACAGTGTTTTAAGTTTTGCCATGTTGAGCAACCACAGTGGTATTTCTGACGGGCTAAAGTTCACATAGCCTGATCGACTGTAAAACCGGCTTTTCAGAAGAGAGAACACAAAAGATTTTAGAAACTTACATGAGCTGTAGGTTCTGAACAGCAGACAAGTCTGGCAAGCTCCCATTGAGCGGATTATTAGTCAAATGTCTGCAAATATACACCACTTAGCATAAGACAGTCAGAAATCAGAAGGATCATACAGCTCAAGGAGTAAAGCCATGCGGCTGATGGTTTCAGGTACAGGACCCTCAAGTTTATTGTTATCGAGTCTCCTGTTGATAAAAGTTAGAATATGCAGCTCATGAACTCTATAGAGAAAGAAAAATAAAAGAGAGAACTCTCACAAGATTCTCAGCTGTGGCAAATTGCCGATTTCTGGAGGTATGGCTCCTGAAAAGTTATTGTTGTCCAGCAGCCTGTCAGGAAGACGAAAAGAATAAAATATCATGAGCAGCTGGTGACTCGCAAAATCTAACAAAGACGCACAAGTGAAATAGTTTTGGCATTGTAGACAGCGCAGCCGGGATGGCACCAGAAAGATTGTTGTTGTTGAGATGCCTGAAGAAAATAATTCAGCTATATGTTACAAAGTCGTAGCAAAGACGTACATGTGTCTTAACACTGTCAGGTTGTCAAAGCCCGTGTCACCAAACGAGCTAACCGGGAGCTCTCCATCAAGAGCATTGTTTGATAGATCGCACCAATCGAGAGACTGGAGCAGGCCAATAGTTGGGGGAATCCTTCCGCTCAGAAAGTTTCCGTTCAAAGCTCTAGAAACATAAGTCCACAAGTCTTTTTAGATACCAAAAAGAAATGAGATCTTGACTTACAGGAACGAGAGGGCCGAAAGACTGCCAATTTCTCTAGGAATACTCCCGTTGAAGCCACAGTTTTGCAGACTCCTACCAAAGTTTACATGTACTTGATTTTATCTTTTCGAAAACATCGAGCAGATCACTTACAGTCTGACGAGATTGACGAGAAATCCAACAGAAGAGGGGATTGGACCCCTCAAGTTTTGATTCAGCGACAAGTCCCTGCATAGAAGAGAAAAATATGATGCCATCAAGTTCCGGTCTACACGAAACTTACAAGGACTGGAGGCCCGTTAGATTCCCTATAGATGATGGCAAGCTACCGCTCAATCTCATGTTGATCAGTGCTCTACAAAAGAAAAAAAAAAGGAGAGAAAAACTTAGCGTACATCTAGAAAAAAGAGAAAGGTGTACCCATACATTCCAGTAATTCTTGTCTTCCTATCATCGCAAGCAACTCCTTGCCACTCGGAATCACAGGGATCTCCATTATACCAGTTCAACACTATGTTCATGCTTCGTCTTAAGTCTTGCATAGCGACCACTGGAACCAAAACAAAGTTTTGAGAAAGAGAGGATGAAAGAAGAAAAGGAAAGGAAGAAGAAAACTTACAATCTGACTCTAACGTATCCCCGCGAGCAAAAAAGCCCCCATCTCTCTGTAAGAAAATCGCGAAAATCCACGCAATGACCGTGGCAAGCTTCGATCCCCACCATCGCTGGCTCATTTCAAACTAGAGTAACACCATTTGAAGCAATTCCTCTTCTTCCTCCTCCTCCTCCTCCTCTGCTTCTTCTCCTTGTCGCGCCTAGGAGATGGGAACAAAGGCTGAGACTAGCCCAAAACAAAAAAAGTTTTGCTCACCAGATCACAAGCAGCGCATTCCCAACGCGGTCGCTTCTTGATCCTGTTGCTCCGGCGATCCAGCAGTGGTCATCCATCTCCCTCGGACTGTCCGCGAGCCGCTTGTCGCCTAGCACCACCATTCCAGCGGATATGCCCGCCCTGGGCATCATAGAACCCTAAAATGCCCCCTTTCAAAAGTATACTCGAATATCCTCATTGTTTTATTGATAGGTTCTTATTGCGATGGAAGCTCAAGTCCAAAGACTTGAAGTTTGCAGCTGTGATCATGGCTGACCGCTAGTTTTGGGAGGCACAATGACCATGCTAGTGCTTCCAGATTGCTGGAGTGTTTTGGCGATGGAAGGATCGATGTTAAACGCTGTGGACACTACGTCTTGCGGCATGGCGCTATAGACGGAATTGTTCCCGGCCAAGAACGACACAATTGGCCTGAGTTGAAACAAGCAATCCAAAAAAGGCAAAGAATGCCAAGGATTGTTAGAATGATCCCAGGCATTACACAAACAATAAGAGAGCTTGGACGACGACTTACGTGTGGGTGGTGAGAATGGAGACAAAGTCCATTCCATTAGGACCAGCGATGGCGGTCGAGGGGAACGTTTTGGGGATGACAGCCACGGAACCCTCCTGGAGATCCAAGTCGAGAGCCCGATCACCAAAGCTATTCACGACTTGGAGCTTGCCGTTTCCTGTGTGCACGTAGATAAATTGGTGGCCATTGAGGAACCAGTTTGGAGCCACCATTGCACCCTGAAAATTAAAATAAAAATCATAACAAGGAGATAAAGGTGGTACCTTGCTCAATCGCACACATTCAGCACCCAACCCAACGTATTTAAGGATTGGCATCTTGAGGCTGTTGAGCTCACGAACTTCGCCACCTCGATTGACCTGGTAATCAGGAGTGGCATCTGCATAGTGGTAGACAAAACCTGCATTCTTCTTGCTCTGGCCTTGATCTTGCCCAGTGCCTGGGTTTTGGCTTTGACGGTTCTGATCCTGGTCCTGGCCCGATGAACTCTGGTTCTGGTTTTGGCTTTGGCTGCCTGAGTTATCCCTTGAAAGATGATCAGACATGAATTTGGAAGATTTGGGTGGCATGACCAATCCACTCACTTGCTGACTCTCAAGGATCTTTTTCACAACCCCTTCTGAAGTCTCCCAAGCCTGAGAAAGGATCTTGCTGCTGAATCCCCGGACAACGCTTCCAGATCCACCCTTCTCCTTGCCTTTGTTTCCAGCCAAGAAGAACACCTAAAACAAAAGTGTCAACTTTTTGCAAGGATTTCAACAAGTATATATTGTCACCTTTTCTGAGATGCGCTCAACGTTGAGCTTCATATCTCCCACACAGATGACAATCGCGTCGCTGGCTCCATTATTTCGCCACCATGTTGCAACACCCGGAGGAAGAGCCACAACATCTCCTTTGTCGAGCTTGTAAACGTTCTCCTTGTTGTTCATATTCATTGGGTTGATCACTCCAGCATCCACATTTCCTGGTTTTCATTACAAACATCAATGGATAAAAACATATATGCACGAAAATCTAAAATCCTTGGAAAATGGGGATCAAACCTTGGATTACGACTTTAATTGCCGGGATATCCACGTATGCCGGCATAAAAAACGCTCCCGGCTTGATTGTGATTCTTCCAGCGGCAATGCTGGCGTCTTTCATGGCAGGAAATGATTCCCCTGTCCACATCTCGATCATTCCCCCATTTCCTCGGAACACAGTCTTGGGCTCCTTGGGCTTTAAATCCTTGAAACACTTGACATCCTCGAATGGATCGCTGCAACAGCAGCAGCAATCGCCAAAACCAGGAAAACCACTATAAATCTCGCTGCCATCTCGATGAATCCAACGAGAAGAAAGAACTTCTATTAGAAGAATTCAAGAACAACAAGTCAGCATGGTATGTTTCAAATAAATGTATTTATACCGCAGATAGGATGCATGGGTTAATCATGTAAGAGACTTGGCACAACCACAGTATGCCACGCGGCAGAAATGGACAAAATCCTAGACTCCAGGTGAAAAACACCGCTTCCAGTTAGGTAGTCACAAGATGTGTAAGAGCAGCGAAGAGCGGTCACATTTTGCCGCGGTCCACAATCTACGACGTTTCTTGTCACCACCTTTAAGTTCGATTAACTTTCTCCATAAAGGAAATCCGCTCGAAGCTCAAACGATATGGGCGTGAAATCAAGCAAATCGTAAGATTATTCGTTCGCAAGTCCAGTTTAAATTGTGTTGCCACGAATTTTGTACCTGGAAGTTATAAGAGGACATAGAAACATTTTTTAAGTTCTGACGAAGAGGACTCGCCAGTAGTTGCCTCCATCCCCAATGAGATCGATCACTAATCTTCTCGAGAAAATCTTAAGCTGGGAATGGTTCCAATTGTAGTGGGGCAATAATTCCAGCCGAAACGATAGCCCCTCACCATTCAAAGTTCTTCCAGGCCTTACGTTCTCGTTGGAGTATATCTCTTATAGAACTTTACTGCGGAATGGGGATTCACTCCCGGGTGAGCACTGGGAGAACATGCGAAATTTGTGTGTCACGAAGCTCTCCATCATGAATCGAATTGACTGATCGCTTGCAAGAAAGGAGGAGATTTCTCTAATACCAAAATATTGGGAACACCTGAGAAATCTCTTGATCATGTATGGTTTAACGTAGACTGTGAGTTCTTCAGCGAGAACGGAGCTTTACTGGATGCTGATCAAGGGAGAGAGTTTAAGCAAGTTTCAAAGTAGACTGTAAAGAGGCTCTCAAGTTCCATACTAGTGAGTTATTAAAAAGATTTTATGAATATATGTTTCTTAAGATTCATAGCAGTTTTAAATTGCTTTACTTGCTGATACAAGTCCCTAATGCAGGAATGACAGCTGATACAAGTGCCTCAAGAGGGTTAAATGGGTTCTACCGGAACTTCTTCTCAATCCACATGCCATGGAATGTTGAGAAGAGTTAGTCAAATTAGCTAGCCCAACTCAGTCAACAAGAAAAATGTAATTTGCATGCTGTCATAAAGAGATAATAAGGCTCCATCCACCAGCATGCTCTTAGTTCCCCACAATTCAATGTTGCAAAATCGCCATTCCTAAAGGAACCGAATCCAAAAGTTTGGGATAACCAAGATGTCCAGGATTAAAGGCCAAAACTTTGATCTGGTTCCCTTTATCGGGCGAAGAACTTGCCCCAGAATGATTCTTGGGCATAGGAACGTCCAACTTGTCCTTCAAAGAAACTTTTGGCTTGATCCGAGTGCTCGTTTCCTGTCACCGACGAGAGCATGATGTTGCGAGAGATGAGATAATGCTGTGGAAGAGCTGCTGCGAATCTTCGGGGCTGCCAACTTGCCATTAAGAGATTAGGGAGATAGAGGCTGTGCCTGTGCGAGTGGATGCGCCAGCCCTCTGCTACCTCTGCAGGATTTGATGAGATCCGGGTAGAAGAACACCGATCGCCTCCCAAGATCGCATGTGAAACATTTGGCGCCAAGAAAATTTTCAACCATATTCGTGCCTTCAGCCGCATCTCCATATGAGAAGTTTCGTGATAAACGTTTACTCACAATGCTCAGCTCCTAGATGCAAAGAGATTGATGAGACAAAAGGAAGGACAGTTGTGGAACTCAATGCTTATACCCAAACCGGGAAGGTGCTCGATAAAATGCCACAAGGAAATGTTATAACGTGGTAATGCGACCTTCCGCGTTTCTTGAAAATTCGAAGATACTTGGACTATTATGCTCTAAACTTCAGTTGAGCATTTCGCGCTAACGTTTGAAAGAACGCCTAAGAGGAGCGAAGTCTCTTAGCACGATTGAAAGAAAGGAGATGCCAAAACATCAAAAGAGAGCTTTGTGATGGGGAATTAATATCGTGGGTCTGTTACTTTACTAAATTGAGTGGTTGCAATGGAGTTCAGGCATCTTTTTAACAACCAGGGTTGAGCTTCTTGCATCCTCTTACCGGGAATGGTGATTTGGAGCAAAGAAACTGGTTCTTAATGTGATGCCTGTAATGTTGTACGGGGATTTTAGAAGCAAAAGCGATGCTCGATCATGCCGTGGAACACAATGCTGATGGCCTACGCTCAAAATGGAAGCAAGAGTTTTAGTTGTGAAACCTGACTGGATAAAAGGATACAAGCCTTGCACCTTTCACCAAAAGCAGATCACCAGATACCTGTCACCTATTGTATATGCAACCGACCCCATCAACCGACTTATGAACAAGGTGATATCCGTCTCACCTCCGTTGGCAATGCACTCTACCACCCGTCTTAGTGCGCCGTTTCCTTGATTTATCTTTCCAGTTCGAAAATTAAAGTTAACAACAGCTTTCAAATCTCCATAGTATTGGTACCTATATTTTAGCTTCCGACCCAATGGATCCCGCTTGATCAGAATTCTCAGAGCCGGCCATATCCACCAAGATCAGCTTCCCACTCGCTCCAGAAACATTCAGGACAACCTGCTAGGACAAGTTAATCTATCAGAGGTCGCGCTAGTAATCAGATTACCATGCAGTGGCTCCGAGAACTTCGACTGTTACAGTTGGTGCTTTTCACAACTCGATGCTTCTCGACGTTGGCAATTTCGTTCACAAGCTTGGAGGGATCTTCACCAGAAGTGGATGTCGCATTTTTCGCTTTTCCTCCTGCCAAACTCCACTCAGAAATATTCCAAGTTTTCTAAGCTTTGCGGGCATAATTTCTGTTGGCATTGTTGGCACCTCTGCCCATATTCCTCATCCTCTACGTTTTCGTGTTCTCAGCACATTCCACATTCGGGAGCCTCAACATGTTTGCGGAAGATCCCAATTTCAAGCTTGATGCCACCACGAGGCAGGTAGTAGTTGCTCGATTCTCCTCTCTCATAGAGAAGGAAATCCCTTTGGGGCTAGACTATTCTATGAGCCTGTCTTTCTTTGACACTGTTCAGCTTGCAAACAGCAATTCGATTGTCCTGAGCATGCTTGTGCGGGATCCTTCCATTTGTCAAGCTGCTTCCAAAGTCGTGAATTCGAGCATGCTGCGGGATGGGTTTAGAGCGTTGGTCTCAGAGCTGGAGCTGCTTATGAACAGGACCTATGGAGCTGCATATACCATCTCGGGACAGCTTCAAGTCGGTTACCATATCAAGGGTACCAGTGCTAGAGGAAACGATGGTTGCACTTCGCTCCGGCAAATTCCAGGATTGATTATAACTGCGATGGCTACACATATCACGATACTCTGGAAAGCCACACCATCTTCAACACGTTACACGCCGGATGCAAGCTCACCTCACGGGATCAGGCTTACGAGCTGGAGATGCAGCAGGACTGCAAAGTGTTGTTGCGGGATTTGACTTTCAACAGGAGCATATAAGCAACAGGAGCCACCAGTTGCTTATACGGGCCTCTTTAGTTCGTGGACCCGATGGTCATGTGGTATTGCATGGTCCCACGGGAAATCGGTTGTGGAGTAACCCAGGTACATCTAGTCCCAATACCTCTACTATATTGAGAGTGTAGAACGATGGGAATCTAGTAGCATACAGGCTTCATCAATCTGGAGCACTGGAATACCGAGTGAGCCATTTTGATGCTATAATTTTTTTCCCTGACAGCGTAAGCTCCAGGTGCACCAGGTCCAGGTGGGTTGAGTTCACCAGGTGCATCTCCAAAATCACCACGCAGAAAATCACGGACCCAGATAATACTGATCCTGTCGTTGGTGCCTTTTACTGCATTATTATCATGCGTTCTGATCGTCGTATATTGGATACACAATAGGAGCAAGGCAGGCGCAGGTACTTTACCGTTCATGAATGTTGTTTCATCTCTGAAACTCTTCGTATATGTTCATCAGCAACGCGTATAGAACTTGCGGAGACCAAGGCATACTCTTACCAAGAAGTCAGTGAGCCGACGATGGGATTTAACGCCCAGAACGAAATTGGAGAAAGGGGATTTGCAGTTGTCTATAAGGTAAATCTAAAAGTTAATATCCTTCATTGTTTCGTTTACATCCCAGTAAACAGGGAATGTTGGAGGGACAGACCGTTGCAATTAAGTACCTGAAGTTCCATTCTGAAGAAATTCAGTGCGATTTTGTTAGAGAGGTCAAAACAATTTCTATCACACAAATCTCGTTAAGCTGCTCGGATACTGTTTGCAAAAAGACTATCAACTATTAGTGTACGAGTGCATGACAAGAAAAAGCCTCCGACATGCTTTGGATGGTAAGCCTTAAATTTCTCGTTTTAGATTCAGTCTCTACAACTTTTGTTATGTGCAGAAGCAGAAATGTAACTGTCCTGGAAGACAAGATTTGAAATATGTCTTGGAGTTGCAGAAGGATTGGCGTATTTGCATGGGGGCTTACATTGTTCACAAGGATATAAAACCTGGCAACATATTACTTGACGAAAGGTTTCAACCGAAAATTGCAGATTATGGCCTGGTGGAGCTCATACCGGATGGCAAAACTCATTACGCCATAACACCAGGAGGAACCCCGTGAGTGCATTTTACACCTTATGAATCTTCTCTCTGACTGTTTGTAAGTTTTTCAGTGGCTACATCCCTCCGGAATATGCACAAGGACAGCTAACTTTCAAAGCTGATGTATACGCATTTGGGCAATTTATACTCGAGGATGAAACACTAGAAAATTATAGAAAGAAGTCAGTCATTATATATTAATATGGAAATGAATCTCTTAAAGATCACGGTGAAACGGAGATCACCTTGTTTATAAGTCACTTTAAAGTAGGTTCTTTGGGTTGCATGGTGACCGGTATATGGCAAACTGCTTTTCGGGAAAAGCGTGGAGTCTTGTCTCTTTTTAAGCCATCAATATGCCCGCCACTACCAAACTCCACTCATGCATTTTGTTTGCTTGCAGCCAAGCTTTGCCAGCAGAGATCTTCAGAATTGTGTTTGGAACCTGCATCCTCAATTGGGAGCTTTCTTTATGTTTGAGAGTGTGAAGTGGAGCAGCTTAAGGCTTGCAACATATAAATACATTCAGCTGAGAGTTTCTTTTTGGTGTGCAATGTTAGGATCTTACCCTAAGCCAAATTGGCTAAAAGGGTGATCCTTTGATTGCATGGCCTTTTCTTTTATCCTATTATCCTTACATGATGCCTAATAATCCTTGGAATGATCATCCACAATGATACTTTGGTCCTTATGGTCTTTTTCTTAGGGTTTAAAATTAATCCATCCCGCTATGCTAGTATTAATATATGGCATTGTAACTGTACATTTAAACCTTATATACATACATACATACATACATATACATATATACACACACATATATATATACATATATACATATATATATATACATACACACACACACACACACAGACAGACACACAGATATATATATATATATATATATATATATATATATATATATATATATATATATATATATATATATATATATATATATATATATATATATATATATATATAAAATAGAAAATTCATTATATAAGGTTTATAAATACATATATATAAAATAGTTTTTTGATTTATCAACATAACTTGAAAAAATTAAATTTTCATTGTATTTAAGCATTAATACAGCATATTGTATGTATTAAATAATAATTATCACTTTCCCATATTATAATATTATTATCCTTTTCATTTTTAAGTAAATGACCACTATATTGAAGATGTAAAGAAAAAAGATACTGAATTTTTCTGAATTTGTAGACCATATACATTTTTCATGAAGAATATTTTCAACTATAAAGTTACAATTGATAAGACTAACTCTATAATAATTATTTAATGATGCTAAGGCATTGTCATTTTTTATATATGTACCAAGTATATATTTATATTCACTTATTACTTGTTTTTGATATGGCTAACATTGTAAAGTATCTAAATCACCATCTAAAATATTTTTCTATGTAGATTATCATCTGGTCAACCTTTTGGATATTTTAATGAAGGTATTGGGTTGTAAAAGATCTCTTTTAGGTGGTTTACTAGCCAAATAAATTATCATAAAGTGAGTAATAATTTCTTGTAAACCATAAAGATGTGTATGTAATTTACAAGTCGTAATATTTGATTAAATATTTCTTGTAAATATTGGGCACTAAATGCAATGCCTTCATACAAGTAATACCCTTAAAGCATCATAAAATATATAAATTCAAAAAATAACTTGTTGAGAGGTAACAATTATTGATTCTTGAATAAAATATCCATTTCGCCCATAATTGATTGGTATGTTAATTCTTCCTATTAAATCTTTAATTTTATTTATAATGCTTCTAATGTGTCTATTGCCAAAATGGAATAATCATCCAATCATTCTTGTATTGGGGGTTTGTGCATAACATCTGGCAATAAAAGATAAAATTAAAATGACTAATAGTAAAATTTTAGAGCTCATTACTACAAATAAAACTGAATTATATAGCTATTTTGATGAATTTTCTTCTTTCACTTTTTCTTAACATTTTTATTCACTACTTTTAAATTATAGATAATTAAAGTTGATTGCCATTTATCTAAAGATAGTTTTTCTGTAAAATAATTATCTTTATGTGAATAGGTTACTGTTGTTTGTCTTAGTGCTCTACACCTAACCTGTGGGAAAAGTAGAAAGAAAAACCAAATTTTTTAGACACAGAATAACTTTTGCTAATTGCAATCATTGTTAATCCTGCCTTTGACTTTAGCCAAGGACTCCAAGGACCTTTTGAGTCCTCCTACTTTCACCATCAATACAGTGTATAAGGAGGTTTTATATTAAATATTTTCACCTCCACCAATTTCCTGTTGAGTTTGATTCTTGTTCCATGCATTGTCTGTAACACTGAAAGAAATTCTTGATATAAGTCTAATGAACAAATAAAAGGCCTGTCTAGAATACTCCAATTCCAATTCCAAAAATGGTTTTGAGAGACTTATGTTATAACTATGACATTCAAAACAATATTTACTAACAGTATTTTCAATAATGAGGAGTTGCTAAACTTTCTGGGCCACTGGATCCACTCAATGCCAGCCATTGCAATGGGCGGTAATTGTCAAAGGGTTATTTCTACAATCACATCTTCTGATGTTTACTTTTTACCCATGGAAAGTGCTAAATTTCTTTGAGCCAAAAAAGAAAGTGTTATGACATATGTTATATATAAAGTATTGACCAGCATTGATATCAACCTTTTTGTAATGGAGATTAGTTATTATGTCACCTGGATTTGATAATTCTCTTTAATGAATTTGATAATTTCTTTTGAGGACGTACATCCTCATAATTATTTCATCATTTTTTCTTTCAAAGTGGAATTCAATATTTGTTGTTTTGATATTATTCCAATGTAGTTTTCAATTTAACAAAATCAATCAAAACAGTGTTTGCTAACTGGCTAAGCAATTTTAAAAAATACGAATGCCTAATTTGAATATTCTTTTTTTAACTGGGTGAATTCTAACGAAGAACCCTAAATATTTTCCCACTATGATGCGAGCTATGGTGCTTGAAGCGCCTGGAAGCGCTCTCAAGCTCACAGAGCTCCCGATTCCAGAGCCTCTCGACGGCCAGGTCCGCGTCAAGGTCTCGGCGTGCGCTGTGTGCCGCACGGATCTTCATGTGGTAAGCGCCAAGCTTTGATTTCCTTCCAAAAATCGCCGCGCAGGTCGACGGCGAGCTCAAGGAGCCCAGTCTTCCGATAATCCCTGGTCACGAAATCGTGGGACTGGTGGATAAGATCGGGCGAGGCGTGGATCCTTTGCATTTTTCAATTGGAGCTAGAGTGGGAATTCCTTGGCTGGGAAGAACTTGCGGGAGCTGCAGCTACTGTGTGGATGGAGCTGAGAATTTGTGTGACGAGCCAGGCTTCACTGGTGAGAAAGCTTTCAAGTTCTTTATTCTTCGTTTCCAGTTCTTCTTTGCATGGAAAAAGATTCTTTCTTGCAGGCTATACGATCGATGGTGGCTATGCCGAGTACGCTGTTGCGAACAGTGCCTACTGCTTCTCCCTTCCGGAGAATTACCCGGACGTGAAAGCCTCTCCACTCCTTTGCGCCGGTCTCATCGGCTATCGATCACTCAGGATGGCTGGATTCACGCCTGGAATGCCCAAACCCCGCAAGTTTGGAATCTATGGATTTGGAGCTGCTGCTCACATCGCTGCTCAGGTCCACCGAGCTCTTCCACCGCTCTCGAATCGTACAAAAGCTTTGGATCTTCCAGGTGTTGAGACACGAAGGCCATGAAGTGTATGGTTTCACTCGACCGGGCGACGTAGAGGCGCAAGCTTTTGCTCGAAAAGTTGGAGCCACTTGGTCGGGTGATTCCACAGCGTCGCCTCCACAACTCTTGGACGCCGCCATCATCTTTGCTTCGGTGGGATCGCTGGTACCGCTCGCTCTGGCAGCCATTCGCAAGGGCGGGGTGGTGGTTTGCGGCGGGATTTACATGACTCCAGTCCCCTCGATTCCATACGCGGCGATCTGGGGCGAGAGGAGAGTGGTGTCGGTCGCGAATCTCACGCGCTTGGATGCCATCGAGTTCTTGCGAGTGGCTTCGAGCATGGAGATCAAAACGGAGACAGTGGAGTTTAGATTGGAGGAGGCAAACGAAGCGCTGCGAGCTCTGAGGGAAGGGAAGCTCAATGGAGCAGCAGTTCTTGTTCCAGGGATCTAGGTGGAAGTAACAAGTTGGGCATTTGGCAAGTACATTTGTGCCACTCACTCCGCAATAATTAAAAGAGACTTACACTCACATGGCAATCCAGCAACGGTCCAGCCCACCTAGTTTTTCCTTGGCCTGATCAAGCCCTTTCTTTTCTCTTCTCTTTCTTGGATTCCTGGATCTTTGTGAGCTCAAGAGCATGTTTCTGGCTGGAATGCGCAATATTTCGCCTCTGGGGTGAAATTCTAGCGGTTAGATTTTAGTTAGTGATTTTTCTCGGCCGGTGCTCCCAAGGTGTTGCCTAAGACTCCTCCCACACCCCGCAAGCGCTCCATCAATTGCCTACACGTCAAGTGATTTTTCAATGCGATGCCCAACATGACCCTGCTTTCCCTGTTGTGTGAAACTTCAACCCAATATACTCATCACTCTGAAGGAGAACTGGATGACAAGGAAAGGATTTGCTTTAGGATGAAAGACAATGGCACATCTTTTTAAAGCTGTTTGACATAGAAATGTATATAGAGCTAAATTATCAGGGCATAGGATTTTTGATCGATACTGGGAAATTAAATTTTCTCTTCCCCAAAGTATTCAAGCATCTCTATACACTTTTCTTTTGGGAGAACTTTTCTACGAATAGATGACGTAGCCCAATTTACATCATCATATTTACTTCTAATTTTTTTATGGCCAGGTTTACAATTGTCACCACTAGGCCAAATGGAGTAAGGGCAAATAAACTGCTCAAAAAAAATTCTCACTTCCAAAAGAGGATTTCAAGAGCGTGCAAATGGAAGTTCATGGGTATGGTGTGTTCCACCTCAACTGTAGCCAATGTCTCTGAAAGAAAGAGATCTTGAACAGGGTATTATCAATGTTGTGATCCAGATCCTGGGAGTTTGCTTGTTGGATCGACCAAATTCGAAGTTTGTGTAAAGATAACTTTGATCCGAGCATATAGTGTTTATAGCCTTGGATATATCATCTTGCTCGATCTCTTCTCTTGGAGGAAAAGCCCAGTTTTTAGTCTTCGATCCTCGCGGAAGAACCAAATCTGTAAGTTGTCTTTGCTCCTCTCCAGCCACCAAGTAAGAAAAATATAAAAACCAGCCATAAACTTTGCCTCGTTGTCCGTCCCTTAAGAATTTTTTAATATAATTTGTCAAGGGTTTACGGTTTTGTAGCTAAGGCGAGAAGTGGGGGATTGAGATCTGGTACTTACTCTCGCCATCACGCAGCTTCGTAAGTTTGTTTCTCTTTTTCTCTCTCTTTTTTTTTTTGGCTAAAACTTTGCTTTGTTTTGGTCCCAGTGGTTGCTATGACCGAGGAGTGGTATTGCGGCGATCCCTGTGATTTAAAGTTACTTCGATGATAGGAAGACAAGAATTACGGGAATTTATGGGCACAGCTCTCTTTTGTCTAGATGCACGCTAAGTTTCTTTCTTTTTTAAAACGCTGATCAACATGAGATTGGGCGGTAGCTTGCCATCATATCTAACGGCCCTCCAGCCCTTGCAAGTTTCATGTAGATCGAAGCTTGCTACCCTCATATCCTCTCTAGTCTTTCGGCCCTCTTATTTCTGTAAGTCTGAACGGAAACTTTCTGGATGGAAGGATTACCCCAACTATTGTCGAGATCTCGTTTGACGGCACGGGCTTTGACAACCTGACAGTATTAAGACGACTTTGCTACAACTGTGTACATATGGCTTAATTGTTTTTCTCCAGGCATCTCAACAACGGTGTGATTCCCACTGTGCTGTCTACGATGCCAAAACTATTTCACCTATACGTGATTTTGCGAGTTGCCACTGCTCATGATAGTTTTAGTCTTCGCCTTCGTGACAGACTGCTGGAAGACAACAACTTTCCAGGAGCCATACCTCCAGAAATCGGCAGCTTGCCACAGCTGAGAATCTTGTGAGAGTTCTCTCTGTTTTCCTTCTTTATAGAGTTGATTGAGCTGCAGATTCTAACTTTTGCTAACTGACAACGACATTGTAATAAACTTGAGGGCCCCGTACCTGAAACCATCAGTCGCCTGGCTTTCCTCCTCGAGCTGTATGATGGTTTTGATTTTGATGAATATTTGACCATCTTGTCTGCTATGCAAAATCTACATCTCATGTGGGTTGCTCCTGATTTTTCTTCTCTGATACCGTTTTACCAGCGATCAGCGATCAATAGTTTAAACCTTGTCGAACAGATTCCGTGAGGCAGCGTGAAAGTTTTAAAGACAAAACTTTTTCTTTGTGACTCTTTGCAGGTTTCTGGAGAACCACTTGTGGTTGCATCGACGCCAGTCATTGAAACTGGTTTCGGTGGAAGAATCTGAAGTATCTGAAATAACAAAATCTGAAGAGTTCTGTCTTGATAGATTTCTGGGCAACTCCAAGATTGACCGTCAAAGGCCAAAACTTTGAGCTGTATCGTGTCAAAGGTGGCACCCTGGTGCTCGGATCAAGCCAAGAATTTGTTTGTGATCACAACGAAGTTTTGTGAAAACGCTTATTTACGGTGTTCAACTCCAATCCCGACAGTTACAAGTGAATGTGTAGCTGAGTTGGTTATGAAAGAGCACATTCTTTCTTGGTTTTCGGCTGCACAGTCTTCCTTGGGATATTGTCATAGTGGATTGAATGACGGCTTAAAAGGATACAACGCACCACCCCTTTGGTCAAAAGCCGTTCGCCAGATATCAGTCACCTCATTGTAAATGCCACCCGAACACCCTTCAAAGTGAAGTATCAAGAAGGTGATCTCCGTCTCACCTCCCGCCACTACCAAACTCCACTCATGCATATTGCTTGCTAGCGGCCCAACTTTTCTCAGATTTGCCGGCAGAATCTCTCTAGGCATTGTTGCCAAGGGTCGCCATTGTCTGGATGCTTCGTCCAGATAGACAAAACCAAGGGTTTGTGCATCCAGTATAAAGTTCGCAAGCACCAGTTTTCCTGAAACCCAGTGAACACAAAACCAAGCATAAAAAGAAAAAGAAAACATAAACTTACCGGCACAATAAACAAGTGAGGTGTTATTGTTTCGGCATCCGTTGTATGGTTCTTGATGCAAGCCCATGGGAAGACTCGTCCAGGTTGCCACAGTCGCCACCTTGCCATCTGAATCCCACACGTTGACGCACTTGAGTGATCTGGTGTTGTTCTTTGCGATCGTGATAAAGTAGAGCTTGTCCTCCCGTAGAAGCATGCAATCGTTGGCGTCATCAAAGGAAGTCTGGGCAATCTCATTCCCGTTTGCGAATACTCGACAAGACGAGACCCATTTGTGAACTCTGGAATCATAAACTTGTAGAACTAGATGGCGTGCACCTACATACGTTGTCTTGATTCCCTGAACAGAAACCACGGAAAACCAAGGCCTGTTGTCACTACCAACTGAAGATTGGATAGCCACGAAAATTATGGTTGGCTCAGAACCAGGTGGTGGAGGCAGCTTCACCAGGGAACTTAAATCTAAGGGGTTGCAAACCACAGCAGTCCCTAAGGTGTTCAAGGGGAAGTATGCAAGAACAAGCCCGGCAGAAGACACACAGATACTTGCTGTTTCCATCGTTGTAAACATCTCGATCATCTTCCATGAAAGAGGCCTTGAATTTCCATCACAGAGACCAACACTGCAAAAACCATCCATGATATACCACTGCCCATTGCAAAACCTGTGAGCTTTGCTATATCCCAAGCCCTGGATTGCGGACTTCCAAGCCTTGCAGACGCTCTTTCCACGGCAAAGTGCCGGCAGTGGCAAGAAGTTTAGAATGTGGAGCTGGAGTTCCAAAGGCAGCTGGGACCAGCTGGGATGATCCAGAGCACCTGTAGTTCTACGCCTCACCTTGAGATTCGTGATCATACCATCCCAGTGCCGCTTTTGCTTCTTCTCCGAAATATTGATAAATGGATCCATACCCTAGCGCAAGGATAAATGATAAAAAGGTAGAAAGAGTCCGGACCCTTTTCTATGTTGGTAATGGGATGGGAATCGAGCGCCAGACCTCTCATAACTCCGTACCCATTGATTGTCGACCTTCCCTGGATCAATCTTTTTCCCTTGCTCGGAATAGTTCATTAGCGAAGACATTGTTTCTTCTTTGATTGATCAATCGATCCATGGGTGGGGCACAAAGCACGGACTTTGGATGGAAGAGAGCGATCGATTGATCAAGGAGGAAACTCTCTTCTGGATTTTGATTGATTTCTCTAGAGCATAGAGATTGAAATATGAGCTTGGAAGCATTTTAGAGGTAATCGAAGAAAAGCGAGAAAGAAAGGCAAAATGTTTTTAGTCAGCCGTCGGATGGCCATAGATCGGACGGCCACAGATCGCGCTTTATAGTAGAGATTCGATGGATATATTTAGGGTTTAACGGGCTGGGCGGGAGAGAAGAGAATGGTGCTGATGAGGCGACGGAGGGAGGATGAGGCGCTGATGAGGCGATGGAGGGAGGAGATGGCGCAGTAGTCCTCGCATAAGCTCAATGTAGCCAAATCGAATCGTCCGAGGTAAGATTTTCCAGATTCTAGTCCCATTCCAGACCGATCGGGCAAAATTTTGCAGCTCCGAAGAAATCTGTCGAATTAATACCCAGGATGGGCTGGAGGAGCAAGATTTCGAAGAAGAGGGACTGGATCAGGAGGACAAGGAGCAAGAACTGGAAGAGCAGGGATTGGAGGAGCAAGGTCCAGGACAGGGAAAGGGCGGGGGATCTATAGAAGACGAAGGACATGAGGGACAGGGTCAAGGAGACGATGAGCAGAACGAGCAGGGCCCAGGGGACAATGGACAGGGAAATGATCTTAATATACTCGTCACTCTGAAGGAGAACTGGATGACAAGGAAAGGACTTGCTTTAGGACGGAAGACAGTGGGACGTCTTTTTGCCCATTTCCCTCCTTCAAAACTAGTGTCTCAGATGGTCAAGCTGGTTGACATAGAAACAAATACAGCACTAGATCATCAGGGCACAGGATTTTTGATCGATACCGGGAAATCAAGTCTTCTCTTCCCTAAAGAACTCAAGAATCTCGATACACCTTTCAAAATCTCTTGGGAGAAAGCTTTTCTACGAAGAGATGATGTGGCCCAATTTCCACCACGGTTTACAATTGTCACCACTAGGCCGGATGGAGTAGGAAGGAATGTACTGCTGATCAGGAATTCTCCACTTCCAAAAGATGGTCTTAAATGGGATTCGAAGAGCGTGCGAATGGAAGTTCATGGGTATGGTGTGTTCCACCTCGACTGTAGCCTAAAGGAGCCTTTAGCATCGTTAAAAGCACTGTAACGATCACACCATTTGTTACTTGTGAATCAACCAGGGGGTGACGATGACGATCAACCAAGGGGTCCAGGGGGTAGGAGTGGCGATGAACCAGGGGGTGGTGATCAACCAGAACCTGGGGCTGACAATCAACCTGGTGGTGACCATGATCAACCAAGAAGGGGCAATTGGCAACGCATAGTATCATCTAGTAGCAGTGGAGATGAGGAGCAGCCAATCCGGAGGAGGCGGCCAATCAGGAGGCGGCTAATAGTCTCAGCAGGCAGCAGTGGCGAAGATCAATCATTCTCGGAGGCACCTGAAGCAGTAGTAGCAATATCTGACGATGCTGCACAGGATTTGGCGAATTTTGTAAGTTGTTTTTTCATTGAAATCCCAAAAGTACTAACAGTTGAAGTTGGAAGGCTTTTGAAGCAGCAGTGACTAGCAACGCAGCACAAGCATTGGTTGCTTTTGTAAGTTACTTTCCTTAAATTCCTGATGACTTACAGTTTGCGCTTGAAGGCCTCTGAGGAAGTTTGAGGGCCTCAACAGCTGCGAGCCAAAACTTTTCCCTCTGTACGTATTAGATTTTTGTCGACGCAGCTGAGTGTCTAGATAGAGTGAGTTGATGTGCTGAAATTTCTAACTTGTTCTTTTTGACGACAGGAACCTCGCTCGTAATAAAACTTGTGCACCTTTGTCTCAAAGCTGGTGCCAACTTGCGGGTCATCTACCAGTATCCAACGATGGTATTTTTACCTCGACTTCTTCTTTGGCTTGAGAGGAGAAGATTATCGTCGTCATGCAAAGATTTTGAATAGGATTTTGGTGCGGATTCCGTTGTCTTTCTCCAGTGCTAATGCCAGTGTGAGGTCAGTACTCTTCAATTTTCCTTAGTCTTTTTTCTTCTGCGACGAAGAACTCCTAATCATGTGGTTGCAGGCAGGACAAATCTCGTGCTCCTGGCTGCACCTAGCGACGGAAGAAGCCATCCACAAATAAAGCGAAAATGTATAGAAACATGAATGGAGAGAATAGGCAAAATGCTATGGCCTGGTCGGCTGGGAAGACATCACACACAGAGAGAATGGCAATGCCTCTGAAAGAAAGAGTCTCTCCCACTGGAGGTGTGCTGTAATCCAGATCCCGGGAGTTTGCTTGTTGGATCGAGCAAAGTTTCGAAAAGACAGAAACACTTTGATCCATCTTGCTCGTCGCAATCTCTGAGTATATATGACTCCCCTGTTCCTCATTGCTCTCCAGATATCTGTGTTTATGGAAGAGAGCTCTTTTCCTGTCTCATATATCTCGATCTCTAGACAGTTTTTAGTCTTGACTCTCAAAAAAGTTTTCTCTTTTTCGCCAAATGAAAGTATAAGAATTTTTTTGTCAAGGTTTTAGGGCTCTGTATGATGATGTCAGAATGAGGCTTGCGGAGGGCGATTGAGATCTGATATTTTTTGCTACTCTCTCCAGCACGCAGATCCGGTGGATTGCTATAGATTGTAAGTTGTTTTTCTTTATCCCTTTTTTTTTCAAAACTTTGTTTTGGTCCCAATGGTTGCTGCTGTTGGTATAGCGGAGATCCCTGTGATTTAGAGTTACTTGCCATGATAGGAAGACAAGAATTACGGGAATGTAAGGGTAAACCTCTCTTTTTTCTAGATGCACGCTAAGTTTTTCTCTGTTTCTTTCTTTTGTAGAACGCTGATCAACACGAGATTGAGCGGTAGCTTGCCGGAATCTAACAGGCCTCCAGCTCTTGTAAGTTTCATTTAGATCGAAGCCTGATAGCCTCAAGTATCTTTGGATATACAAAATCAAGTAACTGGTAATTGTGCTAGGAATCTGCAAACCTGTGGTTTCAACGGGAGTATTCTCTTATTTCTGTAAGTCAAGATATTCCCATTGTTTCCTTTTGGTGTCTAAACAGATCTGCGAACTTATGTTTCTAGAGCTTTGAACGGAAACTTTCTGGATGGAAGGATTCCCCCAACTGTTGGCGAGCTCCCGGTGATCTCGTTTGACGGCACGGGCTTTGACAACCTGACGGTATTAAGACACATGTACGACTTTGCGACGACCGCGTACCATATGGCTTAATTGTTTTTCTCCAGGCATCTCAACAACAACAATCTTTCCGGTGCGATTCCGACTGCGCTGTCTACGACACCAAAACTATTTCACCTGTACATCTTTATTAGATTTTACGAGTCACCACTGCTTATGATATCTGTTCTCTTCGCCTTCGTGACAGACTGCTGGAAGACAACAACTTTCCAGGAGCCATACCTCCAGAAATCGGCAGCTTGCCACAGCTGAGAATCTTGTGAGAGTTCTCTCTGTTTTCTTTCTTTATAGAGTTGTTTGAGCTGCAGATTCTAACTTTTGCTAACTGACAACGACATAGTAATAAACTTGAGGGCCCCGTACCTGAAATCATCAGTCGCCTGGCTTTCCTCCTCGAGCTGTATGATGGTTTTGATTTTGATTGTCTTACGCTAACTGATGAATATTTGACCATTTTGTCTGCTATGCAAAATCTACATCTCATGTGGGTTGCTCCTGATTTTTCTTCTCTGATACCGTTTTACCAGCGATCAGTGATCAATAGTTTAAACCTTGTCGGACAGATTCGGTGAGGCAGCGTGAAAGTTTTAAAGACAAAACTTTTTTTTTGTGACTCTTTGCAGGTTTCTGGAGAACCACTTGAATGGTTGCATCGACGCCAGTCATTGAAACTGGTTTCGGTGGAAGAATCTGAAGTATCTGAAATAACAGAATCTGAAGAGTTTTGTCTTGATAGATTTCTTGGCAACTCCAAGATTGACCGTCAAAGGCCAAAACTTTGAGCTGTATCATGTGTGTGTCAAAGTTGGCACCTGGTGCTCGGATCAAGCCAAGAATTTCTTTGTAATCACAACCAAATTTTGTGAAAACGCTTATTTACGATGTTCAACTCCAATCCCGACAGTTACAAGTGAATGTGTAGCTGAGTTCTTTCTTGGTTTTCGCCTGCACAGTCTTCCTTGGGATCTTGTCATAGTGGATTGAATGATGGCTTAAAAGGATACAACGCACCACCCCTTTGGCCAAAAGCCGTTCGCCAGATATCAGTCACCTCATTGTAAATGCCACCCGAACGCCCTTCAAAGTGACGTATCAACAAGGTGATCTCCGTCTCACCTCCCGCCACTACCAAACTCCACTCATGCATATTGCTTGCTAGCAGCCCAACATTTCTCAGATTTGCCGGCAGAATCTCTCTAGGCATTGTTGCCAAGGGTCGCCATTGTCTGGATGCTTCGTCCAGATAGACAAAACCAAGGGTTTGTGCATCCAGTATAAAGTTCGCAAGCACCAGCTTTCCTGAAACCCAGTGAACACAAAACCAAGCATAAAAAGAAAAAGAAAACATAAACTTACCGGCACAGTAAACAAGTGAGGTGTTATTGTTTCGGCATGGGCCGTTGTATGGTTCTTGATGCAAGCCCATGGGAAGACTCGTCCAGGTTGCCAAAGTCGCCACCTTGCCATCTGAATCCCACACGTTGACGCACTTGAGTGATCTGGTGTTGTTCTTTGCGATCGTGATAAAGTAGAGCTTGTCCTCCCGTAGAAGCATGCAATCGTTGGCGTCATCAAAGGAAGTCTGGGCAATCTCATTCCCGTTTGTGAATACTCGACAAGACGAGACCCATTTGTGAACTCTGGAATCATAAACTTGTAGAACTAGATGGCGTGCACCTACATACGTTGTCTTGATTCCCTGAACACAAACCACGGAAAACCAAGGCCTGTTGTCACTACCAACTGAAGATTGGATAGCCACGAAAATTATGGTTGGCTCAGAACCAGGTGGTGGAGGCAGCTTCACCAGGGAACTTAAATCTAAGGGGTTGCAAACCACAGCAGTCCCTAAGGTGTTCAAGGGGAAGTATGCAAGAACAAGCCCGGCAGAAGACACACAGATACTTGCTGTTTTCATCCTTGAAGGTCTAAACATCTCGACCATCTTCCATGAAAGAGGCCTTGAATTTCCATCACAGAGACCAACACTGCAAAAACCATCCATGATATACCACTGCCCATTGCAAAACCTGTGAGCTGTGCTATATCCCAAGCCCTGGATTGCGGACTTCCAAGCCTTGCAGACGCTCTTTCCACGGCAAAGTGCCGGCAGTGGCAAGAAGTTTAGAATGTGGAGCTGGAGTTCCAAAGGCAGCTGGGACCAGATGGGATGATCCAGAGCACCTGTGATTCTACGCCTCACCTTGCGATTCGTGATCATACCATCCCAGTGCCGCTTTTGCTTCTTCTCCGAAATATTGATAAATGGATCCATACCCTAGCGCAAGGATAAGTGATAAAAGGGTAGAAAGAGGAATCTGTAGTAAGAGGATGATCCTTAAGTACTGCCCTAGCCACAGAAACTTATGCCCCTTTCTATGTTGGTAATGGGATGGGAATCGAGCGCAAGACCTCTCATAACTCCATACCAATTAATTTTTTTCCCTTGCTCGAAATAGTTCATTGAGAGATTAATTCACCTATTGTTTCTTCTTTGATCAATCAATCGATCCATGGGTGGGGCACAAAGCACGGACTTTGGATGGATCGATTGATCAAGGAGGAAACTCTCTTCTGGATTTTGATTGATTTCTCTAGAGCATAGAGATTGAAATATGAGCTTGGAAGCATTTTAGAGGTGTGTGTCAATCGATGAAAAGATACCAAGGCAAAATGTTTTTAGTCAGCCGTCGGATGGCCATTGATCGGACGGCCACAGATCGCGCTTTATAGTAGAGATCGATAGATATATTTAGGGTTTAACGGGCTGGGCGGGAGAGAAGAGAATGGTGCTGATGAGGCGACGGAGGGAGGATGAGGCGCTGATGAGGCGATGGAGGTAGGATCAGGCGCCGATGGCGCAGTAGTCCTCGCATAAGCGCAATGTAGCCAAATCGAATCGTCCGAGGTAAGATTTTCCAGATTCTAGTCCCATTCCAGACCGATCGGGCAAAATGTTGCAGCTCCGAATGGAAATCTGTCGAATTAATACCCAGGATGGGTTGGAGGAGCAAGATTTCGAAGAAGAGGGACTGGATCAGGAGGACGAGGAGCAAGAACTGGAAGAGCAGGGATTGGAGGGGCAAGGTCCGGGACAGGGAAAGGGCGGGGGATCTATAGAAGACGAAGGACATGAGGGACAGGGTCAAGGAGACGATGAGCAGAACGAGCAGGGCCCAGGGGACAATGGACAGGGAAATGATCTTAATATACTCGTCACTCTGAAGGAGAACTGGATGACAAGGAAAGGACTTGCTTTAGGACGGAAGACAGTGGGACGTCTTTTTGCCCATTTCCCTCCTTCAAAACTAGTGTCTCAGATGGTCAAGTTGGTTGACATAGAAACAAATACGGCGTTAGATCATCAGGGCACAGGGTTTTTGATCGATACCGGGAAATCAAGTCTTCTTTTCCCTAAAGAACTCAAGAATCTCGATACACCTTTCAAGATCTCTTGGGAGAAAGCTTTTCTACGAAGAGATGATGTGGCCCAATTTCCACCACGGTTTACAATTGTCACCACTAGGCCAGACGGAGTAGGAAAGAATGTACTGCTGATCAGGAATTCTCCACTTCCCAGAGATGGTCTCCAATGGGATTCCAAGAGCGTACGAATGGAAGTTCATGGGTATGGTGTGTTCCACCTCAACTGTAGCCTGAAGGAGCCTCTAGCATCGTTGAAAGCACTGCAACGATCACACCATTTGTTACCTGTGAATCAACCAGGGGGTGACGATGACGATCAACCAAGGGGTCCAGGGGGTGGGAGTGGCGATGAACCAGGGGGTGGTGATCAACCAGAACCTGGGGCTGACAATCAACCTGATGGTGACCATGATCAGCCAAGAAGGGGCAATCGGCAACGCATAGTATCATCTAGTAGCAGTGGAGACGAGGAGCAGCCAATCCGGAGGAGGCAGCCAATCCGGAGGAGGCGGCCAATCAGGAGGCGGGTAATAGTCTCAACAGGCAGCAGTGGCGAAGATGAATCATTCTCGGAGGCGCCTGAAGCAGTAGTAGCGATATCCGACGATGCTGCACAAGATTTGGCGAATTTTGTAAGTTGTTTTTTCATTGAAATCCCAAAAGTACTAACAGTTGAAGTTGGAAGGCTTTTGAAGCAGCAGTGACTAGCGACGCAGCACAAGCATTGGTTGCTTTTGTAAGTTACTTTCCTTAAATTCCTGATGACTTACAGTTTGTGCTTGAAGGCCTCGGAGGAAGTTTGAGGGCCTCAACAGCTGCGAGCCAAAACTTTTCCCTCTGTACGTATTAGATTTTTGTCGACGCAGCTGAGTGTCTAGATAGAGTGAGTTGATGTGCTGAAATTTCTAACTTGTTCTTTTTGACGACAGGAACCTCGCTCGTAATAAAACTTGTGCACCTTTGTCTCAAAGCTGGTGCCAACTTGCGGGTCATCTACCAGTATCCAACGATGGTATTTTTACCTCGACTTCTTCTTTGGCTTGAGAGGAGAAGATTATCGTCGTCATGCAAAGATTTTGAATAGGATTTTGGTGCGGATTCCGTTGTCTTTCTCCAGTGCTAATGCCAGTGTGAGGTCAGTACTCTTCAATTTTCCTTAGTCTTTTTTTCTTCTATGACGAAGAACTCCTAATCATGTGGTTGCAGGCAAGACAAGTCTCGTGCTCCTGGCTGCACTTAGCGACGGAAGAAGCCATCCACAAATAAAGCGAAAATGTATAGAAAAATGAGTGGAGAGAATAGGAAAAATGCTATGGCCTGGTCGGCTGGGAAGACATCACACACAGAGAGAATGGCAATGCCTTTGAAAGAAAGAGTCTCTCCCACTGGAGGTGTGCTGTAATCCAGATCCCGGGAGTTTGCTTGTTGGATCGAGCAAAGTTTCGAAAAGACAGAAACAGTTTGATCCATCTTGCTCGTCGCAATCTCTGAGTATATATGACTCCACTGTTCCTCATTGCTCTCCAGATATCTGTGTTTATGGAAGAGAGCTCTTTTCCTGTCTCATATATCATCCTTACTCGATCTCTAGACAGTTTTTAGTCTTCGACTCTCGAAAAAGTTCTCTTTTTCGCCAAATGGTAGTATAAGAATTTTTTTGTCAAGGTTTTAGGGCTCTGTATGATGATGCCAGAATGAGGCTTGCGGAGGGCGGTTGAGATCTGATATTTTTTGCTACTCTCTCCAGCACGCAGATCCGGTGGATTGCTATAGATTGTAAGTTGTTTTTCTTTGTCCCTTTTTTTTCAAAACCTTGTTTTGGTCCCAAAGGTTGCTGCTGTTGGTATAGCGGAGATCCCTGTGATTTACTGGAGACTTACTTGCCATGATAGGAAGACAAGAATTACGGGAATGTAAGGGTAAACCTCTCTTTTTTCTAGATGCACGCTAAGTTTTTCTCTGTTTCTTTCTTTTGTAGAACGCTGATCAACACGAGATTGAGCGGTAGCTTGCCGGAATCTAACAGGCCTCCAGCTCTTGTAAGTTTCATTTAGATCGAAGCCTGATAGCCTCAAGTATCTTTGGATATACAAAATCAAGTAACTGGTAATTGTGCTAGGAATCTGCAAACCTGTGGTTTCAACGGGAGTATTCTCTTATTTCTGTAAGTCAAGATATTCCCATTGTTTCCTTTTGGTGTCTAAACAGATCTGCGAACTTATGTTTCTAGAGCTTTGAACGGAAACTTTCTGGATGGAAGGATTCCCCCAACTGTTGGCGAGCTCCCGGTGATCTCGTTTGACGGCACGGGCTTTGACAACCTGACGGTATTAAGACACATGTACGACTTTGCGACGACCGCGTACCATATGGCTTAATTGTTTTTCTCCAGGCATCTCAACAACAACAATCTTTCCGGTGCGATTCCGACTGCGCTGTCTACGACGCCAAAACTATTTCACCTGTACATCTTTATTAGATTTTGCGAGTCGCCACTGCTTATGATATCTGTTCTCTTCGCCTTCGTGACAGACTGCTGGAAAAAAACAACTTTCCAGGAGCCATACCTCCAGAAATCGGCAGCTTGCTACAGCTGAGAATCTTGTGAGAGCTCTCTCTTTTTCTTTCTTTAGAGTTGATTGAGCTGCAGATTCTAACTTTTGTAAACTGACAACAACAGGAGACGCGATAATAATAAACTTGAGGGCCCCCGTACCTGAAACCATCAGTCGCCTGGCTTGCCTCGAGCTGTATGATGATTGTCTTACGCTAACTGATGAATATCTGCAGACATTTGACCATTACTCTACTTGTTGGGAACTTGCCAGACTTCTGCTATGCAAAATCTCCAGCTCATGTGAGTTGCTCTTGATTTTTCTTCTAATAGGCCTCTGTACCAACGATCAGGTTAATCAATAGTTTTTCAAGGGAAACCTTGTCGGACAGTTTCCAACGGGGCTATCCTGCCTTGAGGCGCCGTGAAAGTTTTAAAGACAAGAATTTTTCTTTGTGACTCTTGACATGATCAGCTGCAGGTTTCTGGAGAACCGCTTGAATGGTTGCATCGGCCGCGAGTAATTGGAACTGGTTTCGGTGGAAGAATCTGTGCCAATTACAGACGGTCAGGTAAGAGTATGGATACGCACAATCTTTCTCGTAAGTGGCATTTGACTGCTCTTGTACATGTCTTACAGGAAGTTCTGTTTGCAACGACAACAATCCTGACAAGTTTGTGCGAGTGATAGAATATAGAAACCGTCAATCGGTGCGGTATTACGAGAAAACTTTGCTACCAGCTTCTTTGCCGAGAAGAATGAAGTGGTAAAGTCTATTGTGCACTATATCACTCCATTCTTCTTGGCGAAACTGATAGACAGGGTTGACAACGATACGGGGCAACTTTCCTCGGCACTTCACATTACTCCGGGCGACTTATACCTTCGTCATGACAAACGCAAACCATCCATAAACAGGTTCTTTTCTTCTTCTTTTTTTTGTTTTGTTTTCGTCCTGGAATGCTAGTGTGCTTCTCTTTATTTTCCTCAGGTGGTAGCCAAACAAACAAGTTTATGTTTGTTGTCACTCTCTGCATCTACGTCGGAGTTTCAGTTGCGATAGCGGGTCTCTGTATCTTTTTTCTCGTTATGAGTTTTTCTCGTTATGAACAGAAAGCGGACGAGGAGCCCATGGTGAAAGCTGACTTTCTCATTTTTGTTTTTCTCCTTTGGTTTCAGCAGCTTTGTGAAGATTGCTCCCAAGTTCAAAGGTGGCTTAAGAAACTTCTCCAGCCACCACTTGATTGGTGTCGGTGGCGATAGCAAGGTACGGAGCCTTCTTTCTCGTACAAAATGCGTGGAGTGGGAGTTGAATTAAAAAAGGAAAAAAATGGGTTACAGGTATACAAAGGACAGCTGCACACAGGATCAGAAGTTGTGGCAATCAAGCAGCCCAGAAAGAATATCTACAAGGCGTCGAAGAATTCCGACCTGAGATCGAGCTGTTTTCACGCTTGCACCACAAGAATCTGGTGAACCTCATCGGCTTTTGTACAGATGATGGAGAACAGATGCTCGTCCATGCCCAACCGGACTTTTAGGAGACCATCTCTATGGTAACTGCTGCTTCTCTTCACTTTGCATTTCTTGGTTGGGAATAAGTTGTATACACTGACAAGACAGCCTCTAATGCTGCAGAGCAAGCTCTCAACTGAAAGACACGTTTCTCCATCGCACTTGGCTCTGCAAAAGGGGAATACCTTCACGAGCTGGCGGATCCTCGCATTATCCACTGAAACATCAAATCCTCCAACATTTTACTGGACAAGAACTTGGTGGCCAAAGCCGCGGGCTTGGGCCGCTCAAAGCTGGCGCCAACTTGTAGCGACAAGACATATACCAGTATCCAAGTGAAGAAACTCCGGTATGTCTACTTTTCTACATCTATCAGCTCTACAGCTTTGGAGTGGTGCTCATCAAGAAGCAGCCGATTGTTCATCGTGAAGGAGATCAAGGAGTCGGTCCCCTGGGGTGGTGTTGCCTTGCTGCTCTCTTTCATGGACAATCCGGCTGTGCATGGAAGATTCTGACCACAAGATGAGAGCTTGAGGAGATGATCAAGCTGCAAGAGGTGCATGGCTGATCACGAACAGAACTGTGACAGTGACGGGAACGAGGCAGCCGAATAGAGCAGCTTCAACGTTGGTCTTGAATCTGAAGTGTTCAGCGATGAGCTCCCAAGCTTTCGCTTTTATGGCAGCTGAGGAGGGAAAAAGGCGAGCCGGATTGGACCACCGGTGTACAGTGGAGGATTAAAACGGGGAGGAGGAGATATCGCGACAGTGGAGAAGAATAAAATACTCGAGGAGAAGAAGATCATCACCGTCACCAAGCTGGCTTGCTGAGGAGAGAGTTGGGAAGAACTTCCAAGCGACTGGTGCGGATTCCTTTCATCTTTAGGATGGTACACTACTGCAAAATGCCAGTGTGAGGTCAGTACTCTTCAAACTTTCCTTTTTTCTTCTTCCGCGATGGAGAGCTACTTCTAATCATGTAGAGAGGTCTGGTTGCAGGCAGGAGGCTGGTGCCAAGCATCGTGCTCCTGGCTGCGAGCGTGAACCACAAAGAAAACGAAAATAAAAAGTATAGAAAACAGGAAGAAAGATCCAACACTATGGCCCGGAGGGGAAAATATCACCAGCTTTGGTGCGTCGGCTGGAATGACATCATGCACGAGCTCGTTTGGCGACGTCACGTACTCGCCGGGAAGAGATGGGAGCGATGAAAAGATCGGCTGCGAGCTTTGTCTCCAAAGGACGAGCGAGAGAGAGACGAGAGAACTGCGGCTCCATCCTTTCATCAATGCCAGACCGAAAAGAAAGAAAGGATTGAAAGATGGATCACTCCAACCTTGAGACACTGAACTGGACGAGCAGGGAAAGGAGAGCTTGACAATGCTGTGATGCACATCCTGGGAGTTTGCTTTTGTTGGATCTACCAAAGTTTCGAAGTTTGCGTTGCGGATAGAAACTCCTTGATCTATCTCGCTCGTCGCAATCAGTACATGACTCCACTGCTACTTGATGGTTCCTTTTTTTTTTCTTCGCGCTCTCTAGCGTGATCGTATGCCCATCATTTGAGCTGTTAGCTAGCTGCTTGCTGCTCATCTGTCACAAAATAAAATATCTCTAAAAAAATAAAAATATCGTGAAGAATTAAGGGAAAAGTTCCAAGAGAAAAAAGGGACTCTTGATATTTCTTATCTTTTTTTCCTGCTTTTTTTTTCTTCTACTAATAGCACCGAGAGAAAGAAGTATTTAAGCTCTTAACGCACGCTTAAGAAGGTAGAAAAAAAAGTAATAAAGTAGCAAGCAAGAGGTACTTCTATAAGCGATCCTTTCCAGCAAATTTCCAGAGCTTGTGTAGCTACGATTGTTATGGAAGCTTGCTCTCCAGAGATATGTGTTTATGGAAGAGAGCCTTTGATATACCATCTTGCTCGATCTCTTCTCTCTGTCAAACAAAGCTGGAGGAAAAGCCCAGTTTTGATCTTCGATCCCTCGTCCAGATCGAGGAAGAACCAAGCCTGACGATCGAATCTGTAAGTGAGCTTTAGTGTCTTTGCTCCTCTCCAGCCAGCCAAGTAAAGAAAAATATAAAAAGCAGCCATAAACTTCGCCTCGTTGTCCATCCACCCTGTTCTAGCTATGGATGATGATTTAGTGTTGCATTGGATCTCTTCGTTATCTTCTCTTTTTTTTGTCTCGAATCGTCAGTGCTTTGGAGGCCCTGTCTTGTTGGGAGGGCACTGGTAGCACTTAGCGAAGAGGCCGAAAGTATCAATCTGGTGGACGAAGTTCGTCACGCTCGCCCAGCCTCCAAATCCCACTCCAATCACCGCAATCCACACCACGATGAAGAAGTTTACCAGGTATACCAGCGTCCAGCTCGGGAGAAAAAATGGTGGCTTCTCGACAGAATTCTGGCAAGCCAAAACAAAAAAACGTGTTAGCAACAGCACAATCTCACGAAGATCTAGAGAAACAAGCAGATCTTTGGCACTCGAAAAAGAAAAGGAGAAGCTCTCAGAGAAACAAGCAAGAAAAAAAATCTCATCTTTGGCACTCAAAGGAAACGAGCAGTGGAAGAACTTCCAGAAAAACGAGATTTTGCGAGAAACTTACCGCCCTGGCGAAGGCTGTTCTATACGTGATCATGTGTGCGAGCGAGGGGATGATATAGACAGTGAAGGTGACGAGGAGCGCCCCGACCGCGGAGTTGATTGGGCCGAAGAATGGAAAGATGATGGCCAAAAACCAAATGGGGAGCACCACGGGGACTCTGGCCAGCGCTCGCACGGGGAGATTGGCCGTCTTGTGAATGCCCAGAATCTTCTCCCACACGATGTACAGCGGCGTGCATGCGAATCCAAACGTGATGAACTGTTTTCCATCGCGAGAATCGAGGAATCAGAAGAAAGAAAAACTTGGCAAACTTTCCTCTTTCTTTCTTCTCGGGAAGAAGAAGAAGAAGAAGAAGAAGAAGAAGTAAAGAAGAGCTCGAGGAAAGAAAAAAGCTTGCCTGATGGATGAGCATGAGAATGACGGCGATGTCACGGAAGGCGTTCTTGGGAAGAAGAGCAAGCGCGTTGGATTTCGTCAAGAGATTGTCACCGAAAGCCCAGTAGACTGCCGTGGCGGACGGGAGTGTCAAGGTGAAGACGTAGATGGTAGCGACGAGATAGACCCACTTGAACTTTTGGGGCTTCCACATCGCGTGCATGATCTCCCTGGGAAGATCAAAGTTTATGAGAAGATGCCTATCGATCCATGCAAGAACAGCGAAAGAAGCGAAAGCTTACACAGTCACCGCATGGCCTCCAAATGTATAGAGTATGTTTGTGGCTCCAGTGAAGTAGAGCACCAGTTTGCTCGCTCCAGTGTGCTTGACATTGTCCGCCTATGGCAGGAGTTCCAAGAGATTAGCAAAGATCGAAAGAGCTCTCGTGATAGTGACAGAGCTCACGAAACTATACTCGCCCCCCTCCCTCCACTCACACTTCCGTGTTGTGGGGAGAAAGGAGAGAACGAATAGCGCGAGAGAGAGAGGAAGACAAGACAAAGTGGGAATTTGGGAGATTTTTCTTTGTTCTTCTTCTCTACCTGGCCGTGGACGATCGCAGCGATGGTCATGTACCAGGCCGTGTAAGTGGTCATCCCCAAGCCGAGGAAGGACCACACTCGATAGTTGTGAAAAGACGGGATGAGCACTGTTGTCATGCAGCAAGCACCGAAGATATATGTCCATGTCCGCTTGGACAAAGAATCGTTGATGTAATAGATGTTGCTGCAAGAGAAAACAAGCGAGCCCAAGAGTTTCAAATCAGAAACAGTCCTTTGAAAGGGAACTTAGAAGAGGAAACATCCCACAAACACCAGATGCCGCAGCAAGGCATTTGCTGGGATATCGACGTACCTCGCACAGGCGATGAGCTGAATCACGGAGCCAAAGAGCAAGAAGGTGCAGTTAAACCCGAATCCTATCGCTTTCCAGTAAGGCCCGAGCAAGCCATCCAAGACCTCGAACCACTGCAACAAGAGAAACCATCGCTCGCGACTCAAGAACACCAAAGATTGGAAAAGATGGAGAAAGATCGATCTTTGCTTCTTGCTTCTTACCTGGATGATGTGGTTCTTGAAGCTCACATTCTCCTTCTCCTTGCGATTGCGGTACTCGACGTAGAGCCAGCTGATGAGATAGGCGGTCCAGGCCCCGAGCAGGCCATAGAAGACCTGGAAGACAATGCCCGACGCGAATCCCAGCTGCGAGAAGGAGTATGGCAGCGTGAGCAGCACTTGAGCCACCTGGAAATCACCACAGAAGAAACCGTGAGGCGAAGATCACAAGCACAACAACGAAGAAGAGGAAGAAGAAAAAAAAAAGTCCCAAAACTGTGTGTTTGTCCTCACACAGGGCAATCAATCAATCAATCAAGCCGAGGACTTTGCCAGCACGCAAGGATGGCTGTTCTTGCTGGCTATGGCCGCCAGGGAGGAGAGAAAATATCACGCCCACTCTTGTCTTCCTCCACCAAATCCATGGCGGACGCATTAAATGAGGAAGAGAGGATGTAAGATCGAAGAGGGAGAGATTTCTAGAGCAATGCATTGGATCGATCTATCCACCTGATTGGAAGCGCAGCTAAACCAGGCATCGTAGACGCTGCCCCCGTGCCAAAAGAGCGCTTTGATTCCCTGGACTCTGTTCTGGTTGTTCTCCACGAGACCATCTTGCTCCTTTCGATCCAACTCCATCTCGGTGTAGTTGCCTACCATCTCTTCCTTGCCTTCCACCACCATGGCTCCAACTCGCGCGAAGAAGATCCAACGAAACAAATGTAGCTCTGTTCTTGGAAGAAGAAGACCAATGTGGGCTCGAGATCGCGGCTCCAAGGCGAGAATTTGGCGACTTGGGCTGGCAGGAATGCGTGGCGAGAGGCGAAATCCGGGGCCTCGGCGTGAGATTGGGAGCGATCCACACGATTCACGAGCGGTGCTTGGAGTGTCTGTGTAGTGTGGAGCAGCGAAAAGATGGAGAGAATGGAGAAAAGGGGGGGATGGAATCAACAGAGAGTAGGAAGGGGGGCCGCACAGCCAATACCATCATAGCGCACTACCACAACCATCTCTCCTCTTCTTCTTCGTCTCTCCCTTTTGCGGCGAGAATCTTTCCCTCTTTTCTCCCTCCCCTGCGCGAGGAAAGCAAGAAAGAATGAATGCTCTGTTTTCTGGGAGAGGAGGGGAGATAAATCGATCGCGATTGGAATGCGAGTGGATCCGGAGCACGAGAGATCGGGAGGCGAGGTGGAAGCAAGCCCGTAAAAGCTGGGAGTCGCGAAAAACTGGCAAGCAATTCGTGGAATGGATGGAAGAATTGATCGAAGCTTTCGCTCTCAATGTTCTTCCATGGGAGGAGATATGGATGACGAGAAAAGAGAGAATGGAGAGCCCTTTCCCTCCACTTCCTCTTCTTCTTCTCCTTTCTTCTTTCTCTCTGCACAGATGCCTAGGCGATGGATTTATTTGCACAAACTCTCTCCTCCTCCTGTCTAGCTATGGATTACAAAACAAATAGAGAAATAAGGACACCGCCCCTGCCAGGGACCCAGTGTGAACGCACTTAGGGCGAACCCACACTTACCACCTTTTTTCCCTTGATTAGGGCACCGCCATTAGCGACTAACCCTCCCCCCGTTTTCGTTTTTCGTTGGTTGGTTTGCCTTCTCTCGTGCCGAGGTGGGGGCATTCATTGCAATACCCAAAGTTTGCCCCACACGAGCGTGCCATTTAATATAAAGGAGAAAGCTCCCATTCTTCTTCTTCTTCTTCCTTTTTTTAATTTCTATCTCCGCTAAAATAATATTATTTTTTATATATCTCTTCACATACGCATACATAGTCATTCATACACCATGCATTAAAAAAACAAAACAGAAAAATTGATTAAAAAATATTGAAATAGGGTGAGGTGTGAACGAGGTATCTGGAATCTACTGGAATCCGACAAGCTTTCATCCAAGTGCCAAGGAGGCCAGTCATTGCCCATATCCCCTGCATTGGCATTTGCTGCTACTTGACAGAGGCATGCCACCACCACCGCCCTTTCCCCTTCTTTCTTGGCATGCCATCTTTTCTGTGTGCCAGGCATCATACTAATCAATTAGAAAACTAAAAACACATTAATATCAATAATCAATACTATACTGATACACTATTCTATCCTGTTATCGATAATTTTTCTAATGTTTGTTCGTATCTATACGCCCGACAAGCTAGCCGACAAAAGCGACGATTCCAACAACAAATGCCCACGCTGGGTAAATTTGCTGACCACCTTTTTTACCCTCTCAAGTAACGCACAGAAGGGAAGAGGCACTTTTTTTTTTCACTTTTGGGGCCTTCCTTGCGGCAGTCGCATTGTAAGAGCTCTGGGTGTGTGTTGCGTTTGTGGATGGCCACTCACCGCGCGGGTGTACGGCACCGTGATCCCGGGGTACGGACCCCCACACCGTACGCTCTCATACGGTGCTTAGCTTTGGGATCTTAGTTAGATCTGGCGGTCAACGCAACGCAAACGATGCGATGCCACGGCCGGATTTGGCAGACCACCTCCATTTCGTCCTTTCGCCAAACTTGTCAGCGAGGAGTGTGTTCCTACATATGCGTTTACACTACCGTATATGCGTACGCCATCGTCAAGCGTATGTGTGGACCGCATGACGCCATGCCAGGATTCCCCACATGGAAAGGAAAGATTCCCGTCGGAGAATAATGTGTGCGATGGGGATGACCTAGTCATATATGCCAATGTTCTCCGTACTTGGTCACGTACAGTGTGATTTATATACTTGGTTCGTGGTGATTGATGTAGCTTAAACTCCAAGCGTGCTGGAATTGAATTGTTGTTTTGTTCAGGTGCCTTTGATCCCACGGAACTGGAGACTGGATCGAGGACACACGGGCAAAGTTATCATGGTCTTTGCCAAGCGTGGGCATTTGCCTAGATAACGGCGAATTAAATGGCTTGATCGAGCAAACTTGGGGGCAACCTTGACGAAGTTACGTGATGACGATCAAGCTGCTGCTGCTGCTGCTGCTCAAGTTAAAAAAATCCGCGGAACGAGATTCCTTGACCAATCTAAGTTTCTAAGAATGGAAATTGGAAGGGGTTGATTGACCATGTTTAAGCAAACCGGGTTGCGAGGGTGGCGAGAAAAATATAACTGATCCCGTGTGGATCCGCTGTAGATTCTTGAAGCTTTCAAACTTATCCTCGCCTCAATCAATCATCACAATCTGGGGCACAGCATGGGAGGGAGACCTAAACAATGGAAAAAAAAGAGGATTATACAACCCCACCACCCAATCCAAAACGCCACCACCGCAAGCAATCCCACATCATTGGGACCGGAAAATGCCAAGCGAATGGGATTCGAACCCGGCCTGGCACGCCGAGCAAGCATCCTGACCGTCGGATCTGGACGAGATGGAACCGTTGGCATGTCACGTGCGGGGCTCACGCGCGCATGCGCATGCATCATGGCATGGCTGGCATGCATGCATGGCAGGCTGTGACACGTGGCATGGGTGATGCATGCACACGTCATTTTTAAAAATGTATTTTAGGGTTAGGGCTAACACCGTCAGCTTACTGGTAAAAGTAAATCCTGATAGGAGTCAAAAGCGAGCACTTGTGGATTGGAATCAATCAAGAACACTGAGAATTGTCAATGCTTATATCCGCGAAGATTGTTTTGCTTTACAATTGTTTTTCAAAGGGGTGCCAGTACAAGCACAAGTTTCATTGCGAATGCAGTGAACAAAACCCCTCCTCCGCTGCTAAAGTTCTATCCTCCACTCAAAGGGGGCGGGCCAAAGCTTCCATTGATTCACATTTGCCCTTTCATTTGGGCGTGATTGGACTACATTCCTTGCTCCAAATGAGAACCATGTCACGGACATTCTCGCCTAGAGATCTCTACACCGCCCCTCCCCAGGAATCTTTGGAGCATCTCAAGATTTCAATCAAAACCTGGGTGGTGGATTTGGAAGCCAGCAGCACACCACACAATAGAGCACCACCACATTTGTACCAAAGCAATCAACAAGCACAGGAGGAGGAAAAATTGCCACCTTTTGCAATATATCTTGTTTCTTGGGGCCTTGTGTGAAACCGTTTGGGCTGCCAACTTGCTCTTTTATGATCAAGAAATGTTGAGCTTGTGGATGTTGTTGTACAGCTGGAAATAAGAGTGTCATAAGTGGGTGTAGATCCCTCCATTGTTTCAGATGAAAATTGCAGCTTGGATTGTTGGAGGAGAGTTTTCAGCCCCACATAAGAGAGGGGCTTGAATCTTTTCAAGTTTTTCAAATATAAATGCTAGTTTTTGAAAAAAGAAAAAAGAGTAAATGTAAGGAATATGGTGAAAGACACCTTTCACTCATTAAAATTTCTATCTTTTGAGGCCCAGTGTGTGATTGTAAAAGAAGAGAGAAATGAAAAGGAAGAGATTGGGGTGTGGCATGCTTTTGTTTGTTTTTTCAGTGGGATGGTCACTTCCAACCAATAGTTGTTGTTTTATGTTATTTATATAGTGGCTTGCACCATAAAAGAAGTGAGTGTGACCTTGTGTTTTTCCCCACACTGGTGCAAGATTGGAAGAAGCTGCAAAACAAGGAGCTCTCAACAAGAAAAGAGAGATGTTGATAGTAACAAAGAGCAAACCTGATCAAATTAATATCAAATCAGAGCTTCCTTCGCTTTCACCATAAAGCCCAAGGTACTTAATTCCAATCCTTTTTCTTGTTTCATGGAGCAAAACAAACATCACGAAACAACAAATCTGGGTTTTGTTTGGACACTTTGGTCTGTTTCACTGGAAAGCAAATGATCATTGTCGCATGCCTGCCTAAGCAACAAAACTAAACAAAAACAGGTCTGGCCGGTTTTCATAGTCAATACAGTAATAATAGTAATAATAATTAAAATAAGCACTCAACCAACAAGCTAATGATAATATAGTTCTCCCATGATTGCCTCTTGCATTTGGTGATCCTCTTGTTATTTGTTATAGTATTATTGGCTCTATTATCTTTTTTTTAGTTATAAGCTAACAATCGAGAAAATTCCCCCATGCGTGATAATAATCATCAGAGCAACTATCGTTACTATGCTATGATGAATTTGAGCACTAAACTCCTGAAGTGAGTGAGATGGAAGTTCACGTATTTTGCTTGCTGCCAGCTTCGAGGGATCAGCTGGAATTGCACAAATAAGCATCCCCGATTCATAACAGGAGCAATAAGAATCTAGATTTGTTTCACACCTTTGTGCTCCGTGACGTAGTGGTGGAGCTGGGCAATTGGACCGCCATCAATCCCAGCAGCATTAACATTTTGTGGAGAGCAAAAGCAAGCAAGAGGCTCTTGCGGTTTAACACACCCAAGAAAGAAAACAGCTAAAAAAGTGTAAGAAACTCAACCTGGTCTTGTTTTGTGATGCCCAACAACCAAAAGATTCCTCTCATACAATCTCCAAAGCAGTCATAGATTGTGTTGTCTTTGAATGAAAACAAAATACAACGAATCTAAACACCAAACCAAATTATAATCAATATTAATTTATACTAGTTAATAATGGTAAAAAGGAAACTGTGCATGTTGTTGCTCTTGACGTATCACCAGCATGGAAAAATCCAGTACGGTTTAGTTTAGAGGGCCGTAAGTGTCAAGTTTTTCCACGTAGAAGTTTTTCCCCTCGCTTTGCCGTTTGTCAGATAGCTCTTGCTCTAAAGTTGCTACAACAACCAAGAACACGAGTTCAAACGAAGCTCTCGAGTGTTATAAAATTAAACAATCGTTTCTTCTTCATTCCAATGTGTTATAATCGTTCCCTCCTAGATCCAATGTGCTATAATCGTCTCCCCGTGTATTATAACAAAGCATGGCACATGAAAGCCTTGAATATAAAACACCATGTTGGTGGTGTTGTCGCTGTATGCTTGTTTGTGTGGTTTTCATACTTTTTGCCCCTCTCCTGATGATAGCAACTCAAGCAAAGGTTTTTTGTGCCTCTCCGGTTTCTTCTGGATTTGGCGTGGCCGTGCGTGGTTGACCGGACCAACCCGGGATGGTTTGACCGCCACCACCTTTTCTTCCATCTCCTCTCCACACTTATATTTTCTTTTGTTTGGAGAGTTTTACTTGGCAAGGATCCATCCCTCTTTGATGAAGTGATGAAGGGGATATTTCTTTTAGGCCAACACTCCAAGCTTTCCAGCTAGCCAAGAAGTGTATTGGTTGGGAGGGACACATCAACCGTAGGATAAAGATGCAAAGATTGGAGGCCTGAAAATTTCGACTTTTTCTATTAAGTTGATCTAATATATATATATAATTATTAGTTGAAATGCCGATTGGGTATAGGCAGGGCCAAATACGTATTTCTTGCGTGGATGATGTCAAGTTGGCAAGAAATAGCACATGAGATAACATGCACGAGAACACTAAGATAAAGGGTGGCGACGTGACTTCTTATCGGGTAAAATCCAACTAAAATCCCAGAGACAATGCCAGGTAGCACGTGAATAATCAAAATACATTATTATTGATTACAATTCTCAAATGTTTTATTAATATCAATGGCAAATCTTACTGCCCAAGGCAAGATTTCACTGCGTATAATGTTCGTCGCAAAGTGTGGGATTGAATACTAAAACCCCGGGGGCGTGTTTGTTTTTGTTTGGAGCGAGCTGACAAAGACGAGCATCCAAAAGATAGCGAAAGATTTGCCGCTAAGGTGTTGATGGATGGCTTTGCACCATCCACATGCCTGTGCTATTTTGTCCCGGGGCCTCTTTTTTTCATATGCATGGTCTCGAATGATTGAGAGAGCTCCTCCCTCTCTTTCAGTGTGTGAATCCAAAGCATCTTCCAGTACGCCATAGCCATGTAGCGGCAGCACTACGAGGCAAAAGCTCGGGGTCAAAATCCTCCAAAATCAAGCCCACCTCCACCACCTTGAAACAACACAAATCTCGCCACTGCCAAGCCGGGATGAGTGAATAAAAAGAAGTGTAACGAGCGCGATATAAAAGCTGGGAAAAGAGGGAATGGTGTGTGCGTACCTTTGGCGCAGTAGCGTCAGGAGAGAGGCAAGTAGGAGCAGCACGGCTCTCTGGATTGGAACCGAGAGCTTCTCTTTCTTTCTTTTCGAGGAAGTTATCCTTCTTTCTCGAGAAGAAAAGAAGGGAGAGCTTCTCATCTTCGTCCCGCCGATTGAGTCGTTCTTCCCCGCGTGAGCCACCACCTGACTGACTGCTTCGCGAGTTTTTATAAGGCCACCCCCGAATTTTTAATGCCGCGCCGATGGTACGCTTTCTCCCTTGTCTCAACCAATGCTCTTTCGGGTACGCCGGTCAATTGTCACACTGCAATGACAATCATGTGCTTCGCAAAGGCGATGGCGTCGTTGCGTGCTTGCTTGCTTTGCTTTGGCTCTGGTAGAAAAAGAAAAACTCGTCGTCGTAGCGGACTATAACTTTGGCCCCTCCTCCAGCTCATCTCGTGTCACGTCCTTCAAACAGTGTCGCCCAAGTTCCTTTCCTCCTGTTCCTGTGCCTCCTGTTCTTCTTTTTTCCTTCGTTTTCCTAGAAAAGCTTTTGTGCCGATCGATCCACTTCTTCCTGTTGCTGGCTGGCTGTGCTCACCATCTTTATTGCCGAAGAACTTGTCCATATCAGTCCCCAAGTCTCTGATGATTGCATTGAAAGTAAAACACCACACATCTCGATTCGAATGGAATGGCTCCCTCAAAACATTGATACCTGCAGTCAGTGTTACACCAAAGAAGTTGACTGTGAATATCAGGCCAGACCTCTTTGGTTAGTCACGGCGCAGGCTTTTCAGGGCCTTTAGTAGAGGCCTTGGGAGCGGAGCCTTTTTGCTGCTGCTGCTGCTGCTTACTCGTCGAAGGCAGTGGTCTTAGAATCGCCCAAGCACGATGTCTTTCGGATTGCGGACCTTGTTCCAGCTTTGATACATCCTTAAGCTGCATATCGGAGTCTCAGAAAAGCCAAAACGAAATGAAGGATGAGGAAGTACTATACCAGTTCGATGAGTCGATCGATGAGCTTCAATGCTTTGGGATCTGACCTGACTGGACCTTCGTCGTCCTTGACTGGTTTATTCGGGAGCTTGACAACAAACTGGATAAAAGAGTAGCTTAGCAGCGTTTTTCCAACGTAGAAAAGAAAAAAAAAAGCTTGCACCTTCAAGCGATGACCTCGCTGGATAAGTTTCGATGCCATGTCTGCTTTCATCTCAAGGTCTCTCTCCTCCTGAAAAGCTCATAGATGAAACGAAGAACCATGGAACGTGGAAAACTCACGATCTTAGAAGTCACTTGAAGCTCTTTCAGGTCACTCAGCCTTCGAGACTCCAACTGCATTGCAAATAAGTTAGCAAGCCAAGAGAAATGGAAGGAAGATCGCTACGTACATTCGTCTTCTTGCGTTCTTTCTCCCTGACTTTTTCCTTGTACTTCTCCTTCTTGTAGTCCATAAGTTTGCAGACAACCGGTTCCTTGGATGGATCAACCTGTTCGTGGAAAATTCTAGTTTCATGGAAGATCAAACAATGCAGTACCTCGACCAAGTCTAGTCCCTGCTTCTCAGCAAGGCCGAGCGCTTCCTCTCTCGTTACTACTTTGTGACCTGAGAGAAAACCACAGAATCGTGAAAAAAGTTCTTTAGTTCTTCCAGGAAACCCAAAACACATAAACTAAAAAAAAAATCGAATACCTTCTGAATCGACAAGGCGAATGAAGCGATCGGCGATGGCTCTGTTCATCCGGGGTCCCTTTGGAGCATTCGGCCGTGCGCGAGGATCGCCGATAATGTCATCGTCATCGTCTTTCTTCGTCTGCGCAAGGAAAAAATTCATTCTTGGGAGGAGAGGAGCGCGCTTGCTTACATTTCTAGCGTAGCTCCTGGAGAAGAGGAGATCGCCGCTCCAGCGCCATTGCAAGTCCTGATCGCTCCTCTCAATCGCACCGGCCGCTCGCCGCGCTGTACAAGAAGAAGCGCGAAGAACAAGACGACGCCATAGCGCCATAGCTAGGGTTTAAGTTAGGGTTCTTCCAAAATGTACAAGAGCCAGCTCCAAGAATTCGCGCAGAAATCGGGCTGGACGGTGCCGCAGTACGATTCCATCAAGCAAGGCCTGCCCCATCTTCCGCGATTCCAAGCTTCGGTCGAGGTGAATGGCGTCAAGTACGAGTCCGAGGATGGATTTCCCAATCTCAAGGCCGCCGAGCACAGCGCCGCCAAGAAGGCGCTGGATTCGCTTATTGGCGGCGCCAATGGCGCTTCCACCGATGCCTCTGGCTCCTCCATGGTACGATCGCGTAGCTTGCATTCTCTTTCTCTTCTCATGCTTCTTTCTTTTCTTCGTGCTTGTTCTTGGGTGTTCTAAAGACCGGGCTTTGCAAGAATGTGCTCCAAGAGTACGCGCAAAGGAATGGCTTCTCTCTTCCAATCTACCAAATTGAGATCACTGGGCCGAGCCACAATTCAGTGTTTGCAGCGACTGTGGAGATCGGTGGAGTTTTGTACAAGGGTGGTACTGCCAAGAGCAAGAAAGAGGCCGAGGTGAAAGCCGCAAGAACAGCGATTCTTGCGATCAAAGAACTTGCAGGTAAGGAATGCTTCTCTTTTCTTGTATCTCTCATCTCATCTCTCTCATTCTTTTCGTTTTCTCTCAGAGGCCGCTCCTTCAGACGATTACGTTCCACCACAGTCTGGAAAAAAGCGAGTGAGAGCTGCCAAGAACAAGATCGAGAAAGAATCACCACGACGCAAACCACGGGTGTGAGAGATCTCGAGGCAGCAAAGCTGGTAACTCAAACCTCTATTTTGTGTCTTTGTATTTGTAGCGATTACCTCAATGAAGCACTGGAACTATTCGTGTTTAGAGCGAGCACAAGGTCTGATGAGAATCTATTCCTTCGCATTTCTTCCTCACTTAGCAGCTCCTGGAGCTCTCTTGTTGCCGCAGTGAGTCGGGCCTCGTCCACAAACGGTAGCTTCACGACTCCTTTCCAGGCCTTCTTCGATCCGGTGTAGTCGACTTCGAAAGCTCCCGGGTAGAAATCAGCGATGGGAGAGGCTGGATCGAGCATTAGCTTCTGGTAGCAGGCCGGAAGAGCAGTGGAACTTTGCGGTGGTAGCACGGCCAGGAGCTGCTCCAGAGGCTTGAGTGGCTCACCGAGAGTGGGATGGAAGACAAAGCCAGAGATTCTTTCGGAGAAGTCCGAGGCAAACGGTGCGTAGTAGTAAGGGTAGTACCATCGCCAGGAGCTCACGCCGTGGTAGTAGTAGCGGAGGATCCATGCAAGGCCTTCCAGGTACTTGAGCACCACCTTGGCACTCTCGCTCTCGGCCACCTCGAGCTTGAGGGAGTAGTACCTCGTCTTCCATCCTGGCGAGCCGAGATCACTCCTGTCCATCTTGAGCTGGATGTTGAATTCGCGATCTTGGTTCCTGGTAAGTTGCGTCCTCACTTTCAGTTTTAGCAGCTCCAAGGTTCTGTGCTGCTCGTCGAGCTCGTGATTTTCAGGACTGGATGGCTGAGGTTCTTCACTTTGCTCGAGTTCCAAGTGATCTACGACAGTGTTATCCAGTTCCAGAGCTACGTCTTCACCGTTTTCTAGATCCCAGACCTCTTCCGGAACCTCCACGACGTGATCTTCTTGGTCTACTCGACTTGGAGCTCCAGCAAACTCTCGTCTTCTTCTGGTACGTCTCGGCCTTTTCCTCCTCTCTTTCTTCTTATACTTGTTCTTGAGGAAGCCTTCTTCGCTGGCAGCTATGGCGGAGAAGAAGTGTGCCACACTCGGTAAGTTCATTTCACCGTTTCTCGTGAGATAGTCACCCATTTGCGTGAACTCGGTTGTGTAGATGGTGATCATCGAGTCGATAGCCCCATCGTCAATCAGCAAAGTTGGAATGTGAGGGAGAAAATCGTTGCCGATCAAGCAGCACATAAACACAAAGTCGTCTATCACCCGCTCGTCATCGATCTCAAACGGTGGACACTCGGCCACTCTCATTCTCTGGACGAGGCATTCGCGTAGCAGCGAAAGATCGAGGAACTCAAATCCAGTAGCAACGTTTTCCTGCCGCTGGCTCGTCCACTCTCGAGATTCACGCAAGATGGAGAAGTTCTGCTCGTGAGTGGCGAGTGTCAGGAGGATCAAATCAGCGTCGGCTCCAAAAACACAGTGGCTGGTCTCCGGATCATACTCTCCAGAGTGGTTTTTCCTCTTCCCGCAAATGAAGCTCATGATCTTGTGCTCTCCCTCTCCAGGAACGCTCGAGTCGGAGAGTATCACTTGGAGGCCCTTCCACGAAGCGCTGGTGGCGAGACGAAGATTTACGTACTCTCGCAGAGCAGCGGAGAGATCGGCCATGAACTTCGTCCCGGGAGTGATCACATTCGAGTCTTCCAATCCAGATCCTCTCCCGGGAGGCGGGAGAGCTCTCCCCTCGGCGGCAAATCGCCCACGAAGTTTTTCCTCGGCAGCGGTAGCATCGGCGGCCTCTCTAGCGGCCACAAATCTCCGCGCGCGCTGCTGGTTCATCTTTGCGCGCGGAGCCACGCCATCCACGGCCAAGAACAAGAGCTTCCTGGGACGAACAAGCTCCACCACAGCGTCTATGTAAGCTCCAATCCCCTGGAATACCTCGTCTTGCGTGGTCGGCAATGGGCGGCCATCGCTGCCGCTGGGATGAAAGCACGAATGGACGATGGAATTCATGTCCAAGTAGAGATTGTCGTGGCACTGCCCGGAGCTCGCCCCCACTACCGCTGGAAACGCGCGACAAAGCCATCCAAAGAACGAAGGAATCCCCATAAACCCTAACTTTCAGTTAAATTCAAAATTGAAGGGCACAAAATAACCGGTATATTCTATGATCTATCTAAGAATCCATTTCATTTCTTCATTATTTGGTTTAGATTGTATATAGACTCATTTCTGTTCCCATTGTACGTGTTGTTTCCTTTTCATCCACGGTTTTTTAGTGGTTTTAGGTCTTTGGCTTGAATCTAGATGATAGCAATGTTGTGCAGAAGATAAGATGGTATCATCTTGACAGCAATGTTGTGCAGAAGATAAGATGTTATCACCTTGACATATAGTATTTTAAAATCTAAAATATATCTTTGGCCAAAGCGTAGCTGCAAATTCTGTGAAAGCTAAGAAAACATTCCGGTGGTCACTGTGCAGGAGAAGTGACACCAGCAGGTCTGTGTTTGCTCCACGTACTTGCCAAAGCAATTCTGCTCGTCCTCGATAAGCTTGCCACACTCTTTGCGATTCTCGTCAATCAGCTTCGAAAACATAGTCTTTGCATTTAGGAGACGTGCATACTTTGTATCATTGATCAATGCGCACATTTTTTGGTCCAACCACAACCATTGCACAATGTAACGCTAGCCCGGGGTTGCATACAAGTTTCAGCGATTTTCAACAGAAAGACACAAGCATTTGGACGGTGGCCCAGGCAATCGCCTGCTTTTTCAACCATCATAAAGAGGACCCCGTCAGACGGATGTTGTTGAGTTTCATCTTCATTTCGGAGTGCAGCGCCTCAACCTGGGCACCCAGGGTATGCATCACGTCCACGAGATGTCCCAGGTTCATCGAAGCCAGCTTCTGCCCCATGCTCTCGAAGTCTTCCTTGATGCGACCAGGTACTTGCCGACGAGTCAAACTCGTCTTTTTCTTCGCATCGAACAAGAAATCCTTGCCCGTAGAGGGTTACTTATCTCGCAGACCGGCTAAAGCTGCCGAGCAAGTTTCCAGGAGACCTTGACGCCGTATTATCCGGGGCGAATCTAGATGCGATTCTTGTCCATGGCGGCAATCTAATTCCTTAAAAGAAAGGAACGCAAACAATTGCCTTGATCTCTTTCCCGATAGGCTTGCAACATCGGCATGATTTTTTAACATGTACCCTTTGCGTTTACGAGACGTGCATACTCCCTTGTTGGGTTCTTTTGTCTCAAGCAAGCAGAACGTCACCCATTCTTCATCTGTGCAAGGAAGAAAAAATAAGAAAATTCATTAGTGTGCTTGCCACCTTGAGAAGGTATTTGACTGATCGGTCCTCCCAATCCGTAGAAGAAGAATGGATCTAGAACAAGGTGACACTTTGACATATGCAACACATTCTATAGAACATTCTGACGTCTCGGGGCGACGGTAGTTAATGTGCAGAAAGCTGGACAATGCCGCAGTACGACTTTTCCATGGAAGGCCTGCCGCATCTCCCTCGGTTCCAAGCTTCTGTCGAGGTGAATGGCCTCAAATACGACTCGGAGGATGGTTTTCCAGACCTCAAGGCCGCCAAGCACAGCGCCGCCAACAAGGCCCTGGATGCGCTCAATGGGCCTACTTCAGCCGATGGCTCCCTGATACGATCGCTTGAATCTCACGGTTTTCGTCTTCCTGAGCGGGTAAAGACCGGGCTTTGCAAGAGTGAGCTCCAAGAGCACGCATCAAGTGGAGATCAAAGGACCGAGTCACAAGTCAGAGTTTGAAGCAACTGTGGAGATCGGTATTTTTTTCTACAAGGGTGGTACTGCCAAGAACAAGAAAGATGCCGAGGCGAAAGCCGCACGAACAGCGGCCCTGCAGGTAAGGCAGGCTTCTCTTTTTCTCTTTTATTCCATCTCTTCATCTCATTTTATTCTTTTCCTTTCTTCCACCACAGTCTGGGAAGAAACGAGTGAGAGCTGCAGTCTGGGAAGAAACGAGTGGGAGCTGCAAAGAACAAGATCGGGAAAGGTTTCATCACAGCCTGGGAAGGAACGAGTGAGAGCTGCAAAGAACAAGGATCCCAATCTTCTCAAACCAAAAGCAAGAAAAAGAGCCAACGATTAATTGCACAGCACGCTGGTACAAATCGTGCTTGAGCTCCTGGAGAGCGAGAGCGAGCCAAGAGAGAGAATAGACAATCAAGAGAGAAGCTATGGGAGATGTAACAACTAGAACTATTGGTGTTACAAGGTCTGATGAGAATCTTTGCATTTCTTCTTCACTTCTAAGCTGCTCTTCACTCGAAAGCACGATGTGACAATGGAACTTGTCCAATTTCGTGGCGATGCCCGCTTTCAAACTTGAAAGAGAAGCTATATTGCCATAACCCTAACTTTAAAACATAATATTCGTGGTTTAGGGCTTTTCAATTAAAAGAGTGAAGGAGGGAAGGCTATGGCGGCTTAGGGTACCGGGGAGCGAGCGCGATGTACATCAAACAGGTATGATCGAGTCTTCGCGTGGCCGCTGCTGGAAAATGCGCTCGATTTTCAGGTGATTATCGAAGGTTTCAAGAGCTACAAAGAACAGGTCGCGACTGAGCCTTTTAGTCCTAAGCACAACTGTGTTGGTACGCATTCTTCCTGTAGAAATCTCCGTTATTTTGCCCTCCTTTTCTTGCGGAGTGATCTGTTTATGTTCTTTACAGTTGGCGCCAATGGCTCTGGAAAAACAAATTTTTTCCACGGTGAGTGTTCTTCTTATGAGAAATTCTTTTTTCATGCTTGTGTGTTCTTTCTTTCTTCCAGCAATTCGATTCGTTCTTAGCGACCTGTTTCACAACCTGCGAGCTGAAGACAGACAAGCACTTCTCCATGTAAGATTGCTTCCGAGTGTGTTGCTGGGCGGTCTTCTCATGTGTTTTATGTCTACAGGAAGGTGCCGGACATCAAGTGCTATCCGCATTTGTGGAGATCGTCTTTGACAACAGCGACAATCGCATACCGGTAAAGTACATTTTCTCCTGTTTGGGTGTTTCTTTAATTTGTCTTTCAAGGTCGACAAAGAAGAAGTTCGCCTCAGGCGGACAATCGGTATGAAGAAAGACGAGTATTTTCTGGACAAGAAGCATATCACGTAAGTACGAAGACGAAAGATTAATACCAGCTGACATTGATGCAGGAAGACTGAAGTGATGAACCTTCTGGAAAGTGCCGGATTTTCCAGATCAAATCCCTACTACGTTGTGCAGCAGGGCAAAGTGAGTTCCTTCTTTTAGTTCTTGGCATGCCATTCTAACGGCGTTTAACTATGTCGCAGATTGCGTCCCTGACCCTCATGAAAGACAGTGAGCGTCTTGATCTTCTTAAAGAAATCGGTGGTACACGGGTGTATGAGGAGCGCAGGAAGGAGAGTCTGAAGATTATGCAGGACACCGGTGAGCTCCAAGTCGATGTCTGAGATTGTCTGTCTTACTTAATGTGTCGTACAGAGAATCGGAGGAAACAGATCATTGACGTTGTGCAGTATATTGAAGAGAGGCTCAAGGAGTTGGATGAAGAGAAGGAGGAGCTGAAGAAGTATCAGCAGCTAGATAAGCAGAGGAGGTCTCTAGAGTATACGATTTTTGAAAAGGAGCTTCTTGACGCGAGGCAAAAGCTGGAAGAGGTAACGAAATTTCCTTCTAAAATAGATAACTGATCATTTGAACACAGATTGAAGAAGCTCGCGCTAGAGTGTCCGAAAAGTCGTCGAACATGCACAATGCTGTTGTGGAGTCGCACGAACGTTTGAAAGGAATTGAGAAGGAGCTCAAAACTTTGGCTAAAGGACAGCAAGGTTTGCTCAAGGAGAAGGAATCCGCTGAGAAGCAGAAAACTGAAGCTATGAAGGCTTTAGCCAAGTTTGAGCTGGACGTTCGAGATGTAGAAGACCGAATCAAGTCTGAAGCAAGAACAAAGGTGTTGTATACTTTTATTCCCACCAACGGCAAATTTAAGTCGCTTTACTTGAATTTTATGTTCAGGAAGAGGTAACAAAGGAGCTCCAATCGCTTGAAAAGGAGATTAAAAAAACGGAGAATGAGTTTGAGCAAGTGAAGCCCGTGTATGATCGACAAGTAGCAGAAGAAGACGAAATTACCAAAGGGTAACGCATGATAATTGTTTTCTTTTGATCTTCATAATTTTGCCTGTTTCTCAGAATTATAGAGCGCGAGAAACGGCTGAGCGTTCTTTATCAGAAGCAGGGTCGAGCTACGCAGTTTGGAAGCAAACGAGAACGAGACAAATGGCTCCAGAAAGAAGCTTCAGACTTGGAGAAGGTGGTGGAAACGACTTCTGCACAGGTTTGCTATTCATTTCTTTGTTCTTACCTCGTTTGCTCCCGCTTTAGATTGTAAAACTGGAGGAGGAAATCCGTCATATGAACGAGGAGCTCGAAGCGCACACAAAGAGTATCCAAGATCGGTCTCGGGAATTAGCTGACGAAGAAGCTCTTGTGGCGAAATGCATGGATGACATTGCTGCCCTGAAGGTCCAACGAGATGAACACCAGGAAACTAGAAAGTGAATAATCACTAATACTGATACCAGCGCGACTAATCACATGATTCTTTGTGCCAGAAAACTTTGGAAGACAGAGAGTATCCTCAGCAATGAAGTTGATAAACTGAAGTTTGACATTGTCAAGGCAGAGAAGGCTTTAGATCATTCTGCTCCTGGGGTAAGCAAGACAATTCTAGTTTGTCATATCAGTTTTTGTTTTTCAGGACATTCGTCGAGGATTGAACTCTGTGAGACGAATCTGTAGAGATCATAATATTTCAGGCGTGCATGGTCCACTTTTTGAGCTTCTTGACTGCGATGACAAGTTTTTTACGGCTGTCGAAGTGACTGCCGGAAACAGGCGAGTGAAATTTTTTCCTTTTTACCATTCTCATCTGAAAATCAACTTGGCTGCAGTTTGTACCATGTCGTTGTTGATACTGACGATATCTCTACGAGGATAATTCGTTATCTGAGTGCTGAAAAGGGTGGACGGGTCACGTTTATTCCACTAAATCGTGTGCGAGCTCCTAGAGTAACTTACCCGACGAGTTCCGATGTCGTTCCTCTCCTCAAGAAGTTGAGGTTTGACCCGAAATTTAGTGAAGCATTCGGACAGGTGTGGTCTGTAGTTGTTTTATCTCTACATCACATTTGCTTTTCAGGTATTTGGAAGGACTATAATTTGCCGTGACCTCGATGTCGCCACAAATTTTGCTCGTTCGGCCGATCTAGATTGCATCACTATGGAAGGTAAGCACGTTGTTGTTGTTGTTGTTGTTGTTGCGTGATACAGTTTAACCATCGTAAATTTCCAGGCGACCAAGTCAGTAAAAAGGGTGGTATGACCGGTGGTTTCTATGACCACAGACGGTCCAAGCTCAAGTACATGACAATTGTGAAAGAGAATGCAAGAGCCATTCACTTGAAAGAGCAGGAGCTGGAAAAAGTTCGGAACTCTTTCCAAGATATCCTTTTCTAAACTCTTTTTACACATTTAGACTTGGTTCTTTTTTCTTAACTGGTGCACACATATAGATCAGAAGATCAACCAAGTGGTTACAGAACTGCAGAAACTGGAACCAACGCGCGCGCACCATAAATCGTTGGCCGAGCAGCTAAAGAGTGATATCTCTAATTTGAAAAAGCAGGAGACCTCTCTAGTTCACGCCATTGAAAAAAAGGTGCTTGGCATTTTTAGTTTAAGTTCTGCATCATGCTAAATGAATACATGGTTGCAGAAAAAGTCACTTGCAGTTGCTCATCAGCATATCGAGCAAGTTCGATCAAGCATTTTGACGAAACGGACAGAAATGGGTACAGATCTCATTGACCAGCTTACACCAGACGAGAAGACGGAACTTTCTCGTTTGAACCCGGAGATCTCGGATTTAAAAGATATGCTAGTGCGGTATAGAGCTGCTAGAATGGAGGTAATGTACTTTTTCGTCATTCATGTTTGTGCGTTGTTATAACCGATGGGACCTACAGACGGAAACCCGTATGAGCGAGCTCGAGACTTTACTTTCTACAAATCTTGTAAGGAGGCAGCAGGAGTTGGAGGCTCAGTTTTCAGCAATAGATCCAGATTCGATGCTCGCCGATTTAGAACAAAAGAAGCAAGCATCGGTAGATGCAAGCACCGCAGTAGAAGAAGCTACTCGTAATCTCAAAGGTAAGTCAAGTCTATGTCTTTATCATGTGCTGCATTACATTCTTTTACAGTAATTACGGATAATATTGAGAAGCATGCCAAACAAGTCAGGGATCTCAAAAATGCGAAAGATGAGCTAAAGGTTCTGCCTCTTGTTCATAACTGGATCTGGATCTGAATCTTGACCTTTATGATCAGGCTTTGGAGGACAATTACGAGCGGACTCTTCAAGACGAGGCAAAGGACCTTGAGCAGTTGCTGAATCGCAAAAACCTTCTTCAAGTTAAGCGCGAGGACTTGACGAAAAAGATCCGAGACTTGGGCTCCTTACCGTCTGATGCTTTTGAGAAGTAATGAATCATGGAGCAATGCCGTTTACTAACAGCTCCTTGGCAGGTACCAGCGCAAAAGTTTGAAGGAGCTACATAAGATGTTTCACAAATGCAACGAGGAGCTGAAAAAGTTTAGCCACGTCAACAAGAAAGCTTTGGATCAGTATGTTAATTTCACCGAGCAAAGGGAGGAACTACATAAACGCCAGGCTGAGCTTGACAATGGCGACGAGGTACTCAACCGTTTCAATCAAAGACATAGTCATGCAACCTCCGCCTTATGCAGAAAATTCGTGAGCTCATTTCGGTTCTGGACCAACGTAAGGACGAGGCTATTGAACGGACTTTCAAAGGGGTGGCGAAGAATTTCAGGGAGGCATTTGCGGAGCTTGTCCAAGGTGGGCATGGCTCTCTTGTGATGATGAAGAAGAGAAAGGTGAGTACGTAGTGTTGTTATATCCGCGCTTGACAGTGTATTATTGTTCTTGACAGGCTGACGAGGCTGAGGACGAGGACGCAGATAATGATGAAGACGGAAACCGGGAAGCAGGAAGCGAGGGAAGGGTGGAGAAGTACGTCGGTGTCAAAGTGAAGGTACGTGTGCTTTTGTTTGTGGCTTTGCGTGTAACGTGTCTCCGTGCAGGTTTCCTTCACCGGACAAGGGGAGACGCAATCGATGAAACAGCTTTCCGGTGGCCAGAAGACTGTTGTGGCGCTAGCACTCATCTTTGCTATACAGCGCTGTGATCCTGGACCTTTTTATCTGTTTGACGAAATCGACGCAGCTCTGGATCCACAGTACCGAACTGCCGTTGGAAGTAAGTTTTGAGTTTTGTTTCTTGGCTAGCCGGACCAACTATTCTTCCATTTCATTCCAGACATGATCAAGCGTCAGGCCGATACTGCGAATACTCAATTTATCACGACGACTTTCCGGTCCGAGCTTGTCAAGGTTGCGGACAGGATCTATGGTGTGACGCACAAGAACAGAGTGAGCCGAGTGGACGTTATCAGCAAAGACGACGCTCTGCAGTTTATCGAGCAGGATCAAACCCACCACAACGAGTGACTTTTCGGGACTTGGGAAAGAGTTTGGTCCCTCTCTTTCTTTTCCTTTCCTCTCTTACTCGCGTATACGCTTTGTGCAGCTGACTGACTCTTAACAGCGCTTCGTTTTGTAAATTTTCACAAGCTCTACTAAATACGATCTTTGGATGTTTTTGTCAGTTGTACACCCTTTCTTCTTGGCAAACTCCGAGCCAGAAAGTTTCTCGACTGAGGTATCAGATTGATTGAGTCGCATTATTCCATAAACTAGTGCGTCTAATGGACTCGTTTGTGAAAAAAGAGCCGATTTTTCTGTCCACATGAGTCTGTTCCTTCCAGGTTTCCAGTACAAGGCGCCCTCTTCGTTGCACTCCCAGTTTCATCGCTCCAATGTCAAGGTAAAACACAAAGCTTTCATTGCGAGGGACTTAAATGTTTTCCGCACAGATGTGTATCAATTCGATCGGAGTGCTCAGGCCTCGAGCTGCTCGGCCAATTCCAAATCTTTTAGCGGATGATTTCAGGCATCCTCTGGACCAGCAGGTGCTCAATTTCTGCAAGTCATTGTCTCTAGCCAGTGAATTTTTTTATGCAGAACACGGCAATCTTGCGGGTCATTCCAGGACTTCCTGAGATTGGAAAGCTTATTCTAGGTGGACTTTAACGCTTGTCGATTTGATTTTTTATTAAGAGTTTTTATTCTGTCAAGCAGGGCCTGTGGCAGAGCAAGTGATGCTCTTAGAGAACATAGCTAGTTCTGTCAAAGTTAACGACAAACAGGTACCAATCCTTCTGAAGTTCTTTTAGTCTTTTCTAATGACTTCTGTTCCAGCTGCCTCATCTTCATGACTTAATCACAGAGGCTTCTACCATACTCGGGTTGGAATCGCCTCCAGATTTGTATGTTCGGCAGAATCCCGTTCCAAATGCCTACACTTTGGCCATCGCCGGAAAAAAGCCATTCATTGTGTTGCATACAAGCATCATAGAGCTTCTCAAGCCAGCTGAGCTTCAGGTCAGTAGTTTTTCGTTTTGGTTGTGTACGTCTCTCAAGTGTTAAACTACAGGCAGTGATTGCTCACGAACTTGGTCACCTGAAATGCGATCATGGCATATGGCTAACGTTTGCAAACATTCTTGCAATGGGAGCCTACTCCCTGCCCGGTAATTATCTAAAACTTTTTCCAGTCCAAAGCTTACAGTTTCGATTGACGATCAAGCAGGATTGGGAACTGTTATTGCTCGCAATCTCGAAGAGCAGATATTTAGATGGGTGAGAGCTGCCGAACTAACTTGTGATCGAGCAGCTCTTCTCGTGGTTCGTGATCCCGACGTAAGTAGTAAAAACTCTCTTCATTTCTCCGTGCTGATGGTTGTCTGAGAACTTTCAGGTGGTGATCTCTTTGCTAATGAAACTCTCAGGTGGATGCCCATCACTTGCAAACCAGCTAAACGTCCAAGAGTTTCTGAAACAAGCTCGTTCGTACGACGAGGCTTCCGCCAGTCCTCTAGGATGGTATCTCAGGCGAGTGATATATCCTCGGATCATTGCCTATCGCTCTCTCACACTTTCTCAACAGGAACGCTCAAACGAGGCAGCTCTCGCATCCATTGCCAGTCTTGAGAGCTCGGGAGATCGATCAATGGGGTCGAAGCACCCAATACAAAGCATTAGTGGCTCGTAAGTTCTAGCAAATTCTTACACAATTTCCAGGACACAGAGCTGTACATACGATAGAATGAATAGAATAAATAAGCGAACTATATCCATAGCGGTTCTTAGTTGAAGTCTTCTGGAACAACAGGATACGAAGCGCAAGTAGCAATGCCTGAAAGCAAGAAAAACTTTTCACTAGGAAAAAGAGTGATGATGAATGTGAGCACGTACCACACATGTTCTTGCCCATTTCCATGTAAAAGTATCCATCCAGCCCAAAGGACTCGCCCCACGAGTTTTTGATGATCCAGTATGGAACTGGTGCGTCTCTGTTGTATCCAACTGCGAGGACAGCATGGTTCACAGTCTGCGAATTTTTTCGATCAGCTGTTTAGTCTCTCACACAAAGGAGAAAAGAAAGTAAAGGAAAGAACTTACGTCTGGACCGGTGCCACAAACGTTGCTCGTGTAAACACCCGACTTGTAGAAGCGGAAGTCTTTCAGGACCTCGTATGCAATGCTAACGGGCCTGTTGAACGCGACCGCATGGATAAGCTCGTCCTCCGCGCCCTGTTTTCGCGAAAGAAAAAGAAACCATTCGTTAGCAACGAAGCATCGTTGTTGCCTGTGGAAATCGTACCTCGGTGATGTTCACCACGTCGTAAACCTTGGCTCCAATCGAATTCTGGTTGTACATGCATTTGCCATCGTGTGCGGTGTAGGGGTAAGAGTCCTCGGTGTCCAATCCACCGTTGTACCTGATGTACTCGAAGGCTTGCGATGGAAGTCCTCCGCTGCAGCCAAAGTTGTTATATCCTCCAGCGCAATCCACTAGCTGCTGCTCCGACAGAACAACCATTTTCCCTGTGGCTTGAGCGTGAGCAGACTCTAGAGCACCCGTTGTGCTTCACGAACAAGGACGAGAACCTGTGAGATCCAAAAACTCCAACTTGTGAATAGAAACTACACTACCTGAAAGTCCAGCATGATCCGCAGTGTTGCTGGTTTTTGACAGGACTAACGATCTTATCATCACGCCAGTCTTTCTGTGAAGAATCATAGCTTAGATAGACGATGAAGAACAAGATAAACACTTGGTTTTTCTTGCTACCTTCGATGGCGGAGTAAGGAACGCTCGGACAGAGTTCGTAGCGGTCGCGGAACAGTTTTGCGAGCTGAAAAGGTTGTGCTTTTTAAATTCCTCCCATGACATGTCGGCAAACTCTGCAAATCCACAAGAGTCCAAGCCAAGAATGAGTACAAACAGCGCTCGAATCTTTTTCCTTTTCCTGACTTACGGTTCACAGCAAGCGTGTAAGGCAGTTCCTTCCGGTTGGTCTCTTCAATCAGCTCCAAATTGCGAGAAAACGTAACAAATCGTTCCCGGAGCTCCACAAGCGATCCATACACCCTCTTGTGCCTGCGCTCTTGATAAATACCGCACAGATCGAGCAAAGAATAGCCCATACCTGGTAGCGAATTCGTGGAATCGAGCGACCTTGTGACCCTCTCCGAGCAGCTCCGTGAATCGCGCAGGAGAGATCCCGTCGATTACCATGGAGATGGCGCTGCTATCGTCGAGGAATCGCGCCGTGGAGAGAGAAATGGCCGCCATGGCCAGAGCCATTGCCAGCGCCATCGCTAGCTGAGCCATAGCAAAGAGTCAAAAATATCGGCTACTCACCCTAGCGCACTGAATCTATATAGAGATTCCATCCCACGTCCCCGGAGATTCCGGAATAATTCCTGGCGCCAAAATAATTAACTGATGCTCTGCTTTTAGGGTTCTAGCGTGCCTATCATCAAGATATATAGTTTCCTTCTTTTGTTACAATCTTTCTTTCTAGGCAGGTAAAAGCATTATCAAGTTCCACCTTTCAGGAAGCGCTTTATACTATCGGCGATAGTCCAGTTTCTTCGTTTAAGATTTGATGTTCTGTTCCAGCTTCGGACAATGGAACCGATTAAGATTTGGCTTCGCTTCACTACATCGTGGCATGGATTGGTTGGGTTTGCTTCCTGTAGAACACATACGGTTTTCGTAAAACACTCTGCCATAAATGCGACGTGGGAAAACCAATATGAGATTAGATTTTTGTTGTTCTTCGAAATCGAAACTTCTGGAATACATGGCACAGACTCAGGTGTTTTCTTTTCTTTTTTCTTTCTTTTTGAAAGAGTTCTTCAATGACAAGATGGATCTGATTTCTCATTCAACAATTTAACAGTTGATTGCTCGAACGTTGGTCTGCTTAAAAGCCTAAAGCTGGAGGTCGGATAATCGCCATAGCAACGCCACGGGGGACCTGGTGGCGAAGTTCTGGATATTGAGATCTATCACAAGAAAAACAGCACCTTGAATGGATTGCCCACCGTAAGTAAAGCACTGATAGATTACCGGCATAGAGGATCAGATTTAGAATGCTGATGGTTATTCTCCCGGATTTGCTCGTGGATGCGGTACCTGGGTTCTTAATGCTGGCGAATTATCGCAGAGTGGAGCCACTGTCTCCTACCTGGATCATATTGAACTTGGACGAATGACTCGAGGAATGGAAGAGCATGGGAAGAAGTAAGCTTCTCTTACTCTATATATTTATCCTTCGAATCTAAGCCGCATTGATACAGGTTCTTCCTGTTCTTGTTGTCTATTATGGCTTTGAAGAAGCGATGGTTGTCAAATGTGAAGAAAACAGAGAGAAGGTTAGAAATAAAAACTCGTCCAGGATTTCTAGCTACGAAAAAAAAAAAGGATTACCTCTTGTTTTATCTGCTACTCGAAACAGATATTCACGTGGCCAAGGAGACGTGGCGGCAGGTAGCAAAAGCGACGAGGGAACTAGGGGACAAGCAGGATTTCGAGATTCGAGAAGGGGATGTCACCCAATGGTTTCCAGAGGCAAGGGGACCATGCACAGGAGCAGCTTGGCGGAAGATCGGGTGTTGGGGACGCTCAGGATGGGGCACCCGAGTTAGGTGGGACGCGGTAGGCGCTGAAGTTGGGACTACAGTGTGGGAGGCCCTTGGACGGCCGAGATGGGAGGTATGGCGGGCTTCCGGGGTACAGGCACTCTGGGAGGCTCGGAACCGCAACCACTTCGAAGGGCAGTGCGCTCGGATTTCAGCGATCATGGCGAATTGGTGGAGGCTCACACTGGCTGCTATCCGCTTGAGGGATATGCTGCTCCAGGAGCATGGGAAAAACAGGGAGGCACTCACAGCTTGGTGACGACTATGGACTCTGTGCTACGGAACTGAACACGAGGGGGAGGTCAAGTGGAAATGGAGACCTTCGGACACGGTAACAAAGGAGGCTCGACGTGGCGATCTGGCACTGGATGCACTGCGGAGGCGACGACCACAGCAGCCACGATTGGAGGGCAACAATCACTGTTAGGTGGAGAATTGCAGGACAGCGTAGTTGAGTGAGCAGCGCTAAGAGATTCTTGTTTTTTGTATCAGTCCCTAATGGACTTGGAGAAATGTACATACACGTTGCATCGAAACAGATATTCTAAGAATATCTAGTATATCCATCGTCTTGTGCTTGAAACAAATCCACCACCCAGAATCCAGCGAAAATGTAATGGAAGCTCTCGAGTTTTACAAGGAGCTACTTCTTACTCGTGTTGATGGATTTGCTAATGCCCGTGATGTGCTACCAGCTAATCTTCATACCGCTAACGTTTGATGTAAGAACCATTGTTTCTTGGGGTTCTTGTTCGGCCTCCCAATCCCGAAAGTATTGAACCAATAGTATCGCTATGAGCTCACATGAGAATCGCTTTTGTTCCGTCACAGGCATTATCAAATCCATCAACACGAAATCTACTGTGAAGGTATATCTGTGCCCCATACTTTCTTTCAACCTTTTTGCAAAATCTCATTTAAGGATAACTGTTTCCTTGGGCTAGGGTATGGGTCCGGTTGGAGGCTATATCAATATTTCGGAGAAGAAGCAAAAGCGGCACTGGGATGGTATGATCGGCAAGGTGAGGAACAAAATTACAGGTACTCTGGATCATCCCATCTGGTCCCAGCTGCCTTTGGAACTCCAGCTCCACATTCTAAACTTCTTGCCACTCCCGGCACTTTGCCGTGGAAAGAGCGTCTGCAAGGCTTGGAAGTCCGCAATCCAGGGCTTGGGATATAGCAAAGCTCACAGGTTTTGCAATGGGCAGTGGTATATCATGAACGGTGATAACGCTGTTGGTCTCTGTGATGGAAATTCAAGGCCTCTTTCATGGAAGATGATCCAGTTACCTTACGAGATACACACAGAAAGTATCTGTGTGTCTTCGGCCGGGCTTGTTCTTGCATACTTTCCCTTGGACAGGCCACAAAATATAATGGTTTGGAACCCCTTAGATTTAAGTTCCTTGGTGAAGCTGCCTCCACCACCTGGTTCTAAGCCAACCATAGTTTTCGTGGCAATCCAATCTTCAGTTGGTAGTGACCACAGGCCTTGGTTTTCCGTGGTTTGTGTTCGGGGAGTGAAGCCAAGGGATACAGGCGCACGCCATCTAGTTCTACAGGTTTATGATTCGAGATCTCAGAAATGGGTCTCATCTCGTCGAGTATTCACAGGGAGGGATGAGATTGCCCAGACTTGCTTTAAGGAAAACACCGATTGCATGCTTCTACGGGATGACAAGCTCTACTTTATCACGATCACAAGGGACAACAGAAGATCGCTCAAGTGTGTTAACGTGTGGGATTCAGAGTGCAAGATGGCGACTTTGGCAACCTGGACGAGTCTTCCCATGGACTTGCATCAAGAAACATACGACCCCCCATGCCTGTACAATAACACCTCACTTGTTTACTGTGCTGGTAAGCTTCTTCTTTTCTTTTTTCTCTATTTATGCATGGTTTTTTAAACTGGGTTTCAGGAAAGCTGGTGCTCGCAAACTTTATCCTGGATGCACAAACCCTTGGTTTTGTCTATCTGGACGAAGCATCCAGACAATGGCGACCCTTAGCAACAATGCCAAGAGAGATTATGCCGGCAGAGCTTAGAAATCTTGGGCTGCGAGCAAGCAATATCCATCAGTGGAGTTTGGTAGTAGCGGGAGGTGAGGCAGAGATCACCTTGTTTCTAAGTCACTTCGAGGGATTGTGTTGGGGTTGCATTTACAATGACGAGACCGGTGTCTGGCAATCTGTCTTTGGCCAAAGGTTTGAGGGTAGCATGTTGTATCCTTTTAAGCCATCATTAGTCTCCATTTAGATAGTGTGGTTATTGTGACTTGGTGTGAATATAACAATTTGATTTATATTTCAAGTTCCTTGATCTCTAAGTCTCCTCTTGGCGATCAAATAGCACAGAATAAATCCAAGTTGTTCTTACTGAGAATTTGCAAAATGCTCTTTGAAGATGAATTAACTTCATCTTTAATTTTATAAAATTAGCAAATAAAGCAATCGCCGCCATGGCAGACGCTAGAGTAAAAACTATCGCTTTCTCACCCTAGTGCGCTGAATCTATATAGAGATTCCAACTCTTGCCGCCAACTGATGCTCTGTTTTTAGGGTTTTAGCGTGGCCGATGCAATCTGAGACCGCGCTCGCGAATCGAGTGAGGAATTGCGGCGATCTCGAGCACGCAAGGAAGATTCACGCGGTGATTCTCGGTAGCGACCACAGGCACAGCAGATATCTCTCGAATTTGCTCGTGGAAGCCTATGGAAAGTGCGGAAGCTTGGACGATGCCACGGCGGTGTTCGATGCGATCGGCGAGCCCAATTCTTACTCGTGGAATCTTCTGCTCCGCGCCTACACCCACAATCGTGAGCTCCGCAGGGCAGAAGAGATCTTTGCGAGGATCCCGGAAAGAGATCGCGATGGCGTGGCGTGGACGACGATCATCTCGGCGTATGCCCGCGCTGGACAGATCCACGACGCGCGGAGGCTGCTGGAGAGGATGCCTCGCCTGGAGAAGAAGTTGGCGCTCACGACGATGATCACGGCGTATGCCCAGCGCGGGCATTTGCAGGAATCGCAAGCTATGTTCGATCAAATCGCCGACAAGGACACCGCGTGCTGGAATGCCTTGCTCACTGCGTATGCAAACAATGGAGAAACGAATCGTGCAAAGGCGATCTTCGATCAGATGGGCGATCGAGACAGGATCTCCTGGACCGCGCTTCTCACAGCATTTGCCAAGAATGGGCAAATTCAAGAAGCGTGGAAACTCTTTGATGTTATGCCCAAAGAGCTCAAGGCATCCAGCGCCTATAACACGATGATGAGCGCTTGCATTGCGTCAGACAACATCTCTGAAGCTCGAGCTCTCTTTGATCAGATGGACATCCGGGACACCGTATCGTGGAATCTCCTAATCACTGGCTACGCAAGGCTTGGAAGTGTGGATATGGCACGAGCAATCTTTGATGCCATGCCAGAGAGAGATGTTGTATCATGGAATTCCATTCTTACAGCAAATGCTCAGCAAGGGCATGCCAAGGAATCGCAACGAATCTTTGATGAGATGCCTTGCCGCGACTTGGTATCGTGGAATGCTCTAATTGCTGCCTATGCGATGGAGGGTAGTTTAGGTCGGGCTAAGCTTTTGTTTGATCAAGCTCCAGTTAGAGATAGTGTGACATGGAAATCTCTTCTAACAGCATACGCCCATAATGGGCATATTGAGGATGCTGAAATTTTGATCCAGAAAATGCCCTTACGGTGCTTGAGCGCGTGCACGGCCATGATCATGGGGTACGGACAGAATGCCCTGGTGATTCCAGCACGGAATCTCTTCAATGACATGCCCGGCTGGGACATTCTGACTTGGAATTGCCTGCTCAATGCCTACGTCCAGAATGGCCACCTTCTGGACGCACGAGGTTTGCTGGAAGAGATGCCCGAGCACGACGCTGCATCGTGGAACGTCCTTCTCGCCGCTAGCAAAGATGCGCGTGAAGCAAAGAGGATCTTTGATCGAATCCTGTATAGAGACATCGTTTCATACAACGCAATCATCTCTGGATACGCACAGAGCGGAAATCTGGACAAGGCGAGCGCGCTCTTCGATCGAATGCCGGAGAGGGACGTGATCTCCTGGAACACGATGGTCACCGCGTATACCCAAAACAATGATCTACCTCGAGCGATCGAGCTGTTCCAGGAGATGCCCGAGAAGGATGTGATCACCTGGAACACGATGCTGGGCGCCTATGCTCAAAACGGGGATCTAGAGAAGGCGAGGAGCGTTTTTTATGAGATGCCACAGCAGGCACTGTCGTCCTGGAACGCGATGCTCGCAGCCTACATCCAATCCGGGCACACCGACGAGGCCAAGCGATTCTTCGCCGAGATGCCGCAGAGGAACATCCTGTCCTGGAACACGATCCTGGGAGCGTGCTCGAGAGTCGAGGAAGGAAAAGCCTTCTTCGATACGATGCCTGCCAGGGACATCGTCTCGTGGAACTCGATGATCTGGGCATACTCCCAGGGTGGTGATGTCGCCAGCGCCAAGACCCTCTTCGATTCCATGCCAATCCGGCAAACTTCGTCGTGGAACGCAGTGATCGGAGCTTACGCCAGCGCCAACGATCTCATCCACGCGAGAGAGCTCTTCGATGAGATGCCGCAGCGAGATCTAGTGTCGTGGAACACCATAATCTCTGCGTATGCTCGCGAAGGAATCAGCGATGCCGTGACCCTCTTCGATCAAATGCCCGAGAGAGACGCTGGATCGTGGATTGCTGTGGTGGCCGGCTGCATTGGAGCTGGATTAACCCAGAGAGCCAAGGAGTTCTTCCAGATCTGTCCAGACAAGGAAGCCATTGCGTCGCTCATGATCGCGATGCTTGCCGAGAAGGGCGATCTAGAAGCCGCAAGGAGCGCGTTTGATGGCCTCCACAATCCCCAGCTCGTGGAGTGCAACGCGATCATCACGGCCTACGCGCAGCAAGGATATCCGAGAGAAGCGCGCGAGCTCTTCAACGCAATGACGTGGCGGGATACCGTGACGTGGAATGCCATGGTGGCAGCATATTCCCAGAACGGAGACCTAGATGCGGCTCTCTTCCTCGCGGCGACCATGCCGGAGCAAACTCTGGTGTCGATCAACGCGATAATCACCGCGCTCGCCTCCACTGGCCACTGGATCGAGGCGTTCTATCGATTCCGGCGGATGCTGATCCAGGGCTTCGATCCCGACGGCATTACATTCGTCACGATCCTCGCGGCGAGCGGCGGCTGCGCGGTCGATTGCTCCAAGAGCTTCGTCGCCATGGCAGTGGATTTCGGCGTGGAGCCCGGGATCAAGCACTACAGCTGCCTGATCGACGCGCTGTGTAGATCCGGTCAGGAAGAAGCCGCGCAGCAGGTGCTGCGATTGATGCCAATCGTGCCGGATGCTGTGACTTGGACGAGCTTGCTGACAGCGTGTGGAATACATGGCTCGCCCGGAAGATCCCTAATCGCGAAGAACGCCACACGCGGCAAGGGGGCCTCCCCTTATGTGTTACTTTCAAATATTCTAGCTAGTAGTTTTTAGGCATTTTTTGTAATAAACAATGGCATCCCATTCAATTAGCTAGATTTTGTTTATACTAGCCATTAAGTTATTATGTCTTTGCTTGACGCAAACTACCAGTGTGCCATTTCTGGAGCTCGGAACATCTTTTTTTTCTTCATGCTAACACCTCACAGCTCCAACTTTCATTTTAGCATTTGCAATCCCTAGGAACTCTTTGTCTCATTGGCACTGCTCAGGATTACCATTGGGATTACCACTGTGGGCCATTCCGGAGATCTTTGTCAATACTCTGCTCTATGACCCCCAAAAGGTGGTGATGGCCTATGCATGGACTGGTGCTATGGACTGATTGAGTATTATAGAGAAGTTGTGAGCTGTGTGATATTCTTGGAGGACTCAAAGTTGAGTTTACTATGAACAAATGGATATGGAAGATGTGCTTTTGTATTGCTCAAGCTTAATCCTGTTCTCCTGGATGAGCACTATCCGTAAGTTTAATTGGATTATCAATCACAAACACTTGGATCACCAAAACTAATGATACTTCCACTGGTGACACTAACAGTAACACTGTGAGAATTGACAGTAGCTCTAAAACCAAGAATAAGTTAATTCACTAACACTGGTTCCACTTCTACTAGCAACAACATAGTGAGAACTTGGCACCAACTTCAAGGATAAGAGTTCCACTAGGTCTTAGGCCAAACCCTAACAACAACACCATGAGAACTTGTGTCATCTTCAGCAAGTGTGGTTGGAAATAAAACTCAACTATAATGCTTTACTCTATATTATTTTATGCTCTGAAATGTGCTTGAAGTGCTAGAAATGATTTATAGTCTTTGCTGTCTTCTTAACACCCCACTTTGTTTCTCCTTGGGCATTGCCACTGCTCATAGCCAGTTTGCAACACCACACATGCAGTCCCTATAGAATATTTTTAGCAGAAAATACAACAGAAATGCTACTTGTAAACTATTAAATTAGAATTTTCAAAGAATTTTAATTTAGATTTAAAATAAACTTTGGATTGCATTAAATTACCTTAATTTAATAATTTTTTTTACCATTAAGCAGTAGTATTATATATTAAATATCTTATTTCATTGTTGATGATGATGAATAATCTACAATTTTTTATTATGGTAGATAATTCTTAGACAATGATTATTGGTGGGGTGATTAACAATATTTAGTGATGGTTAATTGTTTTCTTTAATTACCTTAACTTTCCACATTACTACATATTTTTATGGTGCACTTTAGATTTAGTTATTGAGTTTGAAATATCAATGTGGCCTTTATAGTAATATTAATTCTTGCTAAGGTTGATTTTGATAGATTGGAATTATTTTTTTTTAGTTTGATGCATTCTCAAGTATTTTGCTTATCAGGGAATGATGATTTGTTTACTTTGAGTTGTCTTTTGTGAATTTATTTTATGAATGTAATTGTGAGTCCCCAATCACATTCATGATAATTTACTTTACATGCTATTTTACATACATTGTAATTAAGTTTTATCATAAAGTTTACCTGCATGCTTACTACTGAATTTTTTGAGGTAGTACTAGTTTCTCGAATGATAACTTAATTTAGTTTTAATCTAAGATTGTTAACTTATAATTTGGTATCATTAAAATATATTGTCTCTAATATTGTCCATCATATTGATTTGCAAGTTTGGGCCAATAATGGCCTCTGCACTTTGTAAGAGATTAAAGGCCATTTGGATTCGGCAGTGATGGAGGGTGGCACTCTTGAAATGTGTGTGGTTGGGGTGCACACTAGGGCAATGACTGCCATAAGCTTAAGGTTTTAGCTAATATTCATGGTAAATATAGTATATTGACTAATATGTTGGCTTTATCCAAGCATACACAATGAAGTGGCTAGATTCATTTTAAATTTCAAATGAATTTCATTGAAAATTTAAATTATTATTACAAATTATTTAAATAATACTATATATATATATATATATATATATATATATATATCTGTGTGTGTGTGTATTTATAAATTTATTTAATGTTCAGAAGGCGAGAAACTGAAAGTAGAAGAGGATTTGAAGAGTGCTATTGAGGCTAGTGTCCGAGCACGAGCAGCTATTGTGGAGAATGAAGAAAAAACTCTCTCATTGGCCAGTGAATTCCAAGAGAAGGTGGCGGCAGGTTTGCTCAAGCCTGGTGAGGAGCAAGAGATCGGCAAGAATGGCCTCAAGAAGCTGCTCGTCAAGGCCGGAACTGGCTGGGAGATGCCAGAGCCTGGCGATGAAGTGAAAGGTGGTAGCGCCCTTCTCTCTCGCCCTGGCGTCGCAATGCTGGTAGATTCTTGCAGTTCACTACACTACCCCGTTTTGATTGCTGTCAACAGGATGATGAAGGGGGAAAAAGCTTTGCTGACTGTGAGGCCGAAATGTGAGATGTTTGTGTGTTTGTTTAGCTAAGTTTCTAATGCGTTGGATCGTCTAGATGGTCTTAGCGAATCACTTTCTACCGATCTGGAGCTGGTATCTTGGAAAACTGTTGAGAAAATCGGCCAAGATGGCAAAATTATGAAGAAGATTATCAAGGCGAGTGAAGGACGTGATGATGGAACCAGTGAGTTTCTTAAAACCATCTCGAGCTCTCTGTTAACGGTGATGATAATGCAGTCAAGTATGTGCGCCAAGCTTTTGGACGGCACTGTGTTTAAGAAGAAAGGCGAAGATCCCTTCGAGTTTAAAACTGATGAAGGTCTTTTCTAAATCTGGTACTTTCCGCTGATAACCTGTTTTAGTGTTTTTTTTTATGAACAAGTTATTGATGCGTTGGACAAGGCAGCAGAGGAGAAGCTGCAGGTAAGACTCAAGAGGCCATCATAAATTGCATCCTGACAAGTATTTTAGGCCCTGGACCACGACTCTAGCTTTACTGACGATGAGAAAGTGACGAGCTGCTGCAAGGTTAGCGAGTCTCTCTCCTTGTGTATTTACCTGTTTTCATACAATTGAATCTCTCGCAGAACGAAAAGGCTCTCTATAGCAGAGCTCTAGCTTACACGCACATTGCTGATTTCAACCTGGCCGAGTCTGACATCAACTCAGCGGGGCTGGGCCTGGCCGAGTTTGATATCCAAAACGTATCAGAAAACCGGTAAGAATCATCACTCGCGTTCCATCAAACCAAGGCTCACGCGTTTATCCTACAGCAACTTGAGAATGGAGTACAAGTCGCTGAACAAAAAAGCTCTATGGCCACATGTTCGCAAGGCTGAGGAAGTTAGAACAGGCAAGTTTTTTGGATAATCTTTTTCTTACACGAAAGTTTAGTCTCTTTTCAATCTTGTGCGACTTGTTGGGAGGGTGAGCCACAGAAGGCGCGGCTCCTGGAACACCGTTTAGAATGAGCCGCAGTGCCCCATCCACTCCATCCACTCGCTCCGGAGGATGGATTTCGAGGGCTTCCCACGTCTGCCAAGTTCTCTTGCTGCGAAACTGGTGATTCGATTCCAGGGGCTGGGAGCAAACAAGGATGTGAACGGAGAAAGCCACTCACTCGCAAAAAAGCTATGGAGCCATGGTATGTGAGTTCCTTGAAAAGCTCTTCCTGCGAATCAAGGATGTGAGCCGAGGAAGGATCGAACTGCGTTGCATTTGCTAGGCATTTTGGGTATGACTTCTGTTTGACAAGAAGTCGCTTTTTTTCTTTCTTTCTCTTGATCATCAGGTGTATCTTCTGTCGCAAACGGGCTGATGTTCACAGTCACTCTTTCTTTAGGCAAAAGCATTTGCTAGCCAGACACAGTTCCCCGGAGGTATCTACATGAGATTTTTCGTCATCGCATTGTCTGATACACCTCTCGTTTCACAGAAGTTTATGCCGATCCAACCCATGCTTCATTTGAAGCGTTCCAATTCGTCTCTGGCGCGTCCACCATCTTTAATCCCAAGGTACGCAAATCCATCTACGTGGTTGTTAGCTGAACTTACAGTGTCAAAGGCTGCTATGCGAGTTATGGGAGCTCATTTTGAAGGCTATCGACAAGACTGGGGGCTCTCTTTTGAGAAAGATACTGTACAGAGAGGTGGCTGGTAAGGTCTCATGTCATTCTAGAGCGATACCGCAGGCAGCAAGGAGGCATTGGCATTGCTGGGCCCGGAAAAGATTGGTTGCTCTACATCCACAAGGTTCGTCTTTGTGCTTTCGAAGTTATGTTTGCTTGAATTTTTCTCTTTCATACAGGACAAGGAAGCAGGCGACGAGCCCGACATCAAAGAAGTCATAGCAGCATGTTGTGAGAAACAAAACTTGTCATGCTGTAAGTAATCGCTGTTCATTCCTTTACTGGTGCCTCATTTTTTTTGGTCCTTGCAGGCCTATTTCTCGCTGCAAGTTCTCAGTAATCTGCAAGCTTTGGACGAGACCTCCGTCCGCATTCATGTAAACAATGTTGGCAAGCAACACGCTCGCATAAGTGGCCGCTCTCGGGTTGGATCGAATCACTTCCTTGGCCGCTCGGACTCCCAGCTCCAGGTTGTTGTGGCTGCTACAGGCACCGAGCAAGCACATCCAGTCCGAAAAGCTCGGCTCAAACGGCATCGCATCGATCAAATCCTCGGCCTCCTCCAGATAGTTTGCCCGTCCCAGAAGGTCCACAATGCACGAGTAGTGCTGCTTGGTGGGAGTCAGAGAAAAGTCCGCTATCATCGAGAGAAAGCACTGCCGGCTGGTGTAGAGCTTCCCTGAATGGTTACAAGCGATCACCACGGACACGAAGCACGTCTCGTCGGGAGCTTCCACCAGCTTGAGCTTGTCATATGTATCCAGGACTCTGGAGAACTGTCCGTTTTGAGCAAAGGCCGCGAGAATCGCCCTCCAAGAGATGATATCCAGCAGCGGTGACAGATCGAAGAACTTGGCAGCGCGATCGATATGCCCGTTGTGCGCATAGGCAGAAAACATGGTCGTCTGGGATCCAGCGTCTCTCTCCGGCATCGCATTGTACGTCATCTGGGCCTCGCCGCAGTAGCCGGACTGGCCGTACGCGAAGATCATCGTGTTCCACGAGACCAGGCTCTGAAGTGGCATTTGATCGAACGTAAACTTGGCTTCCTCCACCTGTCTCGCGTGAGCGTACACTGCAATCATCGCATTCCATGCGATGGAGTTGCGCTCCGGCATTGATTCGAACACGCTCTTGGCGCTTTCGAGGTGGCCGGTTTGGGTGTAGCTCGTCACCATTGTCGTCCATGAAACTAAGTCTCTCTCTGGCATTGCTTCGAATAGCTCCTTGGCTTTGAGTGTATGCCCGTTTTGGGCATATGCCGCAAGCATGGAATTCCACGAAACTAGATTTCTTTGGGGCATATGGTCGAACAAAGTTCTAGCTTCCTCGACTTTTGCCTTGTTTGAGTAAGCTGCCAGGAGTGAAGTCCACGATACAAGATTCCTTTCTGGCATAGTCTCGAAGACTGTTTTCGCGTTTTCAGGGTGCCCACTTTGGGTATATGCTGCTAGAATAGAAGTCCAGACTACGATATTCCACATTGGCATCTTGTCAAAGGTCTTTTTAGCTTGGGTTAAATTTTTGGCTTTTGCATAGGCTGTAATAAGCATACTCCATGAGACGAGATCCCTTTCAGGCATTTTGTCAAATGTGTTTTTCGCTTTTTCAAGAAGACCGTTTCGGGCATATGCAGCAAAAAGGAAGAACCAGGAGAATGAATTCTTGTCACATTTCATTTCATCAAAGATGGACTGGGCCTGCTTTGGACTGCCACAATTCCCATACATTTCAATCAGTCTGTTGCAAACAATGATATCCTTAATCTGTAGAAAGTATGGAATATAATTTTCGAGACTGGCTGGACTATTGCATTTCCGTATTATCTCCAAGCAATGCTCTCTCTCTTGCATCTCTTAATATCATGTTGTTATATAAATTATTATTGCTTTCAATATGAGCTTAGCAATACTGTCCACAGTCCATGGTAGCAATGTAATGGTAAGAAGATTTGAGAAGACATGGATATTTTTGTGGTAAATTAGAAATTGTCCAGAAAATATTGGCCAGTTGACAAAGATTATTGTTCAACACATGTCTCCTCCTCTCAATGTCCACTCTTTCTAGTTTTCCTTGCTCCATGCAACAGTGCCATCTTAAGGATAAAGAACTTTTTAAAAAAAGTCTACATACCTTTTCTAAAGTTTATATTTGGTATGCTATTTTTGTCAGTGTAAATCTTATTTAACTTAGAAGATAATATAATGTTTTATATATAGAAAGTGGGAGTTACAATTTCTCGAAATCATGTTAGAAATATGCCTATATAATTTGGCAAATTTTACTTGTTACTACTGGTTATGAGGCAAAATATTCTGAATGATAATTAAAGAATTAGAGTGGAAAATCACAACCGTTAGATTTTCGAACATCCAGAGATACCTAGGCTTTTTCCTTGAGAAACCAATTCAACAACAAAATTTCGTCTCCTAGATCAAACCAGCGAGTGAGGCAGCAGGACCAACGAGATCATCTGCAGGGCTTGGCATTCCTGGCAGGCTGGTTGGCGCAGCACCAGATGGTATATCAACTAGCCTCTCTTTGATATATTCCTTCAACCTGTGATTGCCCTTCCAGTTAATACACACACACACACACACACATCAAGGAAAACTTACTCCAGGGCAACGCTTGTATCCGGAGTACCCACTGTGAGTCTTATTTGGGTCCGATCTGCCGGATCGGTTTCAATCCTTATCTGTAATCAAAGTGCGTGACACTGCCAACAAAAAGAGATAGCTTACCAAGCATAGAGTCGGGTTTTCCGAAAAGTAAGTTGCCGCACCAACGATGTTATTTACATTTGGATCCTGAGCAAAAGCCGAAAACCTCAGTGCATCTGGGAATGAAAACTAAAAACTCACATAGCCCGGAGCGATCGCAACGTGAAGACTACCAAGCAAGTCGGACATTTCTTGGAGCGGAAGAGGCTTCACCCCGCGTACCTGGAAAGCATCTGGATGTAGAGACAGATCCTTAGAAAACACACCCTCACTCACCACTTCTTGCAGCAGCTTATTCGGAGGGCCCATAAGAGCTTTCCAGCGAGCAATATAGTCTGCAGGAGCTAGCGTTGCTCCTTGTAGGAACTTGCTCATAATAACGGGAAGCCGGAGCTTGAAGCTAACCTGGAACCGTAAAAATCAAACTATAGTTTCCATTAACTATGAGATGCAAGCTTACCATAGCTGACGAATTGTTGTAGCTAAAATCAAGGACAGGAATTTCTCTGCTTGGAGACAGGTTGGTGACTTCCACTGGACATTGTACCTGTTACAATGAACATCAACACGACGAGTTAGGATGAGTGACGAATGAAAAAAGAAAGAAAAACCTGTGCTCTAGGAGGAATTGTGTCAGGTACGTTCGATGTCAAGAGCTGCATGTGCCGGGGAGGTAATATCACTGCCTTCACCGATAACAATGGTGCAGTATGCTTATTGCCAAGAAACAAAACTATACGCCCTTGGTTACCACGCCATTCCGCTTTCAAACCAATCTGCAATAGTACATTATAGCAAGGAAAATAATAATCCGCTTGCCTGAATGAAAGGATCTTCATAAAGAATGCCGCTGTCTTTTCTGCAGAGCGCATCGAACCACTCCGTGACGCTGCCGGTAGGCTGCAAACAGGACTTTGTAAGACTTGACAATCGTTTCTCAACATACCTGAACTGTCGAAGCCTGATTGTCCATGAGTGCTAGCGCCAGGGAATCACCTGGTCCAACTAGCGGCGAACTTTCGGGAGCACTGTGCGTAGGTGCAGCTTCAATAGCAAGAAAATCTACGGGAGCTGGTGACTGTCCACCATTTGCAACTGGTACAGTAGGCGCCTCCTGCCAGCATCCAAATGCTATAAAACATTTATAAAGTCTGCCACGACTTACAATGTTTCTTTGCCCCGAAGGTACTCTTGTAAGCGCTGGATGAACGCCATTAGCAGGCTTTTGATCTGCTACAACGACAGCGGTTGATGTCAGCTGCATGAGCCTTAGTTTAGTAGCACTCGTATCAGCCACGTCCACTTCGGTGTCCTCGGCTTTCTTCAGAAGCGCAGACTGCAGAAACTTTAACACATGATTATGTGAATAGTAAGGAAGGCATAAAACCTGTCTTTCGGGGAACTTGGGCATCTCAGCCATCACGTCCACCATTGACGGGCCTTTCCGACTGAGAGCATAATATTCACTGGCTCGTTGCTGAACTTCCGCATCCAAGTAAGTTTCGTTCCTAAGAGGTAGACGTTAGTCCCCAACTCAGTAGAAAAACAGAAACATTACTTCCTGAAAACAGCTAGCACATGATTTTGCAGCTCCGGATCGACAGTTTGTGAATGCAGCAAAATCTTGATATAAGCTGAAAGAAGAATAGCCTTGGTAGGCGTCCTGTAGAAAGAGCCTGTTATACGGAGGAAGAATAAAGAAATGAAGCTTACGAAACGGTTGCGAATTTGTCATGGATAATGGAAAACACTTCTTTCGGACTACATCCTGGCCTTCGTGACAGTAAATGACTGTACTCCCCCAGCAAATAGCCAGCCACCTACATGGTTTAAACTTATCAAGGGCGTGAAAACAATGTAAACAAAATCCCACCTTCACCATAGTCTCGTGCACCGCCGGTTTGTCCAGAAAGTCTCGAGCTTTAGCGGCTGCGTACGGCTGTGAAGCACATGAGTTAAATGACAATAAAAAAACGCCATACCCACCTGCAGATCATCATTGTTTGTCACAAATTGGACTACTCTGTACCAAATGTCATCGCTAACGAAATCTCCAGCCTTCTCAATAAGCTGTAAGATAACATCCACGTACCTAGCCAAAACAATTCCTTATTAGCAACAGGGAGAGATTTCTTCAGATATCAATACCATGACAGATCCGGAGCGAATTTCTCAGCCAGAATGGCAGCCTTAAGCGCAAGCTCCTCACGTATTGCAAAATCAGCAGTTGTCAGATACTGCAAGGGTTTAAAAACAGTGAGGGATACATCTTAAAGCCGCAAGAAATACCTGCAAAAGCTCCTCAACAATATCTTTCGCATTTGTTACATCACACATTCCATAAAGCAAATCCAGAGATCGCCTTCGAATACTGCAAAGAGAAATACACTGAACAAGGAGATCGATGAAGATAATTCTAAACCTTATATCCGGGTCCCTCAAAGATGTGATTATCTGCACTTGATGCCTTTTTATGCTTTCTTGTACGTCAGAAACCATAAGCATTCTGGTCATATTTTCCTGCAGTGAAAAACAAGGTAAAGTATAGCGTAAGGCCACAAATATCCATACCAGTCCAAGATATCGAATGTTGGGCTCACGGACAGCAATAAACTTTCCAAGTAGACCAACACATTGTGCCATCATATCTTTCTCTGCGTCTAAATGCATCACCTGCGCGACAAAAAAAAGGCTCTTGAATGGAACAACAGAAAAAGAAAAAACCTACCAAAGCCAGAGCTTCAAAGAGAACAGCATGGGTTGCATTGTTCTTATTGATATTCTTCACGGCATCAGTTCCCATGAGGACTCTTTGAAGAACCTACACTTTGCAAAATGTGGCAAATGACTTTGATCGGTTTAAACAAGTTCAGAGCTACCTCAAAAAGGGATCGCCTAATGTTCGGATCATCAATCGCCGGGAAATATTGCAAAACTCGCATTGTTTTTACCTGCTCAAATCACTAAACAGAAAGAGTAAATATGGTGTTCCCAAAGTCAACCGCAAAAACATCGACGAAAAACAAACCTGGAGCCAAGGAGATGGAATACCGTAGTATGTGTACTCCTGAGGAATATCTTGGCTCCTGGTTAAGCGCTCCAGAACACGAACGCATTTTGAAACGCAGTTCCAGTACGCGTCGGGATTGTTAGCCACGAGAGCAACGAGCAAGCTCATGACAGCCGTAAGGACTCCAATTTCTCTTTCGTCAAGCAGCTGAGACATTCGATCCGCCCTGTCATGGAGATTAGTCCACAATCAGGAAGACAAGCCTCTTGAAATACCCACCAGCCGTCCACGCTGACAACATCCGGATTCTTCCTGTAAAGTCGCAGAAGACACAATGCAGCCTTCTTCCGCACCAGTGGCCGACAGGAGTTCGAAATCTAAAGCACATAGCGCCTAGGATCAAGAGACACCAGGCCGATAAACAGAACTTACCAGCAGCTTTTGCACATCGGGAGCTAGTGACTCGGAAAACTCCTTGCCACCAATGTTCCCAACCTGGATAACTTCCGCCTAAGACGACAAAAACTCTGAAAACTACAGAAGCATACCATTGTCAGCGCCAGGCACTGAAATGTCTCGTTCCTTCCGATAATGTCATTCCGGACAGTGTTTATAACAAGCCGCAAGAAGTCGTGGTTTTCGTTCAGCAAAGAAGAGGTGACAATGTACCCCACCTGCGAGAACAAGTCTAGATTCCACCAAGACAAAACCAAGAACACTATTTACCTGCTTTTCAGCGTACTTGGGAGCTGAGATCAAAGACACCGCTTCCATATGCCCGAAATCGACATCATAACCAAGCATGAAGATGTAGAGCATCTTCCAAACGTATTTTTTCTTCTCATAAGGCGTCAATCCCTGGCGCAAGCGGGCAATCTTAGCAATCCGAGACGAAGAAACCCAAGCAGCAAGAAAAAGATCACTCACCTTGTCATTCTTAAACTTGGTGCGAATGTTCGCGAGCTCCTTGTCGACACGAGCCCGCTCCAGCTCCTTATTCTGGCAGTTCCTCACATCGCTGATGAAGACCGACAACCCTCGCATGCCGGACAGCGCCATCGCGCGCTCGCGGCGCCGCTAAAACCCTCAGATCTGGCCCTGCCGAGCTAAAGCCCCGAGAATGCGCCGCCGCTTCAACACCGCCGCGACACGAGCACCGAATGCATCGCCCGAGCTGCCGAAATTTCGCCCGCGCCGCGCCGCGACGGGCGCTGGTCGATTACCTGTGCCAGATCCCGCGCGAGAGGATGAGCATCGGATGGAACGCGCGGCGCCCGGCGACCTGGAAGAGCGCCGAGAAGAAGCGAGGGCTTTGAAAAGAAGAAAAATTAACAAAACCTATTAACCATGTAGCTTATAAACGTAGTTATTTATCACTAAACTCAATTAGTGACAATTAATGCAGGTTAACAATCTCTTATTGATACGAGCAAAATTTGTTTCCATGGTTTCCATTTTATCACAGCTTTAAGATTGGGTCGCTACTTTGGAGCTTTCTTCTTCCATGCGCTGCTTGGCATCGCTTCGTGCCCTGTTAACCAGATCCTCGATCGCCTCCCTACCTTCGTAGTATTGCGGGCAGTACTTCTCAAAATTGCTGAAGTGTTCTTCGGCTTGATCTAGTTCTCCCAGCATGCAGCAAACCAGCCCCTGAAAATCGAATCACCAGTTTGGCAAACTTTACAACCGAGGAGGAAGAACAAGAAAAAGAGAAAAGCCTTTTTTACTTGGCAGACGTGTGGACGGAAGTCTGTCGGATCCTCCTTGCTCAGCTGCTCGTAGAGTTCCAGAGCTTGTGGCAATTCTTCCTGGACAAACGCAAGCTTGAAGAGATGAGAGGTTTCTTTGATCTAGAAATGGATCTTTACCTTGAGAGTGAGGAGCTGGCCTTTGAGCATCCGGAAGTTCCTCGCGTCCTTGGGCCTGTCCTCTTCGGTGGCCTTTGCCGCGGCGTCCTCCACGATTTTCTGGATGAAATCGATGTCTTTGCCTTGCTTCTTGAGAACCAACGCAAGGCCCTGTCAAGAGCAAGAGACAAACAAACAAAAATCACTCCTTGCAAAAGAGAAAGTTCTCTAAAGCTTACTTGGAGTGCTCGAAGGGACAGAGGGTCCACCTTCACGGCATCCTCAAACTCCTTGAGAGCGTTGTCCAAATCTCCAATGTACTCATAAGCGTGGCCGCGGATGAATCTAAACTCTAACTGCGACGGATTCATGTCGATGAGCTTGGAAAGGACCTTGATCGCCGCTGGCATGTCCCTCTTCTCCATGAATCCGTGGAGCCGAGTGAGATCATCCAAAATCTCCTCCTCCTCCTCCTGCGTTCTCCTCCTCAAAGTCTTCTTCTTCTCTGGAGCGCCTTCTTTTTGCTCCATAGCCGTGGTAGTGGCCACATTCTCGTTAGCGCTGGCTATGGCTTCCTCCGCCCTGGCAACTCTACACGAATTCATGCCCGCCGCGAGCAAAAGGGCCGAGCTCCCCAAGAACAAAGCCGCGATTCTGCGAACCCTGTCCTTCAGAGACCTCTCTTCCACCGCCAATGGAAGCCGCGAGCACTGCGGCCGCGATCTCGACAGCGATCGCCTTCGTCCGCTACTGTCTGGCGCAGCAAACCTGATCGATCCGGGAGACGAAATCTCAAGCCTCCTGGAGCTCGGCACTGTCGCCGGCAGAGGCATTCTGGAAGCTCTTCCCAGCGCATGCAGCGCCAAAGCCGTAGACGAGGCGACCATCTCCATCGCGGTCGCTTTGCTAAAGCCCTAACCCTAAAATGATAAACCCATCGTTATGGATCTAACGGCTTGGAGTACGAAAAAAAGGAATAAATATCTTTTGTTTAAACTAATAAAAACTTATGGAGATGGGTGTCGATCCTCCTACCTGTCGATTGCAAATCAACCACTCCACCGTTTGGGCTACATGCCCTAATGATGAAATTTATGTTTAAAAACGGCTTTGTTTGTATGTAAGTAGGATTTAATCAAAGATATTGAGAAAAAATCAAGCTTAGTGCCACAAGGATTTAAGATGCATTCCTTATGTTGGGATTCAGAGATCAAGCTTTGTTTAAACTCAATCAATCAATTGTGTACTTTCAGAAAGTACGGCATTGTAAGTTGCACAAGTAAGACAACTTCCAGATCTCCAATATGAGATGAGTATGTAGAACTTAAAAAGTGTTAGCAGTTATAGGTAGGCTATTTTAAGTATTTTTGGTGGCTATCGATATCCTTTATACCAAACTATGTAAGGTTTGAATAGATGAAATATATGGAGATGGATTAATAATATTCTAGTTCAACTATTATATATACTTATAAACATTATAAAAAACCCAAATTAAAAAAAGGCAAATTAATATAAAAATAAGATAATAGCATGGTCATAAAATAAATATTAGATGAACCACATTTAGAACAAGTAAATTATAATACCTTAAAATTTTAATATTATAAAATATTAAGGAATATACTCTATATATTGGAGAACCAAACACTACTCTTATACTTTTAAAATATAATTTTATAAAAAAAATTATAGTAGCTATTTTTGAAGATATTTAGAAAGAAGAAATTTAAAACATTATACAAATAAATATAGAGTTTTCAATATTTTTATCAATAATGTTCATCATTATGATATATATTGTGTTTATTTTATTAATTAATTTATTTCTACACCATTAAGCATAAATGTTGAATGGGGATAAATAATATAATTACCCAAGACAAGATGGCAACAATTATTTTAATCATTAATTTCAAGATTTTATCAAGAGTATTGACTTAATAAATAATATAAAATATCTAAATAACTATAAAAATATATAAAAAATTAATCTTGGTAGAATAGTTATAATTGTAAAATTTACATGTATGATTTAATTAGAAGGACAAATATCAAATCAATAATTCAGCTTTTTTTTTACTTAGCTTTTGCTAAAAAATGTAAAAGGGGCTATAAAACAATTGGAAATAAAACAAAATCCAACCAAAACCAGGATTTGAAAATTTACTTAATTTATTTCATTTAAGCATGTTTTAATATATTTAATTTTATATCTACAATATATTTTTAAAAATTCATTTTTTAGTAGGTGATCACTTGGATTAGGACTGCATATAAAATATATTTCTTTATTTTCTATAACAAAAACTCAAATATATAAATATAAGGATAACTATAATTACTAATATTGAATGCTAGATTTAAAAATATAAATAAATTTGCTGTCACTAAATAGGAAAAATATATTACTAATATAAAATAATTGCAAAGCTTTTATATATTTCCAATTTTGACAAAAGCGTATGTTTATCCTTGCGGAATGCTACTTGGAATTTCATATGATTACTATCCTAATCCTCAAAATCTTTTTTTGGATCATCATTGAAATGGTGCACATCCAAACCTGAGTGCAAATTCTTTTCCTCACCCTCCTCAAAGTTCGTTCCCTGCTCTTGATCTTTTGGCAAAATAATTTATATTCTCAAAATTACATGATTTTGATATAACATCTACTGAAAGTTTAAAACATTTACTTTTAGTGGTAAAAAATAAGTTCCAGAACTTAGGGAAAATATTTTATTCAAAGAGTGTTCTTTGGCAAAAAAATAATCCACATCTAAACTTTTTAACTTTAAAATTTTTTTTCATCTAATTAGAGTAGTGAAATAAAAATTAACTTATTTCATAAAGCCAAATTCATAAGATCGTTATGATTGATTCTAACTAGCTATAGAAAAATAACTCTATGTTAAATGTCAATAGTGGTAAACATTATTAATAATTTTAACAAACAATTTTAATAATTATGAATATTAATAATAACACCTAATTGAGTAAAACCTACTTTGCATGAGAAATTAAAGAAACAATATCTTCATGATGTTGTCAATGATCTATTGAATAGATTTCGACCATTTCCATTTAGCATCAAATTCTCTTTCTGCAATGAATAATTTATCCTAAAAGGTCACTTTAATACTAATAAATGTTTAAAAATATAATTGTGAACTATATATAAATATTTATTTTATGACCACACTATTATATATATTTATATATACTAACAAAAATTATAAAAAAACTGATTTGAGAAAAAATATATAAATAAAATAATAGTGTGGTCATAAAATAAATATTAAATAAACAACCTTTAGAAAAAGTAAATTATAATATCTTAATTATTTAATGTTATATAATATTAATGTTTATATTCTATATATTTAAGGAAAACTTAGTAGTCTATATCACTAAACATAACTTTTAAATTTTTTAAATATTGTTTTGTAAAAATTTATTTATAACTACTTTTGAAGATATTTATAAAGAAGTGATCTAAAACATTATACAAATAAATATAGAGTTTTCAATATTTTTATCCATAATATTCATCATTGTGTTATATATTCTTTTTATCTTATTAAATAATTTATTCTTACACCATTAAGCATAAATGTTGGATGGGGATAAATAATATATTTACTCAAAAAAAGATCGCAACAATTATTTTAATCATCAATTTCAATCATTTAACAAAAGTACTGATGTGAGTGCTTGGAATATGAAAATGGAATACAGAAAATATGCATATTAATTAGCCCAAAAACCTTAGCTTATATACAGAAGTGAGTGGTCCGGATTGAAACCAATCAGACGGCTACCAAAATCCCACTACACTAATATTAGTATATGGCATTGTAGCCATACACTTAACCCTCACATCATCCCCTCCTCTCAGAATAATGGAAGACCATCAGGGTTCTCTTATAAACGAGCCGAGATCTGGAGGAACGTCAAGAAAAGGAATCAACGGATCTGTAGGTGGTATTAACTGTTCTTGATCCCTTTATATAAAGTGTTTCAACTGCTGGCACATGCACAATCTTTGGAGGATCGGCCTACTGGACGTCATGCTAAACCTCATAAATTTGTGGTCCAACTTGCCACAACACCTGATACAGTCCTTTCCACTGCGCAAGGAGCCCCTTAAATAAACTATGTACCATAGGATGGGGAAAACGGACTAACACCAAATCATCCACTTTGTACTCCACAAGTGGACAATGATGGGAGTTGTACTGCCGTTGTTGTCCAACTTGTACATGGCATAAGTGTTCGGCAGACTCCACTCGGACAAGTGGAAGGATGTTCGTCAAATACTGATCCCACGATCTAGCATCTGCAGCTCGTGGCAATCGCAAAGGTAAACCCAGCTCCGTTAGTAATATTGGATCATGACCATATAGGAGTTTTAATGGTGAAGCACCAATAGAACTCTACACCTCTATGACATATGCATATTGAAGAGACGGCAAATAACCATCTCAATCCGAATGCTGAAAGTTCACATACTTAGCAATCATCCCCTTGAATGTCCGAACGAGTTATTCCACCAAACCGTCTAATTGTGGATGATAAGCACTTGTGAAAGTGTGGCGTATCCCCAACCGAGATGTCAAAACATGAAATGCCTCAGCCATAAATGCGAGACCATTATCCGAAAGAATCCGCTCTGGACAAAAATGCTGGAACACCACTCGATTGAAGAGGAAGTATCCAACAGCAGTTGCAGAGGCGCTAGCAAGAGCACCAACTTCCACTCAACGAGTCAAGTAGTCAGAAGCAATAATAACATACTCATTGCTAGCAGTCAATCGTGAAAAAGGTCCCATATAAGATCAAATGCCACCAACTCAAACGGACGGGAAACTACAATTGGCTCCAACCATCCTTCCACAGCCCGAGGGGGAGTATTACGAGCTTAGCACCAAACGCAGCTACGCACATACCGGATAATATCACATTGCATCTCCGGCCAATAGAAAGACCTACGCAGCTTCTCAGTTACACAACGATATCCCATATGCCCACCTAGAATAGGAGAATCATGGTAGGCATGGAGAAACTGCGGAATAAAGATAGAAGGCACCACCAGCTGTAAATGATCATCAGGATCCGTCCCCACAAAATAAAGAAAGCCGTCTTCAAGGCGATATTGAGAATGTAAATGTTGGAAAGGCAAGTCATCAGCAAGTGATGCAGGATTCTCAAACCCATCTCGAAGCCTTCGAATCCATGGCTCAATCTTTTGAGCCTTGCGAACCTCATCAAGAGAAGGTAGATCTTGCTTTACACCTTGTGGACACTGAATGTCTAGTATAGCAACCGTCGACGACACAAAATCCTCGTCTAGAAAATCCATAAAGGCTGGAACAACAGGCTTGTCAGAAACATGAGAAGAGAATGAAGAAGGAAGAGGAGCTTGAGAAAGGGCATCAGCATCAGCCATAAAACTCCTTGGGCGATGAACAACATCAAAATCATATATCTGCAGCTTCAAAGCCCATTGATCAGTATGACCAACCAGGTTCTTCTGCTTTAATAATGAAGTAACAGCAGCATGATCACTTTCAAGTAACGTCCAAGAACCATGTAGATATGCATGAAGTTTCTCAAAACCCCAAACTGTTGCTAAACACTCCTTCTCTATTGTGGAGTAGTTCATTTTCGTTGGTTGTAATGTACGGCTTATATACACAATGGGATGGCGCTAACCAGGCACACTTGAGCTCTCTTGCATCAACACACCTCCAAGATCAATGTCAGAAGCATCCACGCGCAAAATAAAAGGTCGAGTGTAGTCAGGATAGGCTAAAACCGGAGGAGTCGTCAATATCTCTTTGAGATCCACAAACGCCCACTCACAATCTAGAGACCAGATGAAAGATGATGTTGATGACTTTAGCAACGCTTGCAATGGTGCAGTGTGATCAGAAAGATGATCCATAAAGCAACCGAGATACTGCATTGTAAGCAACCAAAGGGAACGACTTGAGAGACGATCCATGGGGTTCAAATATAGAGGGAAAGGGCCCATGAACAAGAGTGCACCCCCTTTTCCAATCGGTTAAGGGTCTTGGGATATTTGGGATTAAGTGTCCTTGGGTTTGATTAGTACTGGGCTGGGTGACCTCCCGGGAAGTCCAAACTCATGAGCTTACATTTGGTATCAGAGGGGTCTCGGGTCCGACTCTGTTGGTTGGCTAGGGGAATCACACCACATGTTGATTGACATCTGGCTGGTCCAGTTTGCTCCCGCTGGGCTCGACCCAAGGGGTAGGGTGTCAAGAGAGCGGGGCTCTCGGGAGAGCTGCGGCTCTCAGCTTCCATTCACGAGGGCGTGAACTTGCAGGGAAGCGTGGTGGATTGTAAGCAACCAAAGGGAACGACTTGAGAGACAATCCATGGGGTTCAAATATAGAGGGAAAGGGCCTATGAACAAGAGTGCACCCCCTTTTCCAATCGGTTAAGGGTCTTGGGATATTTGGGATTAAGCGTCCTTGGGTTTGAATAGTACTGGGCTGGGTGACCTCCCGGGAAGTCCAAACTCATGAGCTTACATGCATCTTGCCCAAAAAGCACTACACATCATTCACACACTTCGGAGTAGGGAACTTTAGAACAGCCACAAGTTTGTCAGGATCAACTTGCAAACCCTCACGAGAAATATGGTACCCAAGATAAGTTGTGTCCTTGGACCCAAACACGCACTTCGTCCGCTTCAGCTTTAAACCAATATCGCGTAACCGATCCAACACTTTACAAACATCACGAACGTGTTCCTCCCATGTCCCCTCTGAGTGGATCAAAACATCATCAATAAAGTCAGTAGTCACATCCGGCATATCGCAAAGAACCTCGTCCATCATCAGTTGGAAAGTTGCTAGAGCATTGTTCAAACCAAACGGCATCACCAAGAACTCGTACAAACCAAATGGTGTACAAAAAGCAGTGTTAGGAATATCTTCTTCGGCCATCAGTACTTGCCAATACCCAGAAGCAAAATCTAGCTTGGTGAACCAACGACTTTGCCCCAGACGATCCAAAAGATCAGCAGTGTGAGGAAGAAGGTACACATCCGGGATTGTCACTTCGTTTAACGGACGATAGTCGATGCAAAAACAAATACTCCCATTACACTTCATCACAAGATGAGGTTCACATGCCTAAGGACTCCGCGACTTCTGAATAACACCCTTCTCCAACATCTCTTTTACATTTGTATGCAAAATCTTGATCTCCTTGGGTGACCGATGACGAATAGGAACCTTGATTGGACGAGCATCCCCAGTTGGAATCGGATGACGTGTGGCAATCTTAGCCCCAGATGATAGGTCAAATTCAAAGAGATTAAAATACTCCTTCATGAGCCGGTCCACCGCTGCAACACAAAGATTGTCGGAGGAATCGAAAAAGGGAAGAGCAGAACAAGATGGAAATATAAGAGGAAATAATGGGGAAACAAAAGTAATGGAAGTAGAGGTAGAAGTAGAGGGACAAAGAGGTACAAAAGTGAAAGGAATGGATGAAACATAAGGAAGTATGAGACAAGGGGGAGAAGCCTCAAAGTCACACTTGGCATGATTGCACTGCAACCAATCCATACCAAGAATGAGGTCAAAAGTTTAACTCGGCACCACCTGCAATGACTGCAACTCAAGCTCAAGTTCGCCCACATGCACAACCAGGTCCGCCTCATCCCGTGCACATGCATGTATACGGCCATTGTTATAAAGAATGAAAACTGATTCTACCGCACGACGCAAGTGTAGACGGCAATGTGTGGCAATAAGTCGAACAATAGAAGATATATCAACCAACACGGAGAGAATATAATATTATATGCTAGATTTGAAAAAATAATAAATAAATTAGAAGTGCCACTAGATAGGAAAAATATATTACTAATATAAAATAATTGTAAGATTTATATATATTTCCAATGATGATAGAAGCCTATATTTATCCTTGTAGAATCCTGCTCGGAGTTTGACATAATTACCAGTAATGAATATAGTTTGTGTATTAATTGTTGAAGCTTATAACAAATAAAAAATAATATGTATATTTAAAAAAATTGTTTAATATACATAAAATTCAGATTCTTTTCTTTGCAATAAAATTGTAATTTATATGTTTAAAATTACATGGTTTCAATATAAATATTTACTGAAAATTTAAGACATTTAGTTTTGCAACAATCTATTGCTTACTAGAGGTTCCAAAAGAGAAGCTTATCATTATAGTCATAAAGAGGTTGGGAGATGGCTGCACCTGTGAGATTGCAAAATCTCCACTTTATTATTCAGGTTGCATTGAAGTAGCAAAAAACGTATTTGACAAAATGCCAGAAAGGGATCTCGTCTTATGGAGTATGCTTATTACTGCCCATGCAAAAGCCAATAATCTAACCCAAGCTAAAAAGACCTTTGACAAGAATATTGTAGTTTCGACTTCTATTCTAGCAGCATATACCCAAAGTGGGCACCCTGAAAAGGCGAAAACAATCTTCGAGACTATGCCAGAAAGGAATCTTGTATCGTGGACTTCACTCCTGGCAGCTTACTCACACAGGGAAAAAGTCGAATATGCCCCAAAGAAATCTAGCTTCGTGGAATTTCATGCTTGCGGCATATGCCCAAAACGCACTCGAAACCAGGAGCTCTTCGAAGCAATGCCAGAGAGAGACTTGGTCTCGTGGACGACAATGGTGACAAGCTACACTCAAACCGAACACTTCGAAAGCGCCAAGAACGTGTTCGAATCAATGCCGGAGCGCAACTCGATGGCATGGAAGGCGATGATCGCAGCTCACGCGAGACAGGTGGAGGAAGCCAAGTTTACGTTCCATCAAATGCCACTCCAGAGCCTGGTCTCGTGGAACACGATGATCTTCGCGTACGGTCAGTCGGGCTACTGTGACGAGGCGTACAATGCGATGCCGGAGAGAGACGCTGGATCCCCGACGACCATGTTTTCGGCCTACGCGCACAACGGACACATCGATCGCGCTGCCAAGTTATTCGATCTGTCGCCTCTTCTGGACATCATCTCTTGGAGGACGATTCTCGCGGCCTTTGCTCAAAACGGACAGTTTCCCAGTGTTGGATACGTATGACAAGCTCAAGCTCCCGACAAGACGTGCTTCGTGTCCGGAGAGCGGCAACTTATGCGAGCGTGTTGCTTGCCAACATTGCTTACATGAATTCGGACGGAGGTCTCGTCCAAAGCTTGCAGATGGCTGAGAACTTGCAGCGAGAAATATGCCTGCAAGGACCAAAAAGAATGAGGCAGCAGTAAAGGAATGGACAGCGATTACTTACATCATGACAAGTTTTGTTTCTCACAACATGCTGCTATGACTTCTTTGATGTCGGGCTCGTCGCCTGCTTCCTTGTCCTGTATGAAAGAAAAAAAATTCAAGCAAACATAACTTCGAAAGCAAAACGACGAAACCTTGTGGATGTAGAGCAACCGATCTTTCCCGGGCCCAGCAATGACAATTCCTCCTTGCTGCCTGCGAGCACGCGAAAGGTATCTCTCTAGAATGAAATGAGACCTTACCAGCCACCTCTCTGTACAGTATCTTTCTCGAAAGAGAGACCCCAGTCTTGTCGATAGCCTTCTAAATGAGCTCCCATAACTCGCATAGCAGCCTTTGACGCTGTAAGTTCAGCTAACAACCACGTAGATGGATTTGCGTACCTTGGGATTAAAGATGGTGGACGCGCCAGAGACGAATTGGAACGCGTCAAATGAAGCATGGGTTGGATCGGCATAAACTTCTGTAAAACGAGAGGTGTATCAGACATGCGATGACTCATGTAGTTACCTCCGGGGAACTGTGTCTGGCTAGCAAATGCTTTTGCCTAAAGAAAGAGTGACTGTGATCAATCCACAAGCTCGCAATGGATCCATGGAAATACCTGGTCGACAGTGCCGGGTCCGACCAGAACAAGCGACACACCAGCAGCATCGAACACTTCCTGCAACGAAAGCATCTATCGTAAGAGCATTAAGGAAGAATCTGTTACCTTCTTCGATGCTAGAACATCAGCCCGTTTGCGACAGAGGATACACCTGATGATCAGAGAGAAAAATAGAATAAAAGCGACTTCTTGTCACATACCCAAAATGCCGAGCAAAGGCAACGACAGCAGTTCGATCCTTCCACAAATCAGTCAGAGCGATCACATTGCCCGAAAGATCCAAAACGCTGGCATCGGTCGAAATTCCTAGCAGGAAACAAGAAATCTTAGCTCCAAACGCTAAGAAAGAAAAGCATACCAGGCATAAGAGAATCCGCTGCTCCCGCGGCTGCTGCCAATCCGCGCCATCGCCGCTTGCATCCGAGGATCGGCCGCGCCTTCTCCCACCGAAACTCACAGATCGATCGCCGCGACGAGAATCCTCGCGCTGGATCATCTGCGCCAAGGGTTTTGGCGGAGCAAAGAAGAAGAGCATTGTGAGAATGAGAGGAAAGAACAGTCGCCATGAGGTTTCAATGGCTGTAAACCTGCCACGTGTACGCTCGAGGTTTGTGGTGATTTTCCAATGGAGGGAGAGGACGCTGCTTCTTCCATGGACATGGCGGCTAGGGCTCTTCCGGCCGCTGCCGCCGTGCAAGCTCTTCGATCGGTCTACGAGCGTGTGAGAGTGGCAGCTGAGCGCTCCGGGCGATCGGCCTCCCAGGTTGGTGTCGCATTGCCCGATCGATCGATCGTATAGCTGAAATCGATCGCTTCTTAGGTCAATGTGGTAGCAGTGAGCAAGACGAAGCCAGTGTCGCTGATTCGAGAGGTATACGACGCTGGGCATCGGCATTTTGGGGAGAATTACGCGCAAGAATTCATCGAGAAGGCTCCTCAGGTGAGATTGGTAGCTTAAAATCATGGTGACCATTTATCCTTTTCTTTGATCTTCCTGTTTGCAGCTTCCCAGTGACATTCGATGGCATTTTATTGGACATCTCCAAAGCAACAAGGCAAAATCCCTTGTAGGTGAGTAGAAAAGCTTTCTTTGTTTTCCATTGTGATCTATCGCTCTCATTTTTCCTTGCTGTTCGTAGCCAACGTTCCTCAGTTATATATGGTGGAAGGGATTGACAACTTCAAGGTCACAACTTCTTAGTTTTTCCGCTGAGAGTGTTTTGAGAATTCCCTCTTTTCTTTAGGTGGCGAGTCTCTTGGATCGAGCAGTGTCGCTCCTTCAAAGGAATCCTTTGAAAGTCCTGGTTCAAGTAAATACCAGTGGTGAAGAATGTAAGAACTTCTTTCTCTTTTTTGTTTTCTCTAGCTGATCGCTATTCACTTGAACAGCAAAGTCGGGAGTTGAGCCTTCGGCGTGTGTGGAACTTGCGAAGCAGATCAAAGCGGACTGTCCGAACTTGGAGTTTTCAGGATTGATGACAATCGGTATGCAGGATTACACATCAACGCCAGAAAATTTCAAGGTATACTGCTCCGCTTCCTTCCGTGGATCTCAACCTTTGGTCCGAATTTTTTGTTCTTCCCATGGCAGGCTCTTCTAAATTGCAGAGAAGACGTCTGTAAGGCACTCGAAATTCCGCAGAGCTCTTGCGAGCTTTCCATGGGAATGTCCGGTGACTTCGAACAAGCGGTTAGTCTCTTTTCCTTTCCTTCGTCTTGTCAGTGACCGATTGATGGAGATCTGGTTCCTCTCAGATCGAGATGGGAAGCACCAACGTGAGGATTGGATCCACAATCTTCGGAGCTCGAGAGTACCCAGCAAAGAAATAGAAATGGAGGCAATACACCAAAGATCGTCAAGAACAAGCACACGAGGAAATTCGCAGTACAGAATCCATCAAAGGATCAAAGGATCGGAATTTATGGAGAGAGCAAAGCTTTTGGAGAACTTATCTTAGTCAAGATCACGAAAACTTGTCCATATCCCAAAGCGCTATAAACTTCCCCTGACACGAAAGTAACACTATTATAAACTAGATCTCCGGGAGTTTTTCCCCGGGATCTCTCTTTTTCTCCCCCTTCAACCACTGACACCACTACGTACAAGGATAAGACTTTGCTTGGCCCTGGATTGGAGCTTTATTTGTTCTAGCAGCGAGGATTGGGAGGCGCTCCATGGTCGCAATTGGAAGCCGGCATCCAGTGATACTTGGTCTTGAATCCATTCCCAGCGCGCTCCATCACTGGGTCTCGCACCCACTGATCGATCGTGAAGATCTCGCGGCTCACGCACTTGTTGCTCCCGGATTGCCTCACCGAGACGTTGAGGCCCTTGACGTACCACGAGGAGCTCGGGTACTTGCCGTTCTGGGTCACCTCCACCTTGCAGATCCGGCCGATGCAAGCGTTGGTGGCCACGAATCGATCCACGGCATTGCGCTCGAAGTTGTTCCCGGGGCGCTGGAGCTGGAAGTTGAGGGATTGATCGGCGGAGTTGGCCGTGCCCGCGCCTTCGCGATCGCCAGTGAAAACTTCCACCATGTATGTGCATTGCCCCTGAAACAGAGACGCGAACAATCAAGATCACAGTGGATCTCCAAAGAAATCATCAAGAAGAAAAAGAAGAAGAAGAAGCACTGGAGGAGGAAGAAAAAGAGGAAGAAGAGGAAGAAGAAGAAACAAGTTTTGGGTTCTTACATTGGTGCGCTGTGTGATCGTTGTGATCGCGATCAAGAACAACACAAGCCTCATTCTTTCAAAAAACTTAAGCGTCCAAGCAAACAAACTTGGAGAAAGAATGTGGCTAGAATTTCTCCCGAACAAGTTATAAGAGAGCTTTTTCGCGCATTAAATTTGCAGCTTTATGTACCCATGTGATGGGGCATGTGGTTTCTGGTCACCGCACATGTAAGGTTCTCAAGAACCCTAAAAGCAGAGCGCCCAAATTCTAAATCCCTAAAACAGAGCATTTTCAATCGAAGACTCTCTTGTGCGATAGGGTTCTTGGCATTTTGATATCTCGCGTGGAATGGAATGTTGGAATGCATGTTGGGTTGCAAGGAAATGCGCAATCAATCACCAATTGTGGTGGATTGCGATCAAAGTTTACACAGTCCTTATTAATGATAATACACTGACTTCAGAAAAATATTCATGTATCCTCTCCACAATCTTAAATCCTTTCGTGGCCATGTAAGGTACAAAATCTAAAATAAAAAGAATTGACAATGCTCTTGGAAGAAAATAAAAAATATTGCAAGCAAATTAACAATGCACCCATAGATAAGAAATTTAGAGCTAGATGCTACACTCAAAACATACAAAAGTGCAAAAGATCATGGTTGGTGAGTTATTTCTTCTATAGGTAGAAATTTTATGTTTTTTACACAAGAGAAAAATTGAGTTTTCTTTAGGAAGAGAGAAACTTTGGCACTTGCTCTTTTCATGGCCTGTTTAGCATTTATGATAATTAGGTTTGGGTGCTTGAAATTACTAAATTTGAAATTCTGAAAATAAAATTAAGTTTGAGCCTCGATTTGGCAAGAGAAGAGGAAGGTTTGGTCCTCCTATATGTTATAAATATGGAACATGTCAAATCTCACAAATTTTCATAAAAAGCTGTATAACTTTTAAGAATTATTATAAGTTTACAAGTTTTTACAAAAACTTTTCTCATATATTTTCAAGCCATGGCCATAGATGAGCATATGCCACCTATGCAAAATAGATAAGATGGCTGCAAATTTCTAAAGGATTGTATTGCATCAAGGTGGATTTCACACTTCGCAGCAAGATATAGATAAATACAAATTTATTGCGAGACACAAAATCCCTAAACCCCAAAGTGGAGCTGAAAGGGTGCCACGGGGTAGTGGCCGAAGCGAAAACCAAACAAGTGTAACATGTTTGGACCAAAAGCTTTGACTTGAAAAGTTGAGAGCGGGAGTAGAACTCCCAACAAAGTGCTTGAAGAACGAGCACGAAGTGAGCAATAAGCGAAGCTCCAAAAAAGAGACCCAAAAGGACTAACACATGATACGTGGAAATGTCCGAAGTGGAGTCCGAGATGGACCCGAGATGGATCCGAGTTGGAGTCCGAGGTGGAGTCTGAGATGGACCCAAGAAAGACCCGAGATGAACCCGAGATGGATCCGAGTTAGAGTCCGAGGTGGAGTTCGAGATGGACCTGAGAAGGACCTAAGATAAAGTCCGAGATGGACTTGAGATGGAGTCTGAGATGGAGTCCGAGAAGGACCCGAGATGGAATTCGAGATGGACCAAGACGGAGTCCGAGATGGAGTCCGAGATGGACTCGAAATGGAATCTGAGATGGAGTCCAAGAAGGACCCGAGATGGAGTCCGAGGTCGAGACCGGGACCGAGACCAAGATTGGGACCGAGACCGAGACCGAGGCCGAGGCCGAGGCCGAGGCCGAGATCGAGCCCGAGCCCAAGTTCGAGTCCGAGTCCGAGTCCGAGTTCGAGTTCGAGTCTAAGTCTGAGTTCGAGTCTGAGAGGGTGAAAGCCCAAAGCATTCATCTCCTAAACCCTGGGGGGTTTGGTGAGCTCCAAAAGTATAGTAAGGGGGAGGACTGCATTGGAGCCAGTTTGGCCAGGAAAGGCTAATTTGGCCCAAAAAAGCTATACCCAGTGTTGGGTGATGAGCTGCCCACTAGGAAGTCCAAGACTAGAGTGAATACGAACCGACAAACAGGGTAGTTTGGTGAAGTGTTCAAGAGCCAGCTCTAGTTCCCCTGGGAGATCGATTAGCCAATGCTCCCAGTCCAAATGTGGGTGGCACTACCTACTTGGATACCTGGTGTAGCTCAATGGAACCTCGCTCTAAGCCCATGGCTAAAGCACCTAAAGGCGGAAGGCGGGAAGAGTACCTATAAGGCCCGTGTAAGGCCACAGTTTTCCGAAATGTTGTCCCAAAGTCCCAGTCTGTGGAAAAGAAGAGGAATAGCCCTTTGATGTGGTGACCAAGGACATAATCACATAGTGAGGAAGTCCTAAAGGATAGCGGGACTTAGTGGTTGGGTCCGTGAGCCTTGATCCAGTGGCAGTGTTGGCGAACATGGCCAAAGACATAAAAGGACTTGGTGAAGATTGGAATGGAGATATTGGGGAAGGCTATTCCTTATGTCTGCAGGCATCCTAAGGATGCTAAGGAGTGGATCTGGGATGACCACTCATGGGCAAGTGGCCCAGTCTTAGAGAGATGGGATTGCAATGTAGGTGGTGTTAAACCACCGATGTGACCAAGGTGAATGAGCGTGGCCTAGCGTAACAGGCTCATATGTTGGTGGTACCTTGGGGTGTCGGTCATGGGATCGGACACGTGGAGCATTTGGACCAAGTATAAAGGTTGAGTGGTATAGATGCCATTCTTGGGGCTAGCAAGCCCCAAGTCCTGAATGAGACTTATGGAGGTTGTGAATAAGACTCCTCCAAATGGTCGGAGGTGTGGTTAAATGACTAAAGTAGAATGGAAAATTTAGTCATTTACATTTATACTGTAAGAAGATTACTAGAACCCAAAATACTACAAAGATAATGTTCCCTAGGGTGATTTTATGCGTAACTACCCATGCCATGATCAATCCTCGACTTTGTTATTATTATGCTTTATTGTTTGTTGTGATTGACCAATTAATTGTGCAAATTTATCTTTTTCTATGAGAATGTGGAGGAGAATTACTACTGCTACACTGTGTGAGACACAAAATCCCTAGGCCCCAAAGTGGAGCCGGAGGGGTGCCACGTGGTAGTGGCCGAAGCGAAAGCCAAACGAGCGTAACACGTTTGGACTAAAAGCTCCACCTTGAAAGGTCGAGAGCGGGAGTGGAACTCCCAATGAAGTGCTCGAGGAACAAGCACAAAGAGAGCAATAAGCGAGGCTCCAAAAAGGGACCCAAAAGGACCAACATATGACACGTGGGAGTGTCCGAGATGGACCCGAGTTGGAGTCCGAAGTGGAGTTCGAGAAGGACCCCGAGATGGAGTCCGAGGTGGAGTCCGAGGTGGACCCGAGATAGACCCGAAATGGACCCGAGATGGGACCCGAGATGAACCCGAGATGGAGTCCGAGATGGAGTCTGAGATGGACCCGAGATGGAGTCCGAGATGGACCCGAGATGGAGTCCGAGATGGAGTCCGAGATGGACCCGAGATGGACCCAAGATGGAGTCCGAGATGGAGTCCGAGAAGGACCCGAGATGGAGTCTGAGGTGGAGTCCGAGATGGAGTCCGAGATGGACCCGAGATGGACCCGAGATGGAGTCCGAGATGGACCCGAGATAGAGTCCGAAGTCGAGACCAGGACCAAAACCGAGACCGGGACCGAGACCGAGACCGAGATCGGGACCGAGACCGAGACCGAGGCCGAGGCCGAGTCCGAGTCCGAGTCCGAGTCCGAGTCCGAGGCCGAGTCCGAGTTCGAGCCTGAGAGGGTGAAAGCCCAAAGCGTTCGTCTCCCAGACCCTGAGGGGTTTGGTGAGCTCCAAAAGTATAGTAGGGGGGAGGACTGCAGTGGAGCTAGTTTGGCCAGGAAAGGCCAGTTTGGCCCAGGAAGGCCGGACCCAGTGTTGGGTGATGAGCTGCCCATTGGGAAGTCCAAAACTAGAGTGAACATGGACCGACAAGCGGGGTAGCTTAGTGAAGTGTTCAAGAGCCGGCTCTAGTCCCCTGGGAGATCATCTGGCCGATGCTCCTAGTCCAAGTGTGGGTGGCACTACCTACTTGGATACCTGGTGTGGCTCAACGGAACCTCACTCTAAGCCCATGGCTAGAGCACCCAAAGGCAGAAGGCGAGAAGAGTACCCATGAGGCCCGCGTAGGGCCACGGTGTTCCGAAATGTTGTCCCAAAGTCCCAGACTGTGGAAAGGAAGAGGAGTAGCCCTCTGGTGTGGTGATAAAGGACACGGTCACCCAGTGAGGAAGTCCCAGAGGACAGTTGGACTTAGAGGTCAGGCCTGTGGGCCTTGATCCAGTGGCAGTGTGGGTGAACACGGCCATGGACAAAAAGGGACTTGGTGGGGACCAGAAAGGAGATATTAGGGAAGGCTATTTCCCATGTCTGCGGGCAGCCTAAGGATGCTAAGGAGTGGATCTGGGATGACCACTCATGGACGGATAGCCCAGTCTTGGAGAGACGGGATTGCAATGTAGATGGTGTTGGACCACCGATGTGACCAAGGTGATTGGGCATGGCCTAGCGTAACAGGCTGGTATGTTGGTGGTGCCTTGGGGTGTCGGTCAAGGGATCGGACACGTGGAGCACTTGGACCAAGTGCAAAAGTTGAGTGGCATGGATGCCATTCGCGGGGCTAACAAGCCCCAAGTTTTGAATGGGACTTATGGAGGTCGTGAATGAGACTCCTCCAAGTGGTCGGAGGTGCGGTTAAGTGACTAAAGTAGAATGAAAAAATTAATCGCTTACACACTGTTGTGATGGTGGAGAATAGAGCCAAGGAGTAGTGATGAAGTTGTCCTCTTCAAAACTTACAAGTGCTCTTGTAATCTTCACTTGCTGAAATTTCGGTGTCAATTAGGTTAAATGAGAGATCCCATAAAAGAAAATTGGGGCAATCGTTTAAGCTAGGAGAGGCACTTGCAAAAATGTCTAACTCCACACTTCACTCCACCCAACTCCATGGTTGCCTTGCCACTTTCTAAGCTCACACTCTGATACTTTTGAAACTCTAAATTAAATTACTTAACAAGGTAGCATATGTGCCATCTATGTGGTATAATCCCATAAAACTCATGCCATGGCACTATCACATAAAGTCATGTTTTGATTGCTCTTATAGTAATCAAAAAGTTTTTAAAACTTTGCAAAACTTTCACAAACAAACAAAAGTGAATACAAATAAATTTCTCAAAACAAAAACCAGGTTTGGCATCCCGAACTTGATAATCACATATCCATTGCCATAGCCTGGGAGCATAAAAAGCCAAATTGCTAGTGTTTAAGTCTTTTGCAAAGGCTAAAATTTTTCAAAGCTGCTACATGTTTTGCCAATAAGTAATAACAACATTGGCTCCAATTGATATTTCAGGATATATTATTATTTTCAAGTTTCAACATTAGTTATTTGTCTGCTATTTCTCTTCTTTATAACTAATATTACCATTTCCACCAGTAATAGGAAAGCAAGAAAGAGTCCATCATAAAAACCATCCTATTTCTCCACCTTCAATCAGAATATATGCTATCACATATTGGGATCATAGGTAAAAAAGTTTCCAAAAATCCATCCATCAAATGTTAGATACTCAGCAAATTTTTGTTTTCTCGTTTCCACAGACTAATTTCTATGCGCCATCTTATCCATCCATATATTCCTGTAGAAGCATGTGCTACTGCAGATACTATTTGTAAACCAATAAACCACTACTGATCTGAAACATATGTGCTTGCAAATGCACTTCCACCCCCAGTAACAAGACTAGCCACCATGCATAGCTTGTGTTGAGAGCTTGTGATAACTCCAAGGACAACTAAAACAATAGTAATTTAGTTGGTAAGCAGTTGTATTTTTAAAATTTAAATGTAGCTCACCTCCAAGCACATAGCCAAGTAATAGGAGCGTATATATATACGGAGTCAAACAAGGGAGTTACCAATATCTGATTACAGAGTATTTTGGTCCAATATTTGCAGGAGCGAAATAATAAGAATAAATGCCCCAAGGTGTAGCGCGTTACAGTTCTTTTGACAGTGAGAAAAACCATATGGGCAATGCCACTTTGGAGGATAAAACGTGATAACAATGGTATATATGTAAAAGAGAAGTTCCCACAACGAAATAGCTAAAAGTATGAAATACCAGTCCACGGAAAACCTTACGAACCATATTCTGTTTAGCTGTGTAATATACAAGCATATTCTGCTGGTTTAAAGGCGCTAAACCTTTGCTCGCAGCGGCGGCAGCAGCCATGGACGATCGCAGCAGCAGAACAGCTGCTCGATCTTTTCCATGGCGAGCTCGTCCAACTCCGCTATCGTGAAGCACTGCTGCTGCTGCTTTCCATCAATGCGGTTGGATTTGAGCAGCGCGGCGCCATACCTGCAAGAAGAAAATCGTCGATCGGATGAAATCCGAAAGAGAAAAGAAAAGAGATTGCTGCTTTCTATCGAGCAAACGAAAAATCAGAGGAAACAAAAGTTCTAAAGAATTTTGATCACGAAATAACACCCTATTCTTTTATTGAAAACCTAGAATCACCGATGTTCTAAACCATCTTGGCACAAGCTTCGAAGAAACAAATAAAAGAAAAAAACAATTGCATAACTTCAGAGTACTGTGCTTGATGCCGCACTGGATTCGGTGAGCGATCCCATGCTGAGTGGTGCCGACTCTGAGGTGTAAGGAATCGTTGAGGTAGAACAACGTCGACTGTTCTCTGTCCAGAACGTAGTGAAAGATGGCCTTGAGAGCTTTTCCCAAGTTCTTTTCCGCAAGAGTATTACCGTGATACCAAATCAAAGAAAAGAAATCAATCCACGCATGAGCTCCATCTCTAGGGAAAAAACAAACAATCAAAAAAGAGAAAACTCCAATCTGCATGAAAAGGCCAGTGCAGAGAAACTCACGATTTGCCCCACCCCAAAAACATCAGGCAGCTAAACAGAAATGAATTCACGGAGAAAACTTACGGGGAAACATTCACACATCATGAGAGAAATTGATGCCTAGACGAATCACCTTGTGAACAAATTCCACCGCCCGACAGCGGCCAGTTTAGGATATATTATTATTTTCAAGTGTCAACATTAGTTACTCGTCTGCTACTTATCATCCTTCTAACTAATACAACCATTTCCACCACTAATAGGACGGCAAGAAGAAAGTCCATAATAGAAACCATCCTATTTCCCCACCTCCAATCAGAATATATGTGGTCACATATGGGGTCGATCAAAGGAAACAAAATCTGAAATCCAAGCGAAATATGTAAGAAAGCCAGCAGACCCCCTTCATTACCATTCCTGATTTCTTCATCTATCACCCTATATTCTATGATCCATCTTTTCAATCCATATATTCCTGTAGAAGCATGTGCTACTGCAGATACTACTTGTAAACCAAAAAACCACCACCGATCTGAAACATATGTGCTTGCAAACGCACTTGCACCCCCAATGACAAGACTAGCCACCATGCATAGCTTGTGTTGAGAGCCTGTGATAACTCCAATGACAACTAAAACAATAATAAGTTAATTGGTAAGCAGTTGTATTTCTAGAATAAATGTAGCTCACCTCCAAGCACATAGCCAAGTAATAGGAGTGTATATATAAACGGAATCAAACAAGGGAATTGCCAATATCGGATAACAGAGTATTTTGTTCCAATATTTACATGACCATATAATGTAGACAAAGAGCCCCAATGGTAACTTGGGTGTAGCGCATTACAGCTCTTTTGACAGTGAGAAACACCATGTGGGCAATGCCACTCTGGATAATCAAATGTGATAATAATGGTGCATATGTAAAATAGAAGTTCCCAAAAGGAAATAGTTGCAAGTATAAAATACCACCACTTGTACGAGAATTCCATGAGAAACCTTATGAACCCTAATTTTTTTCTTAGCTTTAAAATCTATTTAAGCAAAAGGAAAGGGAATCTTAACTTCATTTAATATACAAGCATATTCTGCTGTTTTAAAACCTTCTCTTGGCGACGCCGGGCGAAGAGATGCTCCACAGCGACGCGGATTGATCCCTCCCTTTGCTCGCAGACCCAAGTTCTTCCCCATCTCATTTGCAACTAACCTCGGATTGCAGCTGCTGGTTCCTCTCAGATCGAGATGGGAAGCACCAAGCTGAGGATTGGATCCACAATCTTTGGAGCTCGAGAGTACCCAGCAAAGAAATAGAAATGGAGCCAATACACTAAAGATCGTCAAGAACAAGAACATGAGGAAATTCGCTGTACAGAATCCTTGTCAAAGGATCGGAATTTATGCTTTTGGAGAACTTCTCTTAGTTAAGATCACGAAAATTTGTCCATATCCCAAAGCGCTATAAACTTCCCCTGACACGAAAGTAACATTATTATAAACTAGATCTCCGGGAGTTTTTCCCCGGGATCTCTCTTTTCCTCCCCCTTCAATCACTGACACCACTACGTACAAGGATAAGACTTTGCTTGGCCCTGGATTGGAGCTTCGTTCTAGCAGCGAGGATTGGGAAGCGCTCCATGGTCGCAATTGGAAGCCGGCATCCAGTGATACTTGGTCTTGAATCCATTCCCAGCGCGCTCCATCACTGGGTCTCGCACCCACTGATCGATCGTGAAGATCTCGCGGCTCACGCACTTGTTGCTCCCGGATTGCCTCACCGAGACGTTGAGGCCCTTGACGTACCACGAGGAGCTCGGGTACTTGCCGTTCTGGGTCACCTCCACCTTGCAGATCCGGCCGATGCAAGCGTTGGTGGCCACGAATCGATCCACGGCATTGCGCTCGAAGTTGTTCCCGGGGCGCTGGAGCTGGAAGTTGAGGGATTGATCGGCGGAGTTGGCCAGGCGGAGGAAGACGTCGGCGTCGGTGCCCGCGCCTTCGCGATCGCCAGTGGAAACTTCCACCATGTATATGCATTGCCCCTGAAAAAGAGACGCGAACAATCAAGATCACAGTGGATCTCCAAAGAAATCATCAAGAAGAAGAAGAAGAAAGAAGCACTGGAGGAGGAAGAGGAAGAAGAGGAAGAAGAGGAAGAAGAAGACCTAGAAGAAGAAGAATGAAAGAAGTTTTGGGTTCTTACATTGGTGTGCGGTATGATCGTTGTGATCGCGATCAAGAACAACACAAGCCTCATTCTTTCAAGAAACTTGGAGAAACAATCGAAAGCGTCCAAGCAAGCAAACTTGGAGAAAGAATGTGGCTATAATTTCTCGCGAACAAGTTATAGGAGAGCTTTTTCGCGCATTAAATTTGCAGCTTTATGTACCCATGTGATGGGGCATGTGGTTTCTGGTCACCGCACATGTAAGTTTCTCAAGAACCCTAAACGCAGAGCAAATTCTAAATCCCTAAAACAGAGCACTCACTCTACAACCCTAAAACAGAGCATTTTCAATCGAAGACTGGAATGCATGTTGGGTTGCAAGGAAATGCGCAATCAATTACCAGTTGTGGTGGATCGCGATCAAAGTACCAATCGCCTACTGTTTGCGACACTGACTGCACCGACACCAGCTTTAGTTTGAGATTGTTCCTTTTTTTTTCTTACCTTTCCATTGACTTGGATATTGTTCCATTTGTCGTCCCCACGGGCGTGGCAGTGCGTGAAGCACGAGTCGAAGAAAACTCCCAGCGAGCTCTTGTAGTTCCAGTCTGACGCCGAAAGAGCGCCGATCATGCTCGTCCGGAATTCCTGGAGTTTTTTCACCGCCGGGCATGACAGCGAGTTCATACAGGAGACGTATTGATCCCTTGGGATCTTTTTTACGTGCTCTAGCTGCATTCACTCAGGGAATTTATATTCAAACGAGTGATCAGTGATCATTCGATCGGAACTTACTTGCCAGTAATCGTATGCGGCGTTTAGCAGGAAAAGTGGAGGCTGGACAAACGCTTTCATTGTTTGTGGGAAGAAGCACTGGCATGATCGATCACAGTTCAGAAATTTGCAATTTGCTGACAACAAAAATGGAAATCTTACCTCAGTGGCAGCTCTAGAAGAAACACAAGAGGAATCCAGTGTCTTTTCTAGCTGGTGCAGTTTCACCACACTGTTGTAATAGCTAGACATTGAGTAGTTGCCACTGATGTCTGATCTGCAAGAACAGGATTTCATAGAAATCTCAACATTAGCATACGTTGTCTTACACATTAAGGAAGAATCCACCGTCACTGAGGCATTTGAGCTTGATTCGAGGAAGAAAGCTTTGCAACTCATTGCAACGATGCACTGTGGCTAATCCTCCAGCCGAGCAGCCCGACAGAAGAACCTAAATATCATGGTAAAATTGTTCACGAGTAACACCAAACTTTAAGCATACCTGGGTGGCGTCGCTCAATCCCATGGATTTGAGCTCATCAATTACAGCTTTGAAAATCCTTTTCCCTCGAAAATACAAAACCTGTTAAAAAAAGAGAACTTTTATCATTTCTTTTGTGATATATCTTCATACCTGACCGGAGGGTAGAGTGAGGGGCTCAGCAACATCGGCACTGAAAGAAGCTCCATCGCAGTACCTCACAAAAACATGGGTCCAGTTGTGGAAGTCGGTGTTGACTTTGGGGTCGGAGCTGAGCTGACCACTAAACGCTGCAAAGCCTTGCATGTTGACCGAGCTCCCCAGAGCAGTTCCAGCTCTAGCAGCACAAGATTGCTCGGACTCACACCACCCTCCACCCTGAAAATCACAACCATAACTTGACATGGTAAGTAGTCGATCTTATACCTCCAGACTAATGAGCCAGTTTGCTCCTCCTGGCGCAATATGGTAAGCTGGGACGCTTCCATCCAAGCAGACTTGTAAATCACAGCCAAATGTTACAAACTCCCGGGTTTAAACTTTGGCACTACATACAACAAAACTCACCTGCGCCCAATGACTTTGCCTTTGAGAGGTAAGTTATCTCCACAAGAACACCGTCAAGTTGCGTGGGGCTGACCTGAGATGGAGCCCCAAATACAAGGGCAAGGAATGCAAAGAGAAGAGAATTCATACCCAAAGAAGATGGATCTATGGGGAAACGAAAACAATGATATTATGAGTGAAACCTGTACTACGAACTGTAAGATCTACCCGTGATTTTTTGTCCTGTGGAGATATCACGCGTTTCCTGTTGGGGTCACGCATTGCCTGCAACGTCCTTGGCGATTCTATCAAAGAATGTGTCGAGAAAGACAGGCACTATCAAACAAGAAATGCTTTTCACGAAAATTCAAGCTTTAGTTTTGAATGTTTTAGTTCTTTGTGTGCAATTACTTGAATTACAAACATGAGAATCGTTAGCATCATTTTACGGAAAGAATTTGAAGTAAGCGATCGAATAGAGAACGAATGTCATCGTGAAGTTACCAAGGTTGAGTGTTTGACTTGTAGAGTGTTAGTAACTTTTGCCTTATAAACTGCCCAGATCCTCTGAATTGTTTAAGAGCGATGTCTTGCAATGCTCCATGCATTGTGTTTTTGTTCTTGGTATTCTGCAAGGTTCTCCATGAGTCTTGATGGCTTTTGAAGCAAACTGATCCTCTTAGTAGCTGGTTAGAAGAAGTTCCTCTGTGCAACTGGACAGGGATTTCATGCCATCCCAATCACCAGAATTATGTTCAAGGGATCAATCTCTACAATCTAAATCTGAGTGGTACAATCACACCTCTTCTTGGCCAGCCATCCCCCCTTTTGCTGTTACTTTAGCGTCTCTATTTATCTTCCCTGGTACATAAGGATCTCAACGTGATGCAATCCTCCTCGAACCAATGCAACCAGGAGGTGATATATTAATCTCTCAAGCAACAGCTTTATGTCCAGCATTCCAAAGGAGCTTGAGAATTGCACGTTGCTTGAAGAGATTTCTCTTTCTCAAATTCTCTTACAGGAACTATTCCAGATATTTTCAATCGTTTAAAGCACCTGTCCATTCTCAGTCGTCTGTGGGGAAATCAGCTTGTTGGCAACATCCCATTGTCAATTGCAAACTCCTCAAAATTGGCGAAGCTGATAATGAACTTACAGGACACATCCCAAATAATCTGATGACTTGAGGCAATTGTTCCAGGCTGGTTATATTAGATGTTACTTTCAACCTCGTCTGGAAGCCTTCCTTTGGAGCTTGCAAGACTATCAAGGCTTCAACATGCTGGGTTTTTGACAATCAACTGCAAGGAAAACTCTGGAGTTCTAATCCTGTTCACTAATTCATTGTCCGGTCAAATCCCTTCAACTCTATTCCAGTGCACTTCCCTCATAGAAATTGATGTTTCACAGAATTCTCTCACAGGTCCAATCCCAGCTGATATCAGCAAACTTCAACACCTCCAAACATTTCTTACTCACCAAAATGAATCGCGTGGCAGCACTTTTGGCAACTTGTCCTCTCTTTTACAAACGGACATGGCCTTCAACCAGCTGAGTGGCACCATACCAACAGCAATTGGATCACTTTCACAGCTCCAGCGCTTATCTCTTGCATACAACAGGCTTTCTTGACCCATTCCTGAAGCTGCTTTCAAGCTGTGCAGGAATCTTGGCTTCCAGAGGCTCGACCGCAATGAGCTCGATCGATCCCGCAAGAGTTTGGGGAAATTACCAATCTCACGTATTTAATTCTCACGAAAAATCTCTTAACAGAGGAGATTCCACCCAACATAGGCACCCTTTTCAGGCTGCAGTTCTTATCAACTTGGAACCTTCTCACAGATTATGGTTCCAGAGGGATGAACATGGAGGGAGCTACCTGTTGATCTTGCGGCTGGCCCTACGCGTGAGATTCCACCATGGCTTGGAGGCTTCAACAAAGTTCAGTCCATTGTTCTTTCTTCCAATGCCTTCTCAGGGGAGATACCTGCTAGTTTGGGTGAATGCAGCGGGCTCACTTACCTTGACTTGGCCTCAAGCTCATTAACTACGTTGACATTCTTGAAGTTAATGCTTCATACAACAACTTAATTCGCACATCTCATCATTTTGCAAAATTTGACAGCTCCATGTTTTTCGGGAACCATTCGTTGTGTGGAGAGATACTTCATAGAAACTGTCCTTCACCCTCATCATCATCAAGCCAAATCTAAACTTCGCTGTAGTGGTTGTCATGATATTGATAATAGCATTGTGTGTTAAAACCTTTAAGCACAGTGATTATGATGGAGCAGCTTTGGTGGGAAACTTGAAAGCACTAAGTTTTTAACAGGTAATGAACATGATAGATCTCTCTACTCGCAACTTTGGTTGAAAATTTCTTCAGAAGTGCATTTTCAACGGATATCAAGCACTGAACATTACACCTATATACAAATGAATATCATGTTAGTGAGAATGTAAATGCCAAGCTTTTATTACGTACCAGTCATTGCGCTTGAGCCGGCTCTCAACAAGAGGCTTAGAAAGCTGGCCGTGTTGTAGTAAATGTGGATCTTTGATCATCTCTAACTTAATGGTGTGCCTAGTTCTTAGCACCTAGATCGAAGAAGCTGCTACAGCGCTCCAAGGAAGGACTCCACCATTGGCTAGCTTGAGACAGCAAAATCAAAGGCCTTCCAAGCCATTAACAAGATCATACGGAAGGATGCCCTGAAACATACATCCCGGTGAGAGCTCAACATCAGGGATTTGTGACACCTTCTCATATACCAGAGTTTTCGGCCAGGCTCTGTTAACCATGCCCAGAAGATCATCAAATCAATGCCCAGATGCCAGTCCCCAATCAATGAGACTGTAAACTCCATCTCTGTAGCAAAAGTTCTTAGGAAAGATTTTGTTGTGGTGCACACCGTGATTCAAGCACAAGTGTGATACCGTATCATATAGGCATCCCTGACGATCAAAGCTGGCCTCTTGCAAAATGCGTTTTCATGTGAGCTTGAGCAAAGTTGGTCTTGGCATGCCATTTCACGCTCAATGTGAAACCATTCTTCCCAGTTATATTCCCCTTCCTGATGTAGTGCCATTTGACGGCAAGTTTCAGCCACCTTTGAGAGTTACAGATAAAACAATTGACGTAGCTTTCTGTTTCACAACCTCTTTTACCACCAATGTTCTCTCCTCCAAAACTCTACATTTTAGCTGCAAAAACTTGTTTTTGATCCAGAGATTGTGGCACCCTCGTGCCACCAGACCGTATAATTCATAGAACTGGGAGAATTGCATGATCGCTCTAATAACCATGTGGTTACTCGGGTCAGCATGAGCATTCTAACCCACTGTTTGTCTTCTTGAGCTTCAATCTCGTTTACTATGTGTACCTTTAACTCACCACTCTCTTATGAATGCGTTCAACCATTTCCTATAGGTTTTCTAAAGTATAATTGAAATTTTATAAATTAATTTTAACAAAAAGTAAAGTTAGAATCAATTTGAAGACATATTAAACCATATTAAAAATCTATCAAATTCTTTATAAGCATCTAATATTAGTTTTTTGAAGAGTTATTCTATTTGATATCAAATAAAATAATAAAGGTGGACTAAATAACTTGAATATTTTTAGTTAGTGGTTTAACTCTTATAAACTTGGGTTTAATACTTTCTTAGGGCTAATTTACTTTACTTTTTGTTCTTTGATAATCAAAGACTATTTAACACAACCTAATATAAGTTGAACTAAGGTTTTTTTGTCCTAATAAGGTTTGTGAATTTGTATAAGTATGGCCTCTAATAATCCTTAAGTATCACCTACTTAGGGTTGAAAAAATTTAGTGAAGAAGAATATTCCATATCATCTTTGGGTATTCATTGAAATACTTCCTCTACCCTTGATTCCAAATAGAGAGAGAAAACGTTTTATATAGTGTAAATATAATGTATATACATATATACATTTTATTTTGTATGTTAAATATGAAAGATATCTATAAATGATTATGCCCTTGCATAAGAATCCAAGATCAGTTTTAAAACAATGAATTGTGACCGATATAACACCTAGCTAATAACTGAAAAAATTATTAAATAAAACTCATAAATAAATCTAGCTTGAATACAATACTATTAAAGGGTTGATCTTTTTGTGGGGTTTGATTTTTCCATCTCCCAAGCTTCACATCCCCAAAAGATTGATCTCCTGGTTTCTAGTATCAAACATGAAACATACTTTAACAAACAAGTTGGCAAGTAGAAATGAAAAATATATCAAACATTGGTAGCTTTTTGAAACAAGATATAATCTAATCATTAAAAATACAAATTTAATTTGATAATTAACAGAAATATACATTTAATTACTAATTTTATTACTGTTTTAATTGGAACTTGATGTTTTCTTTGTGTTAATTATTGAGTCACAAATCACTTACAATTGTAGTATAATTCACTTCAGTTATGGAGTAGTATATATACTTTTGTTAAAAGAATTAAATGGAAAACGAGATCTACATTATCACAGCAAGTTTGCACTCCAGGTTTTCGAAATATTTCTGGTTTTAACTCCATTAAAATTGTGGTTGCAAAATAGATTTTTCTATTTTTTATTTCAGACTCAGATTTAACAACACTTTGTTACATAGTTATATATGCGATAGGCTCTCTAGAAGCACAAACACTATTTTTCACTCTAAAAGTACATACTCTTTTTAGATTTTGTAGAGCTTGACTCAAGAAGCACATACCCTGATTAAACGAGAATGTTGTTAGACAGAATTCAATGATTTTCTTACCTTGCAACACAGCAAGCACAAATTGTCTCAGAGAAAGTCGCAAAGTACATGAGCTGGATAGCAGTGGCAATGAATGCTCCACCTAGATGCAGAAGCTGGAATTCAACAATCCATCTAAAGATAATCCAGGTGACTGCGGAAAAAAAAGAGCACACCACAAAGAGCACGGAGGAAACATCTCAATCGAAGGGAAGCCTGTAGATCATGCAAATAACAAATGGAGCAAAGGCAGCCACCATGTCTAAACACTGGCAATCACCCATGCCTTCACTTTCTTGATGCGGCAAATGACACCCATGAAAGGATAGAAGGAACCAACCAGTACTGCCATGCCCTTCAGCCACCATTCTCTCGAA